TCCGCATTTCAAAGCCCGTTCCTCCCTTTCCCCGCCGCCCTCTCCCCCCTCGCTCGGGAGAGGCGGCGGATTGGCGTATGTGTACGTAGGTACATACTAGGTACTATGTGTACACCCGCCACGTACACGACGCGGCCTGGCTAGCTGCAGCGAGAGAGACAGAGAGAGAGAGAGAGAGAGAGAGAGAGAGAGAGAGAGAGAGAGAGAGAGAGAGAGAGAGCCGAGCTAACTAACGGGCTAGCAGTTCATTAGAGATCGCTAAACTCCACTAGGGTGCCCGCCGTAACGCACGCCGGGCCAGGACCGAGCGGAGGAGGGGGGAAGGGGGGATGGGATGTGAGGATTTCGTTATCGCGCGATATGCGTTTCATTCGGACGAGAGCGAAGAGGGGCGGCCTCGTGCGCGAAATTTTCACCGGCGAGCTCGCTTTGAATTCCGAGATATCTCGCGTGTGTGTGTTCGTGTGTTCGTGTCTGTGCACAAGCAGGTTCGCGGGAGGAGCGTCCGTTGCAATCGTTCGAATCTCGAAGGAGGCAGTTCCGATTCCGACGGATGAACCACTCGAGCGGTGGTGCGTGCGTGTGTGTGTGTGTGTGTGTGTGTACACGTGTGTGGGTTGGGTGTGCATTGTGTGTCTCTTCTTCCTAGGTTGCCTCTTCTCGCGCTTGGGCCGTATTTCGCGTCGCACAACCGGACGTCGCGGGCGGAAACGAGGCCCGCATCCACGGGAGGAGGGATGAATGGCGGCGAGACCAAAGGGGATCTCCTCCCTGGAGATCGATCGCGCGGCGATCGCGGCGACGGTTGTCGGTGTAGACGTCCATCGATCTCGAATGCCGATAATCTACGGGATCGGCTCTCTCGCGGTGCCGGACGGCATCGACTTATTATGTAATGGGACGACGTACGGCAATATAAAACCGACTTGTAACGTCGTGACGCGTCCCCGGCATGAGAGAGGTAAAATCACGTACAATGCACGAAACGACAGGTAGACGCGGACGCTGAGTGTATCCACCGACACAAATAAATGATTGAGATCTTTGATACGCCGGACCACCAACGAATAGAAGAGAGAGAGAGAGAGAGAGAGAGAGAGAGAGAGAGAGAGAGAGAGAGAGAGAGACATAGCATACGCGTGCGCGCGCGCGGCGCGGCACGAGGAATTAACTGTAAACACTGCTTGATGTCGCGCGTCCATGACAGCGTCCTTACATCAGGTAAGAGCCGTCGCTGGATGGTCAAGCGGTTCGACGAGCAGGAGGCGGGGGAAGGGAATCGGTGGAAGCCGCGGTGCGTTGGGAAACTTTGACGAATCGTTTACTCGGGATACCGCGCAGACGGACGATACCGATTCCGGTATCGAAGACTGAGTACATGGAGCATGGAGGATCCTTTAAACGTCCCAGGCGTTCGCCGGCGCGAACGTGCCGCGCCGCGCTGCGCCGCGGCGAGGCGATTGGTATTCCCTCGCGATTCCCAAGTCCGTATTAGGTCACGCACGAATCTATCATATTCCGAAAGGCGTGCCGAAGCAGCCTCCTTTGAGAGGTCAGGATCCATCAATCCCGGCCGAGCTCGGCCGAGCACCGGCCGACCACCGCTGGGAATGCTAGCTAGTCGTACGATCCGCCAGTCATCCTCGCCGGATCCTGGCACATTCGTCAACTTCGTGGCTGCGAGTGTGTCACCTCTCCTCGCCGGGACTGACGTGGGAAGTTTGTCGAGCCGTCAATTCGATTCTCGAGGCTCTGCGAATCTTGCGGCCGTGGTGTTAAGTGGGATTTCCTCATCGTGGGATGATACTTTAACGCGTTCATCGCCAGGCTGAATTCACTGAAGATTATGCCTAAGTTGCTTGAAGTCTCGGTTCGAATCTTCCGTCCGCGGCCCGAATTCTGTCCTTGGCTTCCGACTTCTCAATCGCTCTGTAGAAATTCGCGCTAAGTATCGCCTATTATCGTCGTTTATTTCACGACAACGTTGTTTCGCGTTTGTTTCGCTAAGGTGAAATAAATCAACGAAATAGATTAATACGTCTCTTATCACCCTGTGTAAAATGTCGAATTGAAACGTGTATTGAAAAGCATTGACATTTTGAATACGTCTGAATTCTGCTGCTTTCTGATCCGAAGAAAGGGATTGACAAGTATTGGGCTCCCATTAAATTTCACCGCGCTGAATGCGAGACAGCAGTGGTGAATGCTTCGTATTCAAGAAAGATTCAACTCATTTCAAATATGCCTTGCATTCAATCGCAATCGATAGTTTTTAAATGCGAACTTTCGCACTGAAAAGTATTCACTTCTTCTCCTAATTGTTTACGGATTCAGAGGCAGTACAGTACAAGATTTTCACGTTCTATTCCTCGTATAGCATTGAAAAGTATTGGCCCCTCGATCACGGATCGTGACAAACATGTGCCGAGGAAACGGGTTAGCGATACTTTGTTCTCCCCCCGCCTCCTCTCTTCGACATTCCTCCTATAAATAGCTAATAAAATCATAGCTAATCGGTCCACTAAAACCGTCACTCACGGATGAACGATGGACTGCCAGATACGGCCGACTCGGCGGTCGACTTGTGTTAACCCGCGTTTCGGACACGCGGCTCGCTAACAATTAATTACAGCCGCCGATGTTTTCGGCGGAAGAGAGCCGATCCCACGGGAGGGATCAATAAAAGGACCTCGCTGCGTCCCCGGGCGGTACGCGCTCGGTCTGATGAGTCTCCGACGTCGAGTCTCCACCTACCAGGAGCGGACGGCAGCCGTCCTCTCGCCGAGCGCGCGCACCGCTGATGATCCCTTAACGATCGCATCCGCGCATCCGATCATAAAATTCGCGATTCTCTGATTAGCCGAAAAGGCAGCGCGCCGGCATGGCGGCGACGCGCGACGGTAGGGATGATACGGCCGCGATACGAGGTGCTCAGTCTCGAGTCCCTCGTCCTTAATGACGGGGGCGTGTTTACGGTAGGTAACTACCGTCGCCTAGTTTTTGTACGGCTTCAGAGCCCCCCGTCCCCCCGCCCCCCGTCCCGCAACCCCTCGTTAAATCTCTCTGATTGCCGGCAGATCGTTGTTTTACGGCCGCGCTACTTGTCATCCGCACTTGTATCGCGCAGGTAGACAGACGGATAGATACAACGGGGTAAAAGTGCGCGGCGCTGAGACTGTAATCGCGCGGCGAGGCAATCGCAGCCGAGGAATCACGATCCTCTCGCAGCGGGCGCTCTGCTGTGCTGCTGTGATGGCGGTCGCTTTGGCGATCCCTTCGCTCTTCGCTCGCGCTTTTAACATTCACGCGCTGAATCCTACAATTATTACTAATTACTTATTACTAATTACTAAGTCGTCGGAAATGATGTCGTAATCCGCTGTTCGTATTACGAGTTCGTATTACGAGTAATTACGATCCTGGCGAACATTCTTTACGCTTGTAAGGGAGGAAAAAATGAATCGAGGAGAAAGCAGAGAAAAATACAATGCGAGAGTAAAATAGACAGGGATTCCTTCTCTCCGATTCGCGATTTTCATTGAATTACTCGCTGTATTTCGCGCGAGCGACTCACCGGGTCGAGTGAAAAATGTCGAGCTCGTATCCACGATTTCGTTTTCGCAAGCAACACGACGATCTTCCGCACTCCTCCCGATCGGGCCCGACCGCCGTCGCCGAAGTGAGTCGAGTCCGAAAGGACGAGCCCGCGAACTGAGATTATAAATCAGGTAATCAACCGCCATAAAAGTCCACCCACGCGCGTTTCTCTCTCTCTCTCTCTCTCTCTCTCTCTCTTTCTGCGGGACCTTGCACGATTTTTATATTCGGTATTCGGGGCGGCGCGCGCGCCTATCCTCAAAATCTCGAGATACGACAGCGATTCGCCACACCGGGGCTCGGGATTCGAGGGGTACGGCGGCAGGACCCTTACTCACCCCGACAAAACACGTCGGTGGCCGTCGGTGATAAAGGAGATCGCCGAGGTCGCGGCGGTGGGCCCGCTGTGGGCTCGCGTAATATTCTATTTCTGCTCCATTTATACGCAGGACTGTGCGTTATTTTTAGCCCTCTTCTGTAATTTCTGTAATATAAAACGAGGAATGTATGCGATTTTCTCGATAACGTTCGAATGTCTTAGCTGTCGCCCAATCTCTTTCCACTTGAGGAAATCTAGAGAACATTTTTTTAGAAAATCTTTAGAAAATTCGTCCACGACTTCGAAAGATAACTTGTTACAGTTGTCGTCATCTTAAAGATAACGAGTTGATATAATTTACATTAATTCATTATTAAATTTCCTTTCTTCGATCGCGTTTTTCGAAGGCTTCTCTTTCGCGACTCCTTGTCGCTTGTCCCGCACACGTGTTTTACACGTACAAAGTAACAATAAAAATAATAATCATAGCGTTACGAAAAACTGTAATCACCCTACCGTTACTAAAGAAGAAAAAAAGAAAGAAAGAATATCCTTACCTTACCGTCGTTACCGGAAAAAAAAAAAAAAAGTAACTCATAACGGTAACAGCGAACAAGTAACGCGTTACCTCTCGGCCACGATAGACACGCGTAATTTTCCTTTTTCGGCTCGTCAGCCTTTGATAATCATTCCCAGTGCGCATTCATCGCGTCACGCAGGCTGGCAGAGACGCTCGCCGCGGCGCGAATAACTGAAACGGTATCCTGATTAATATTCCCGCCGTCGTCCGGGTCAATCATTCTACTCACCGCTGTGTGAGACGGGATGAAATAAAATCCAGAAATTCGGTTTATTCTGCTCGGGAACGCGGCGGCGGCGGCGGCGACGGCTTTATTAATCCAATAATGATCGTCGCGCTGGAACGTCCTTCGCGAGTGGAATGAAGAGCGGCTGTTTGATTTCGCGTTTCCTTTTGCTCGAGCCCGTCGTCGATGGTCTCCGTCGGCGATCGCTCGCGCGTTAATCTAATCGCACAGACGTTCCGGCTGGAGACAAGGTGATGGGTGACGCAGAAAAAAGAAAAGACACAGCGCGCGCTGGCGGCGGAGCTGATAACATTTTTCCCTTTATTTTATAAACGTGGATCTCTCACACATGAGCGACGCGCTTTTTATTATAAAAATAAGGTTACAAAATGTAGTAGATTTTTATTTCTATATATGCGTTACACGTCGTTATTGTAGCGCGTATACAAACGGTACATTAAATCTCTACTGTGATGCGATTATTGCGTAATCCGCGTCGTCGTGACAGGACGACCGGGAGAGAGTTTAGAAATCGTCTACCCTGCTCAACCTGAACGATCAAGCCTGTCGTTACCGATCATTACCTGCCGTCGAAGAAATTGCGATGAAAATTCACTCGCGCGCTTTCTTGTAAATTCGTATTTCCAAAATCTTCAGCCTCTTGTATGCGCATGCGCGTGCGCGAGTGTATGTATTGCGTGTTACTTTCCGACGTAAACGTTATATATGTATGTACAAATACGACATCTCAAATGTATCGAAAAGAGTTAACACGTGACGAGAAACGCTGTATACAGATCTTGATATTTCGCTCGCCTTATCGCGAGATATATAACCAGCCGACGAGTTTGAGCTGCTTGAGTTAGTGTATGTATGTAATATGTGTGTGTGTGTGTGTGTGTGTGTGTGTGTGTGTGTGTGTGTGTGTGTGTGTGTGTGTGTGTGTGTGTGTGCGTGTGTGTGTGTATGTGCCGCACACACAACTGCTAAAAATGCTCGATACAACAAAAAATGCTAATAATTACCTCCTAATGAGCCTCCGATGTCTATGCGATTGACATTATGTTACAATACATATCTTATCATATCTCATCGGGTCTCTCTCTCCTCACGCGAACGATGCGTCCATGATATATCGCGTGCCAACGTAGGAAGAAAATCACGATCTCGGCGTCTGGGAAAAGTCAATCTCTTGACGCCTCGGAAAATAATTTGCGACCATTGGGAAGACTATAAAATCTTGCCCGCCAGGGCAGCAGCCTTAGAGAGCACGATCTGGATATCCATCGATGGAAAATTCTGGAATGCATTATCGCGACACCTCTCAGTCGTTTCTCATTTGAAAAAGACATAAAGAGGAACATGCTCGTGGTTGAATTTGCAACGCACAAATCATACATTACGAAGCGTATTCGGCTCTCACCTGCAAAAGTTTAACATTCGTAGCAAAATCACCAGCCAGCAGCTGGTCCCTCAATAGTCTGAAAAAAAAAACGGAGCACAGAGATGCTGAGAAAACGACAAAAAGGCTTAGCGTTGCAGAGATATACGACGGGATATCTTACTCACAAGATCATGGCACAGCAGATATGTATGAGGAAACTGAATCTGTCCTCGTCGGCGAACAGCGAGTCCCATATTCTCATGACGTCTGGCAACGGAAACTCTTGCGAGAGGAGAAGCGTCAGCCATCTTGTATCACAAGCGAGAAAATAATAACAATGACGAGTAATAACAATTCGGATGCTTTTGCGCTGATAATTCTATCTTTATTCTATCTTTCTTTCTTTCATTCTATCTTTATTTATCGCTCGTGCATGCCGAAGGAAGGTAGAATAATGTTTCTAGCCCGAGAGAGTCCAAAGCGAACGCAGCTTTCAATCAGCGTTGAATGTTAATCGTTAAGAAAAATATTAGTTGACTAAAACAATCAGCGATTCAATTAACCAATCATCATATATAATTATGAATGACGTAATCGACCGATGAAATTAATTATCAACCAGTGTATAATTAATCAAATCAAAGTAATGTAAAGCCGATTAAAATTAAACCATAATTATATGTGATTGCACTCGATGTTAACTCTCATTGTTAGAGTCAGCCAAAATTTCAATCGATTAATGCCCAACGCTGTCCTCGACGACGATATTCATCGACACGCTAAAGTTATACCTAAAGCTGTAATATTGCGGGCACAGTTCCTGCTGATGCAGACGCATCCAAACCTCGGGATCGTTGGTCTTCACTTGATTCGTCAATTTACTCATCATCGAATTGATGCCAAATTCGGCTTCGTCTAACGTCTTTATGAAGAAATCGCGGATCTCGCCCATCAGATTGGTGAAACAGAAAAAGGTGTCGGCCTCGGCGTGTTCTGAAAGAAACAAAAGCACGAGCATCTCATAAAGTGCAACTTTTACTTTTTACTTTCTCGTTTTATTTTTTTCGTTTGCATATCGTAACATTCACACCTCTCCACGCCTGATCCGGATCGCAGGCGAACGCATGATATATAGGTCCAACTATCTCGTTCATGCCCTGCACGTAACCTTGACCGGGATTTAATTTGGCATATAGAAAGAGTATTCTCTCCAACACCTCCCAATGCGCCTCACCACCTTCGGCCAATGGCGCGTAATCTTCCGTGGCCTTTCTGACAGAGACCGCTATCTAGAAGATAAAGTGTAGATGCGACACGATATAACGAGACATGTCCGTAGAATGTCATGGAACTACCTCGCATGTACACTCTGTGTGTTTACGTGCAATATATAAAAATAGAATGAAAAACGAGTTTTCAGAGTACACTAGCTTAGTAGAACATATTTACTCCACTTGCATCGTTTATAATACCTGCTGCTTTCCACGTCAACACAAGGACAAAGATAAACAGAATCAAGTTAATAAATTTAGTAAGGAATTGAGCGGGAGGGACCTTTACAGTATGCTTGCAGTTCATTACCTTGGTCACTCCTAATCCTTTTCTTTCAACATTTGCGCTTTTCAGCACTGTATGTTGAACTCTGTGATGTAAACGTTGCTGACCATTAGCGCTCACTATTTTCTGACATGGATAGTCAGTGCCTTGTTGAAAAAATGATATGTCTGGACACAGTCGTCTGTGTATTTACAGTTTAACACTTACTTCTTATTTTTGTTGCTTTGCAGAATTACAGTCAACACACTTCAACACTCACCTGACATCTTTGTCAATTTGAAGCAGAACCTCGTTATCCTTGAAGTACGTTTGCCACTTACTATCTGGGTTTAAGTTGAGAGGGTGGTCATGTAATGTCACATCAACTCTTTCTTTATCATCCGTATTCGATTCTCCAGGCATAACAATGAGATCTTCTGCAATGGGCAGGTATATCATCACACATAAGCTTTAAAATAGTCAAGTGACCTGTACAATTTTCTTACCGATAAATGTATTGTACAACTCTCTTTTGCGGTTTAAAGTCTCTGACCAACTCGATCTAGTTGGTGGTAAATAGTTGAGCAACAACTTCCAGCATAAAGGCCTTAGACCACCCTCATCTGGGATGCCTATGAGAAAAAGAAAAATTCAATTATCAACAGAGGCCGAGACAAAAGGTCTATTCCTTTTAGCTGAATCAGATTGCACATTTTGCTTTAGAGTAGAACAAGTATATGACTTAGCGTTAAAGGGAGAAGGAATAAGGTTCCGGTGCAATGATAATTTAGCTGAAAAGAATAGACCTAAAATAAAATGAAACATTAAAACCACTGTGACAGACTGATAAGAGGACAAAATAAGGAGTAAATTGTATAGCGAACGTGCACGCGCGCGCACACACACACACATACACACCATGAAAACATATTTTACTGAGGCTGATCATGTCTATCTCGTCCGTATTGAGAACATCGTCGAACTCGTTCAATCTGCAAATATTCCTTTCATTATCAACTACGAGAAAACAGCTGTGTGTCTCTCTCGGCTTATCGTATATTCGGCTGCTTTACCTCTTTCGCAGAATGCTCATTTTACTCGCGTGTGGAACATGTGACACAGAGCGGGGATCCAGAACGGCGGGGATCTATTCGGATCTATTGTAGCTTCTTATCAGCATTCGGTAGGCGTGAGCGGGTGGGCGCGGGCGCGTACAGACGTCGAACGATACTCCTTCTTTTCATTATTGACAGCGACCTGTCAGACTGCTACGCGTAGCGGCCGTCATCGTGTTCGAACCTTCGAACCGTCTGCCGTAGGCTGTAAAACCAGCTGTGGGACATCCACCCGATACCAGAAATTCTCGATACTTTGTTCTCAGTGTCTCGATATATTCCGGCATCGATACTCTGTCAGTGAGGTAGCGCTCGGTATCGACGCTTATCCACGACTGCGTTCATCGCGAATGAATCAGTCGGATGAGCTCGAATACTCGCAATCTTGACTAATATGGGTGTTGATAGTGATCTGTCAAAGAATAACTGTCAAAATACGCGCGTTTATCTGGTACACGTATCCGCAGTCGAGTGTTGCTCATACGGGAAAGTGAGTGAGTGAGTGAATGATCGATATTCTGAGATATCGCGTGAATCTACATATGCGTGGCGAAACTAACGAGAGGTATTGTTATTTTAATTTGTTGCGATACAAGTGTATATAACACAGCATAAAATGATGTTGTAGTATTGCACGGTTATAACTAGTAGTGACGTTCGGCATAGTTACAAACATTATATCGACATCTAACCTACAAATCGTATTATTATTCATATTTGCCATTAAATTACCTGCATATGACGTATATTTTTCTTTCAGTTTCCCAAGGTTGCTAAAATGCCATTCAAGTTTCACTTGAAGAAAAGTAGGCAGTACAATGTCGTATCCAAGAATCAATACGTAATTTGTGTCGAGCTGTTAGATAGCTCCTCTATAGAATGCACACTCAGTATTGACAGCAGCGGACAAGAATGCCTAAATAATGTGACACAGCGTATAGGATTGGGGCAGCCAGAATTTTTTGGCTTACGCTATATCTGTTGTCATGGTACACCATCTCTACGATGGATAGACATGGACAAGCCTTTGAAGAAACAACTGGAAAAGGATGCCAAGAGCTTTACACTTTATTTAAGAGTTATGCATTATATCACAGACATCCAATTCATTCAAGATGACATAACAAGGTAAGTTTAACTTGAGAAATACAAATTCTGAGATAATTATAGTATAATTTTACATTATTTATCTTATTTTATATTAGCTTATTATATATTATCAAATCACCTTTTCTTAGGCTTCATTATTATCTTCAATTGAAGAATGATATATTAGAGGAAAAAATACATTGTAACTCCAGACAGGCTTGTTTATTAGTGGGCTACTCGATGCAGGCTGAATTTGGAGATTACAGCACAGAGAAACACACAATCGATTATTTCAAGCAGTGTGTCTTCTTTGCAAATGTAACATTGGCTTTTACTATTAGATTGGTCCAATTGGAAAGTGTGTCACAGTGATCACATGATGTATTCTGTATTTAGGATGTAATTAAGACAGAGCCAGGCGGGCAAGATTCCCTTTTACATACAGCGATATGTCAGTATAGGAGTCTTGCTAATGTTGCACAAAGTACTGCAGAGGAACTATACATCTCATCTGTGATGCAGCTAGAAGGATATGGCAATGAAACATTTACTGCCAAAGTAAAAATAGTACAAGTACTTTCAATTATTTCACGTTTCTGTTGCTCCAAATCTTAATCAACTCATGTATGTTTCAGGATAGCGGTAATAACAAAGTTATTCTTGGAATCTCTGTCAATGGAATCATGGTGGCCTATCCCAGCACACAAACCACACAATTTTACAGGTTATTTTACTGTGAATGCGTGTGTGCTAACGCGCCAAAAACATTGCTGTATATTTGAAACAAATGGATAATGTATGTCTTGCAGATGGAGAGACATCAGCAATGTCATAAACCACAAAAAGACCTTTAGAATAGAATGTCAACTGGAGGGCGAAGAGGCGAAACAATTTGTATTCACGGAATCTCGCGATGCGAAATATATATGGCGACTATGTATAGCACAGCATACATTTTACATGCAATATCAAGAACGCCGTACACTGGAAAGATCTAACGGCTATTACGTGCGTAACTTGTGCAACTATAAGAAAAGTATATGTCGGGAAATGCGTCAACTTCTGTTACTGAACGCGTTGATATAATTTCAGGATAACGATACAAACGATTCCGGCGAACAAGCGATGTCCGTAAACTTGGATAATCGAACTGTAGACAACCACACGCGATGGACAAGCTACAACGATCTCTCGACGTCGCCGTATCCTGCCGTTGTGTCAGTCTCGTCAACGGATATAAATAATTTACGCGCATTGTTACCATCGTACAGGCCGGCGCCTGATTACGAAACCGCGATACAAATGAAGTACAAGAACGGTGGAAACCCCCCACAGCCTTATTATGCGAATCAATCCGCGATTGTGGGCTCCGATATTTCGTGCCTTCTTGGTAATGTTGTAAACCACAGCAGGTACTGAATTCGATAAAATTTCTCTTAACAACATTATCTGATTAGGCCATCAAGAGTTTAAGTATTTCTATTTTTTTTTGTTAACATGTATTGTGATGTATTTATGTAATATATATATATATATATATATATATACATATATATATATGATTTAGATTGAGTTAAATGATTGACAATATGAAATAAAATATTTTACAAATACTAATTATCAAGATTGTTGAGTGCGTATGTATGTGTGCATAAATTCATAAATAGCAGTTTTTCGTCATTTTACAAGAGATTACCTGTTATCTGTTGCAGACTGAAATGCCACAAAAGTTGCAAACTGAGAGTCAAAGCTGTTGTGTGTGTGTGTGTGTGTGTTATAAGATATTATATATTGGGTCTGTGCATAATTCCATAGCGAAAATCGAATAAATTTCAAACGCAAAATATTTAGCAAAAAATGCGATTTTAATCAACTAAATATGTTCCATTCTATTCAATGACTTTCTGCTATCTCTCCACAAGCTTCATTATCCTTCTTTCATAGAAGTCCTAAGATCTTTGGGCAAAGAAGTCATCCAAGTGGTTTTTGAGGGCGTTCAGGGAACTGACGGTTTTATTATTCAAATTCTTCTGTAGTGTCTGGAACAAGTGATAGCCTGAAGGTGCAAGGTCCGGACTGTGCACGGTGGGTGCGCCAAAACATCCCACCCAAGCCGCAATAACTTTTACCGGGTTATCAAAGAAACGTGTGGCCTAACGTTGTCCTGGTGGAACACAGCCACCTACGCCCTTTCTGTTCCCCAATTGGGGTCGCTTCTGATCGATTATTCGCTTTAATTTGGCCAGTTGTGAGCAGTACTTGGTCGAATCAATCGTTAGGTGGCAGCAGCTCATAGTAGACGATTCCTTTCCAATCCCACCAGATACAGAGCATGATCTTCTTCGGGTGTAATCCAGCCTTTGCGACCGTCTGAGCAGCCTCCTCAGAGTAGACAATCCACTTTTGATCGCCAGTGATCATCCGCTTTAAAAATGGTTCGTTTTGATGGCGTTTGAGCAACAAATCGCAAGCAGAAATTCGGTCCATTAAATTCTTTTCACTCAGTTCGTGCGGCACCCAAACATCAAGCTTGTTTACCATCCCAAGCTTCCGTAAATATCTCGAAACAGTCGATTGGTCAATGTTGAGGTTATGTCCGATCTCTGTAGTCGTCAAATGCCGGTCGGAGTCGATTAAAGCCTTGATTTGATCGACATCAGTAGTGACTGGCCGACCAGAGCGAGGAGCATCTTGGAGATCAAAATCTCTGCAACGAAATTTCGCAAACCACTTCCGATATACACTTTCGCTTACGGCATTCTCTTCGTACATGGCGCATGTCTTTTTGTGAGTTTGCAACGCGTTTTTGCCTTTTCGGAAATAAAAAAGCGAATGCACCGAAAATACACGTTTTTTCCTTTCGTGTTCAAAATATAATTAAACTTCGTATACGTCACGGATCTTGATGAATACTTTCTTAAAATGTTGGCACAAATTTCAGCTTTCACTTAATGTATGACACTTCATATGTTTGACATGTGCGAGCGGGAAAACAACTGCGAACGACATCTGTCAGAATTTCGCTACGGAATTATGCATAGATCCAATATAGTAAGTATATATATATATATATATATATACTTATACATGTAATGACTTATAATTCTGCTACATATCTTGTACATGTGCAGGTATGTATATTATATATATGATCATTATCAAGTACATATACTACAGCAATTAATATAATAAATATAACTATAATTAATATAATAAAATACAGCAATATAATAATTTAAATATGGTATAAAAGTAGCAAGATATAGTCTATCATCTAAGTAATTGGCAGATTATAAGAATGTTAAAACATTTTTATATAAGGTATTATTCAAGCTATTTTATTCGTACATAGTCAGCAGCCACAACATATTCACGAGCATCTACTACAGACTTTGCTATTGTAATTGCTTCTACTAAGGCTGCTGGTTCAGGTTTCTTTGCAACTGCAAATAAATTGAAACCATAATGGTACATTGCAAGCCTTGTAACAGAACCTATAGCCACTGCTTTTATTTCCATGATAGAATAAAAATTTTTTTTAAGTTGTGCAGCAAAATATTCTGCTATAGATGGACTGAAAAAAACAAACATCTTAGGATGATCAACATATTTTTTGAGAATCTTTACTAAATCCTCTCCTAGAGATTCGCACTCTAAAGTTTTATAAACCACAAGCTTGTGCATTGTAATATTACAGGCACGGAGAATATCTGTAATAGTCCCACGTGCAATCTCACTACACGGATAAAATAATGGTTTCGAGTCCTTCTTTATATCGAGAGCAATTTTCTCAGCCAATTCTTGGGAATTACCCAATTGGCCACCGATACAACATTGCAATCCAAGTTGACTCTGAGCTAGAGATTCTGTTGCAGGCCCCACACAGTATGCAGGTAGTTTCTTCCAATGGTCCAAAATGCTTGTATCCTCATCGACTGCAAGTGCAATAGCTTCAACTGTACGAAGGCTGGTTAGTATCAAACCTAAAATATAAATTTGTAAGATGCAAATACATAATAAATGATATTGAAATTTTATATATTAATATATTACCACTATAATCATGTGCCATGGATAACCACTTCCGCAACTCCGACTTATTTACAAATTCGAATCGCAAAGTTCGTAAAAATTCGCAAGTATAACCGGCTGCTTTCAGCGCTTTCACATACGCATTCTGCTCATCATTCTCTTCGTATACACCTCTGCATAATACAACTAATTCGCCATCTCCGGCCATTGTATAAATAAAATTGTCTTATGTCTTTCAAATCGAAATACGACTTTGACTATATAAACATGGGTAGCACTCAGAGAATAAAGCGCTCACTGAGCGATTAGTAACTATTATGGCCTTTCTAGAATAAGCTATTAGTTATAACACATAAGAAAATAAACCAGTCGGAATTCTTTATTTATAGATTGGAGGATTCTGATCGGTTTATTTTCTTATGTGTTATAACTAATAGCTTATTGTAGAATACCCATTAAGCCCTAAACACAATGCCAGGCAACAGGCAATAAGAATAAAAATAGACCAATCACAATCGGCTATTACAAGAATAATCTATTGTGATTGGTCTATTTTTATTCTTATTGCCTGTTGCCTGGCATTGTATTTAGAGCTTTAGTCTTTAGCATTAAATTCTTACATTCAGACCGCTGAAATATATCGAGGCTTATATTTAAGATTGTCTTAAGTTCACTTTCAGATACCCCGTAGCCAATGAAGTAATTTGTACAGCATCTGAAGATAAAGGCTGTGTTCCGATATTCACTGCCAGCACTAAAAATCTATAATATACGTGACACGAACTATGTCTTTTCAGTGCTGGCAGTGAATATCAGAACGAAACTTAAGACAATCTTAAATATAAGACTTAAATATAAGATTTGACTATAATACCGGCCATCGACTGCCAGTTGACCGTTTACCGATGTAATGAACACTGGAAAGCAAAACGGTTTCGACAGTTTTTTTCTGATATCAGTAATCCGTGTAATTATGAATTTGAGAATCACTGCTTAACCAAACTGCACAAAACAAAAAATCACGGGTCTCTCTCTCTCTCTCTCTCTCTCTCTCTCTCTCTCTCTCTCTCTCTCTCGCGTAAATGATTTTCAAATTCTCAACTTCACGGATTACCCATGTCACTAAAAAAAAAACTGTCGAAACCGTTTTGCTTTTCAGTGAACATAAAAAGTGCCGCTAATGACCAAATGGCGATTCCCAGTACTTTAATAACATATGTGAGCTCAGTGATATTTAAGACTGTCTTAAGTTTATCTTTAGATGCTGTACAAATTGTTTCATTGGCTACGGGGTATCTGTCTATGAATACCGGTCTATATCTGCTAATAGTTCTTCTTTACTGTGCTAAAAATAGTTTTGTGTTTTGCTAAACATGGATAAAGCAGAGCAACGTATGATATTCTGTCTCTCTCTTTCTTTCTCTTTTACAATCGGGAATTTACTTAATGTTTCGATTTTTTGCCATTTGGCCCCTGGCGGCGCTTTTCATGTCCATTACCGCAATATAGGAAAAATAGGGCAATCACGACAGCCCATGGATGCGTTCCGATATTCACTGCCAGCACTGAAATTCTGTAGTTATGTGACACAAATGTATTTTTAGTACTGGCAGTAAATTTCGGAACGCAGCCCGTTGGTCTGTTCTTTCTAACTGCACTGCGAAATTAGTGCAATAAGTTAGAATGAGACAACTATATTTTTTCTCACTTTAACTTATTGCACCAGTTCAGTAGTGCATTTAAAAAGAACAGACCAATTGTTTATATAAATATCTAGTTTGTGTCACGTATACTATAGAATTTCAATGCTGGCAGTGAATATCGAAACACAGCCTAAAGAACAGACTTCTGATGTGACGTCATTCTAATAATGCACAGTTTCTGCACTGATGCAGACAGTTCGATTAAATGGTATCATAAGTTTAAGAAATGTCTGTCCACAGTTAGGTTGTAGATACAGATATTTCATCATAAGTTATTAATCAGTAAAAAAGCGTACACAAAGTATTTTTTACATGCAGTTCCATGCATGTAAAATAATAAAAATTTATTGGAATATTCTTTTTTTCATATTGAATTAAATAAAAGACTATCTAACTTCGATCTTATGTTGAAACATTTTTTATGGTTTATTATAGCGAATTTTAAAAAACTATGAGTGATCATATTCCAAGTAAATCGACTGTTTATATAGCAAATTTACCTTTTTGCTTAACCAATAATGATGTACATCAATTGTTAAAAGATTACGGAAAGATTGTCAAGTGAGTATTATTAACGCTGAAATAATTTTTTATGTTACGCACATATTATATTGTTTATTTTCAGAGTAACAATTTTAAAGGACAGAATAACGCGACTTAGTCGCGGTGTTGCTTTTGTATTATTTTTCAACCGAGAAGATGCCGTACGTTGTGCAAGCACACTTAATAACACAGAAGTAAGGTTTAATTTTATTTAATTTTGGTAAATGTTTAGTTTAAAGGTCACACTACAAATTTCAATAAAAATATATTCAATCAATTCGTTTTTATACCTTTTCTCTATTCTATCTTTAGAGAAAGGCAGATATGTGTAATCGTCAATTAATTCCAATTAATATTAATAAAAGTCGTTCACATAATTATTCTTCTGATGATACTAGCTAGGCGGACGCATTGTAAAAAGTTCGATAGCTGTCGACAATGGTCGCAGCAATGAATTTACACGTCGTAGGTACTACCCAGATAAATCACAATGTTATGAATGTGGACAAGAAGGACACTTGTCGTATTGTTGCAGTAACAATATGTTAGGTCCCAGAAAATTACCGCCAAAAAGAGCAAAGATACGAAATAAAAATATGAAACAGGAGAAATGTGACACGAATCATTATGACAGTGACAGTGACGAGATGCCAAAGAAGCCAAAGTACGATAATGATAACATTGAAGATGATTTTAAGGAAGAACCTGAAACATTAAGTGCAGTAATTGCACTCGAGGTATAATCATACAATTTATATTTTCAATTAGAAACTATAAAAGTTAACTCAGAAAAAATAATTCAAGATTGTAATATTGTAGCAAAGAAGGTTTGAAATGGAGAATAGACACGAGGAAGTGATAGACGGACACGACAGAAAAGAAAGTTCAAGCTTATCAAAGAAACGCTATAAGAAAAATAAATACTTTAGTGACGAGGAAGACTTCAGCGAATAATATATACAAATATATAAATATGTATACTTTTTTGCTTTTGATGTATATTAGCACTAATTAAGAACGATGTACTTGCAAACACATCTCTCGAGTATTATAAATGTATAATTATAAAATTAATCTATGCATCAATTTAATCTTTTCATCTTCATCCAGCAAATCCCTCAAAAGTTAACTGATTCAATTTTATTTAACAGTCAAATTTTTTATTCAAACTCCTAGTTTTTAATTTTATGCTCCTTTTCAGTACACTAAATCCAAATGCTTCTTTAAAAAAAAATTCAAGAGCAATATTAGAAATATACTATACAGAATTTTTGTAGTATTTTTATATAAGTTCTTTTTTCTTCCGATTATCACTTATTCTCAATGGTACTTAAAAATTCACTGATATTTTTCAAGTTTAAATATTATGACTTAAAAAGACAAAGTAGTATGTGTATAATCCAATATATAGTTAAGTTCTAATATTTAATTGAACAAGATTGTAATTGTAGTACTAATGTTGTCTCTGAGGTACAAAATCTTTAACCATAGTAAAAGATACTCCAAATTCACTCGTATCAATTTAATTTTTCTGTCAGCATGGCAGGTAGTAATGAGATATTTTTAACATATTTTAGAGAGAAATTATCTTTCTCGTATTTGTTTAGATCTTAACACTTTTAACAGACAAGGTTGCAACATATCGAATATAGTAATATTAATTACAATAGCGTTACATGCAACTATCATATATTTATATATAGAATGTCTCAATTTCACCGAATTTTCAATTTAGATTTCTTAATAAATTTGGAATTTGTCTATAAATATAAAAATTTAATCGCATATTATTTTTTAACTCACAACCTTTCAAATATCAAGTAGCGAATATCAAATAGTAACTAAAATCTGTATTAAAATAAAATCTACTTGAGGTCAAAGCAAATGATAAAATTTATTTATGCCCCTTAAAAACTACGACGTAATATTTTTAATTTTTACTTCTTTATAATACAGTATGCTTTCGTTAAAGAAAAACCGATTGCATCTTGCCCAAAAAATTTATAGCCGATAGAATCTGCAATAATCCTGAGACTACTTGTATGTGTGGGTGTGTATGTGTATATATGTGTATATATATATACACACACACACACATATATGTGGATATACAAAAAATAACTACGTTCTCCTTATACTCCGTCATAATTTAAACATTAAAAAATATATCAAACAGAAAAGAAATCTTACGACGCTACACACCATATAGCGATATCTCTTTTCTTCCAACTAAATAAAAATTTAACATAATTACGCAATCACAATGTACATTATATTCACATACTAAGGCTATATATCAAGGATATGGTTGTATCATATTTAATTTATGATACTATTTTCAGTCCAACGAGTTTGCGTTTTTAAATACTTAAAGCGATGTTAATGCAGTCTATGACGCATACAATTAGACTATACAATATTATGTAACAAAATTAAAATCTTTTACTCTCTATATCAGTCACATCCAGAATTTCAAATTAGTACTATGATCAAACTCTGCGGCACACTATTGTAAGCACGCTTGAACTTTCTCGATCCATTCCTGTGCGGTGGCTGCATCAGCAGCACAGAAATTGTATGTCCGTCTATTTGTACGGAGCTGTAAAGAGGATGAATATATCGTACGCTACAACGCATCACAAATTACATTGGGATAGCATTTTGCAAAAATGAGACTCACAAGTGAAAAAAAAAGAATATATATATATATATATATACATATATATACAGCCAAGTTGACAACTTGAAACGTTGCATTTGAATCCCAATTCAAGATTAATGAAAATTTCACCCATTTTTGCAAAATATTTCTCTCACTGAGATAAGATATATACTTACATCAAAGAATGATTTATCGTCTGTTTTCTTTGGTGGTCCAGGCATCGGCGCAGCTGGAGTAACAGATACCACCTCGGCCAGATCTGCAACGTGTAATTTTGACCAATACGTATTTTTGTCCACATGTTGTATTTTTTAAATTGTTCTCCTACATTAATCGTCTTGTTTCCATCACATACCTATGTATCCTTTACAGTGTGAATCCTCCACTGCATCATAATATCTCAGTTGATGCTTTATGGAATCTAGTACAAACCATCTCTGCTTCCAACCTTTCAAAAGGGCTCCCCGCTTATAAAGATAGCCTTCGTGTGTCCTGTTCTCCGCCACGTTGCTCGAGAATTGCTCATAATATTGCTGAGAAGAAGTTTGTATAGTCGTTACGCCTGCAATTACAAAAGAATATAGTAATAGAGTAATATAATAATACCAAGTAACACAAAGTAATTGATACAACATATAACGAACATTTAATCAATGTAGAAGTAGCGCAAAAGAGTATACAATTAATATATATCTTTTTAGAGAAAGAAACAGCTTTAAAGGCAATGTAACATGTGCAAAGCAACGACGTGACTGTGGAAATTGCTCGATAGCTTAATTATATCGGTGGAAGAACAAAGGTGTACTTGAGTTCACGCTTCCGTTGTCTCCGCCACTTCTCGTAAGTGTGTGAGTTTGGAGATTATCCGTCACAGCCTTGTACTTGGTGCAATTTTTCGGCACGGCGTCGGCACACTTGTCGTGACACACGTGGCCGCAGTCGATACATCTTAACCCGGCCTTCACAGGCCCCCATAACACCCCGGAACACGCGTCACAATGGGTCGGGGTCGCGGAGTCTAGTCTCTCGAATCTGCGGCAAACGGTAGCACGTTAGTGAGACGTGTACAACTAGTCTGAACAATTGAAACTGAAGAGTGACCTATGCGTTACCTATGCGGATGTGCGTAAACAGAACCCTCGTTTCCGGTGGTACTTCCGCCCGCGAGCTTGCCGCGTAACAGCAGTTCCAGGGTGGATCGTTTGTGAGTCAGTCGACCGTGATACCGCACGAGCGCCGTGCTGAACGACGCGTGCCGCTACAGAAAGAAGAATCAATGATGAATACATACAATGTTAATTACAATAACCATAAGGAACGGCAATCATATGTCGTTAAAGGATGAGGATGATCAATTCAATTCGAGTGCTGACTTACAGCGAGCGAATCGGTGTTCGGCAACTCGAGTTTGTCCCATAGCACTTTCCATTTCTGCGGCAAATGACCTAGCTCAGTCTCCAGTTTGTGGATCTCTTCTAAGAGATGCGAGAATTGGTCGGGTACCATCGTGCTCACTCCGTCGTATCTAAAAGAAATCGTAATCCGTAATTCCATATTCTAAATAGTCTGCAGAAATACATTCCGGTCGGTGCCGGAAGTCTCCTTCATGAATTTGGGAGGGTAAAACTTTATAAAAATTACCACTGTGAACTTCTTTCATTTCTTGAAATCCACTTCTGAAATTCGGCTAGACGATCACGACTTTCATTCGCAATCGATACGAGTCTTTTATTCGTATTAAAATAATAAACACTCTTTACATTATAATTTATATCTGGACAAACTACTGTGGATGATTATAAAATTTACCCAATAAGAATAACATGTCTGACGTCTGAGGGCGAAAAATGATTAAAAGCGGCGCTTGGTTCGTGCTTGTTTTGGCCCGGGAAACAAATCCATGAAGGAGGACGCAGTGCCGACGAATCCGAAGAAGCGAAACGAAGCATTTCGCGATGTTTCTCGGTCGTTAAGAGATACTCACCCCTGAGTAACTATTTTACGATTACTCTTGACCACGCCGTCCGCAGCCTCAGCTTCCTCCTCCTGTTGGGAATCCTGTTGCAGCACTTCCAAGTCGTAGGCCGGACCATGCGCCAGCTCCTCCTCCAGGTAGAACTGCCAGATATCGAGGTTCGGCAGATGTCGGACCGGCCTCAGGACGGGATACTCCGTGTTGGGCGTGTACATGAAGTTGTAAAACAACGGGCATCGTGCATGCTGCTTCTCGATATAGTCGAAGATGCTCTGGCCGAGGTTGCAGCCGGTGTTGGTGCCGGCCAGTCTGCCACCCGGGTAGATCGTTTCATCGTCGCTGCCGGTGTCTACGCCCTTGTGATGACTCGTCAAGGAACCTCTCTTGTCCTCGATGGCGGTGATACCGCACTCCACTCTGTCGAACTCGCAGTCTAACAAGAAAGTGCGGAAGCGGCAGGACACCGAGTGGTAAGCCAGGAACTTCAGGTAGTACTCGTTGAACTCGAACGCCAGCGGGAACTGCTTCTGTACCTGATGCACAATGTCCAGGAACTGAAGGAATGTAGGTGTGAAGTTCGTGGTCTGCGAATTCGCGGCGAGATTGCTCCTGTGGCCGAATCGGTGGCCGAAACCGAGCCACTCCTTCTCGATGAGAGTCCTGAAGCCTTCGATCGTCCTGTAATGAGGATCGAGGCACACTTGCGCCACGGAGCACACAGTGGTCGTGGTGTCCCAGCCGTCTTCCAGGCAGACGGCCACCGAGGAGCCCTGCATGTCCATCAAGTCTATGACCGCACCCGCCAGCTGCATGAGATTCTGCAACTGCTGCAGCCATTCCGAACTCTCGATAAGTCTGTAGAAGCTCTGGTCGGGCTCCACGTTCGGCGAGCTTGGCACACAAGCCCGCATGAGCTTCTTGAAAGCAGCCTTCGTGTGCCTGACGTCGTAGTACTCCACCGGGATAAAATCCGTCTTGGGAGTCGACTCCGCCTTAACGCCCTTCATGTGCGCCTTCTCTCCCAGGATATAAAGAGCGGCGCGCTGGAAGGTGTGGACGCATTCCGTGCCGCTGTCAGAGTCCGCGGAGTGTCTGACGGTGCCGCGCTGGTGAACCGAGGTCAGAGAGGCCTGCGACGAGTTGTGCCTCTTGTCCTTCAAAGAGCCCCACCGGCCGAAATTCTTCGGGCCCTTGCCGCCCGACGAGCCGAGAGTGCCGAGCGGCTTGTTGAACGGATTGCGTCGCGATTGTTCCGGAGTGGCGTTACGATCCTCGGCCGCCAGCAGCAACGAATCTATGCTGAGGGAACTGTCGGACATACCCCAGGCGGAACCTTGTCGCAACACGGAAAGCGGCGTCACCGCCACGAGAGCCATCATATACTTTTCCTGCTCCAAGGAGGACGTGGTCTCCGACGACGTGGTCTTCAGGTTACTGCTCGATGTCGGGTGTGCCTTCAACATACCCATCACGCCTTTCCCATGGTAACCGGCGCCTCTGATCAACAAGGCTTTCGTTCGCGGATGCCTCCAGGTGACGACGGGCAGTCTGCTGTGGCGGTAGAGCCTGCAGAACCGTCGGATGCTCTCGTCCGACACGGAAGTTGGCACGATCAGGAGCGCGGGGTAACTCCGGCACATCATGTAGGCGCAGTTGACCGAGGACAGTCGGAAGGGCTCGTTGCGACGGTTGTTGTGCAGCCCGTTCGTGTAGAGACCGAGCCGATACCAATCACGCACGTAACTGCGCTCGGACAGACGTTCCAACGTCTTCGCGTCGGTCGGTGGCTGCGACATCATGCCCGGTATCTCGAAGTCGTCTATGCTGAGATCATCGTCATGGCTGAGATCATTATTGTCGGTCATCGGCAGGCTCATGCGGCCGGGCGATGTCATGTATTTATTGTTGCTAATGAGATTCATGTTCGGTAACACGTACTTCTGCCTCTTGGACGACTGCTTGGGCTTGAAACCAGCCTTCCTCGCGGTCTTCAGCAGCGTCTTCTTCGCGAAACCCTTCAGCGTGGCGTTCTTCTCCTTGCCCTTGTGATGGGCTGTCTGCGTTACTAGGACGTGACCGTTGAACGCGAAATGGTGGAAGATGTGCGGCGGATACCGCGCCTTGTGCACCAGTTTCCTCAGGGTGTCGATGTTCTCCGGCGTGACCTCTTCGTCAAATGCCAGCTTGATCAGCTGGAATGTGCAGGAGCGTAGCTGCAGGCCCTCCTGCAGACACTGATCCAAGTGCGCCAAGTGCTGCACAGCGACCCGCTTCTCCTTGGTCAAGGACGTCACGGGAAATGCCCGAACGACCAGTTGTTCGCAGGCGAACGGGTCGCATGGTATACCCTTGAACACGATCCTGTAATTCGTCAGGAAGATCGCACCCTCGGCCGGCAACAACGGCGGTATCTTCGGCAGCCCAGCGGAGCCCTCCTCCCTGCCATCCGGGAGAAGATAAACGCGCAAGCCGTCCATTATCACTTCCTCGCCCGGCAGCATGTTGGGCGTTAGAATCTTCGGCTTCTGTATCGGTGGTAATCTCTTGCTCTCCCTGTGGACCGCCTCGAGCGTCTCGATGTGCATATGGACGACACCCGGCACCATTTGATGCAGACACCTCACATGCTCGGCGCTCACACCACCCTCCGTGCAGACACGGTCCACGAATCGCGAGACCATGCGGATAACGGCACTACCAGTCTCGCCGGGGTCAGTCTCCTCGAATCCGGACTCGGCATCGCCGCTGTCGCTCGCCACGCTGTTCGTGATGCTGTTGCTGGCGCGCTCCTCGTCGTACACGTTGTCTTGACGATGCGTCTTCGAGCCGATGTCCAATGGCACTAGCAGGTAGACCATCCTGTTGGCGTAGTGGATAGCCTGGCTGTACATGGTGCTCTCCTCGCTGTTGACGAGCTCCTTCTGCTTCTCGGGGTCGATAGACGGCCAGATTCGCATCTGGTCCGCGGCGATCTCCAGCGCCGACGATTCTTGAGCCTGATAAATGGAGTATCGATCTCGATACGGAAACTCTTTGCCGTCACGCGGACTGATGGGGCTCAGGATGACGTCGTTGATTGGTCTGGCAGGTGAATTGTCGCCCGGCAAATACAAGCGTTTGATGTCTTTTTGCACATCCAGGTAGAACGCGTCCTCCCAGAACTGTTGGTTCTGCCAGACTGGGTGCTCCTGGATGCAGGTATACGCGAACTGTATCACCCCGGTGCACAGCTTCCTGCAGAATGCGGTGGCGAGCGGCAACAGCGCGGCCGCGACTCCGTGCTCGTCCATCGACGAGTCGTCCTGCAGCGCGCAGTTCATCAGACGCACCACCAGGTCGAATTGCTGATGCTCCAGCATGGCCTTGTTGCCTACCACATGCTGAGACAATTCCATGCAGAGCGCCAAACGAGCGGCCTTACTCTTCAGGGCCCGCAAGACGGCGGGAAATGTCTTACGAGCGTCTGAGATTTTGTTCTCGAATATGCAGTTGATACAATTGCGCAATACTTCCAGCCTGCGAGCGGAGTTGCTGACTAGATGTCTGGTATCGTGGACGAATGAAATGTGTGGACCCATCGGCACGATACGCGGCTGAACCGGCCGCAACGATGATAGTCTGACCTTAAGATTGTTCTTCGCGAGACCCTCATCGATGATCACTTGCACTTGCTCGACGTTGATGCGCGGTAAAAGAGGTTGATGGATCCTCGCGAACGCGCCCTCGGGAGGCTTCAGGATCTTCTGCACGTATGGCTGCGGATTCGGGTTTTCGTTCATGTAGAGTTGCTGCGCCAGCTCCTGGATGTGCATCAGGATGATTCTGTGATCCTGCGCTTCCTGCTTCAGCTGATCACTTAGATTACTGTACAACTCATCCCACACGTCGCACGGTCGCCATGGCGGGCCTCTCTCCGCGATGAAGGATGTAAAAAACATGCAGTCCAAGACCCTGGTGGTGAAGTCGCAATCCGTTAAACCTCTCTCACCCAGAAAAGCCGCTTTGTGGAAGGTTATGACCGGCTTCGGATGTATTCGTATCAGCGTTAGACAACTCCGGTATCCTTGTAACAATTGAGCAAACGCCCGCATGAACACCGCTCTGAGTTCTTTGTCGAGCATCGGCGAATGCGGTACTCTGGTAGCGAGTGGAGGAAAAGCGTAATCGGCGCACGTTAATTCCGGCTGCAATACTAGGGATAACGCGTCTTGCGTCTGCGAGAGCAACGGTTCCGGCAACAAAGAGAGCGAAACACCGTCTGGAACCATTATAGAGCCTCCGTCCAGATCGGCGACTATTACATCCATCTGGAAGGACAAAGAGATATCGCTTGAGATGAGCGCTTGAACGGAAGCAACATGTTTTCGTAATTCTATGCAGAATGCCTTACAAGTTCCGCAACTTCGTGCTTCAACGAGCTATGCACGCCCATAATGAACGGGGTCGGAGTGCTGAGTATTTCGACTAAAGCCGCTGGCAAAAGAGGAATGTAAACGTGCGAGTATCGAAACGGATACATCAAAGCCGTCAGGGCGCGACACCCTTCGGTCAGTCGAGAATAACTGGCAGAGTGAAAAAGTATCTTGTGTTCTGTCATGACTGCACAAAATAATACTAGCACATTACGAATACCTGGAAATAGTATCAACGATTTAACAAACATCAACAAGTAGGTGAATCATTGTGAATTGTATACATCATTTAATCATTATTGTTTCCTTACCTAATTGTTGAAATAATAAATTTACACTAGTATGAGTTATAGGAAGGGAGGGGCTAATTGGTGGCTGAAGCGCTTGACGATCGCCTGCTCCGATGCTGAATCGCACTTGAGGCCCGCCAGCAGGAGGTACTTGAATACATCCTAATATATTTCCGACTAATGTCTCTAATGGTATACCAAGATTTTCCACGTATACTGTGTAAATGATACCAAGACAGTTCTGTAAGAATGACAAATCATTGTTGAAGCAAACCAATTACGGATGAAAGGGAATGATGTCTATTATACAAATATCCACGTACTCTAAATGTTTCTATGTAATCGAGTCTGGAAACCAGCACCAGACATTTAGGTGCGTACATAATGCTATGATGTGCAATAGCGGGTATTGCCCTGACCAATGGGCGGCTGTCTCCATCCACAGGATCCTCCTCCTCGTCCACAGGTTTACTTGGCACAATCGATACCGTTTCATTGAAGCACATGCAGGCACAATAATGTCGGTTCGCATAGACATCCGTTAATATCGAAACAAAAAAGCGTGGTTCTTGTCTTTCTGTTGACAAGGCCCAACCTTGTGGTTGACAAAACTATAATAGGAACAATATTTTAGTAATGTTAAAAACAAAGTAATGTCACAGCAAATTCCTTTCTCCCAGGGAAATAAGTTGAAAGATAGGCTTACCCATTCTATTCCTTCAATAAAAGATGTATCTGGCCAGTCTTTTTCTGGAAATCGTTGTAATACAATCCCGCTACTCACACCACCCCCTATAATTAAAATATATAAACATACATTAATACGTATCGATATTATATGGACATATTTCATCATACAAGTATCAGTATATACATATAATGTATACTGTAATATATAAATATACAAGTGATACACTAGTGTTATATGAACATATCACATGCTTTTCTATTTCGTACTAAAAACAATTTAGTTTCTTTCAAGTAAAACAGAGAACATTGTGTTGTACTACAGAACTAAGGAATCGATCGTTTACTACTTGGTTCGCCACGAGATTAGTGCCATTTGTCAGAACACTTACTAAACGGTCAAAATCATTCAAAAATATCTTTTGCTCCTTTTTCTTTCCCTTTGCAAAACTTAAACATATAATCATTACTGCAATAGATTCTTCCAAGCTGAACTAGTACTGTAACTTCTTGCTCCTTTAACTCTCATTGTTAAGTAACACACTTGTTTGACTCCAATGGCACACAGTATGATCTAGTTCAGTTTTGAAGAGACCTATCAGCGCGCGATATCAAAGGAAGCAATGAGAATATGCGGATGAGAAGATAAAAAATGAAATCAAAACAGGAAAAGGTCAAGCGCTATTCCAATGCCGATATGAGAAACGATTTCGGTGACGACGGTGACTCACTTTCTTTCTCGTGGTCGTAGCCGACCACTACGAAGTAGTCGGCTAACCGAGACATCTCGGTGTATTCGTGGGGCTGAGTGGGGCTGACAGCGCTCAACATCCCACGTCGGATTCGTTACACGCGATCTCATGGACTGCAGCCTCGTCCCCGTAGCGACCAAACTACCTTGCGTCAAACGCGAGTACACCGGTCGCGCGCGTGTCAGTGCGCGGGGCGATTTGAGATAGTCACGATCATAATTCTCGCATACGCTTCTCGTCTTGATTCTTCGCGCGCCGGCGACGCGTATCGACGTCAACGTTGAGCCGGAGTACAACGGCTGAACCCTCCTTTCGCGCGGGGCGACGGTGTCGGCGACCTTCGTCCGCGTCTGCGAAAAAAATGACGGCCAAGGGAGATCTCGTGCGCGCCAACTTTCGGCGATCGTCGCGCGCGTGCAGCGCACTTTCAACGTGACATCACACCACGATCCGTGTCCCGTAACGTCTCGCGAGCCGCCGAATACGATGCCACACCCCGAAACTTCAATCCATAACCTTCCAGACTCAAACGCCACATCGAGTGTTTGTTGAATCCACGTATGGTACGGGCGGCCGAAACGCACAACGGTTATGCAAAATGAAGACGAGAACCAGGGCGGCTAAACTCGCGCACATTCTACGAGGATGCTGCTAAGGTGTCATCTGCAAGTGGCGGCAGGAAATTAAAGCAACATGACGGCTTTCCCGCTACGGCGTTCCCTCCCTCCGAGATCCCTCCCTCGCGCGTTCCAATTTCCAACAAGACTTCATTCTGACATTGTAAGACGGTTTCTGGCGGTTACAAGAGAACGAGTACTTTCGTGTTAATTATATGTTATTGTGATTATACAGCAACACATGCCGGAGGATAAGCGCAATCGAACGGCTTCATCGTGGAAACAGATGTAGATGGCGCATCGCTCGATCGTTTGCACGGAAAACACATCGGTGTGGTCGTTCTCAGGCTTTTCCCCGCTATTATCGACTCGTATTGTCGTGCGGTGCGGTTTCCTTTTACAATCGTAACGACGGAGGCACCGGCGATGGGCCTTGCTATTTTGCGTTTCTCACATCGAACGCGTAATAAGGTCCCACGCGAGGACGCAAACATTTTGTGAGTGGCGTTGGAGTATCTATTGTATCATATTGTATGCACAGAGCCATCTATTGAAGAAGAAGAAGAAGAAGAAGAGGACGCAAACATGACATTTTATTGTGACTTATCGAAACACGAGTGAGGAAGGGAAGCGTGTGGTGTGAGTATCGTGGTGGACGTTCTTTTCTCTCCTCTGTTTTCTGAAGAGCGGCGAATACAATCTTCTCCACTCGTTCTTTATACATCTTGCTTGCAATTCCCCCTCTTCTCTGCCCAGCTGAAGCCTGAATGTATGTTTATCTTATTTGAAATGCACAAGCACAAGTAAGGATAGCGCGAGCAACAAGAATTAACCTAGCCGTGGATCACAGGGTCTGTCCCCCTTTGATTCTACTCTCTACACTTTCTCTCTGTAATTAATTTCTCTCTTTGTCCTCTTGCATTCCTGTATCTTATCCGCGTATTTTCGTTTCCCCCTGTGTCTCTTACAGTCTTTCTCTTCGTAGATTATTGTTTCATCGGCTCTTTTGCTAAAAGTAACAATAGACTTTTCAAATTTCACTAGATTTGCTTTTGTACCTTGAAACATTTAATATCTATTTTCAGAACTCGGAGCGTAATGACGCGCAACTTCTCTTTAGACAGGCCTAATAAGCATCGTTGCCGTCGACGATAAGACGCGACACACAATGAATGATATGTGGTATCAGCAACCAGTTGGACCCAGTAACTTGGGACACATGAGAAGCAGGGGCACTTGAACAGCAGTCCCCTGGGGAAGAGTATTGTATCTAGTTTAGCTAGAGGAAGGAAGTACTTGCCAGTGGCCGAGGGACGCCAAAGGAAGGTGCTGCATCACCAGTCAATGATGGATCTCTGAGAAAGATCCTCGCGCCCACGCCATATCGACTCTCATGCACTTCTGGATCAACAAGCCGGCGGGCAGGTACTACGGCTTCACCTGCCGCCGATACCCTGCCACACCTGTACCCAAGACGTATTTCAGTAAGTATGTGGTCACATAGAGACACAGATCAGGATATTGGAGAACCACAAACCAGAACTAATGTTCACTCGCAGACCGATGTTTGCATGGCGGTGAGCTCAGGAGTGTTGTGACACCAGTGCCTCGACTCATGGGCCTCGGTAATGCGGTCGGAAACACGGCTGGACCTAGTAACGTCAGTTCCTGCCGGAACGTCAGCCGGCCGAGCACGCGGGTTCGCAACGAGAACAGTCGGCACGGTTCGTCGTCACTCCGGGCCAGCCGGCTCGCCCAGCTGCACAACATCCCCAAGTAATTAATGAAACACAAAAAGGTCTACTAAGAGGAGATTCTGAGGAACATGCTCTTCCTATATACAGGGTGACTCACTTATACATGTCTCTATCACAACGGAAAGTACTTATAAATGAATCGCCCTCGGCTCGCAGTCCCGCGCTTAAATAAGAGATAAGGCACGCAACGGCTTATCGTTTCGCGCGCGGGTTGTTCGCAGCAACGTCACCGACACTAGCAACAATCAACTGATACTGCCCAACGCGACCGCGAACGGCACCAACAGGGGTATACTGGGCTTTTCCGAATTCAGCGACGCGGAACTGGCTGGCTTCCGGCTGCGTTGCGGCATATGGATCACCTTCGTCGTGGCGTCGACCTTCGTAGCCGCCGCTAAATTCTACTTTGGTTATCGGGTGAGCGTATGCCGGCTTTCTACCCTTAACAGCAGTAGATCAACGTGATCCTGGCGTTTATCTGCATTTTCGTTCTTCCTCATCCGTCTCTCCCACGATTCGTAATCGTGCTTTGTCACTTGGTCAGGGACCGGGACTGGAGATACTTGTGTTCTGCGGGCTGCTGCTGCTGTTGTTGATCGCGTGCCTGTATTCAATCTTCTGCCGCGTTCAGAGCCACGGCCGGCCGGAGCACCGCATGCAGGAGGACCATATCGCTGCCCTGACGAGCGCCACCGACGTGTCCGTCGGCGAGAGCGTGAGGCCGACGGTGCCAGCGACGGTGAGGCAGAACCCGCCGCCACCGACGACGGTGAGACAGAACCCGCCTCCGCCACCTTATCACATCGCCATTCTGATACCGCCGCCTAATACCACGGACGAGGCGCCGCCGCCGTCTTACGACAAGGTCATGCGATGAAACCGGCGGAGACCGGTGGGAAATCAAGCCGACGATCTGTTATCGATCCGGGCTTCTGTCGCTTCTCGTGGCTGCGACATGAGCTAGAGAACGATAGGAACGTGAGGAACTACGAACGACAAGGTCTGACGATGAAATCGGCAGACCGCTATGAGATCGAGCCAAATGATCGAGCGAGAAAGTATTGTGGCGTGCGACACTGCGTGCATGATTTTCTGCTCGCATGAAACGGTTGAACCGTGCGATTAACTCGCTCGCAAAAAAGCGGGAAAATCGATCGGGGAAAGGTCGCCTGGCATGAACTTTCTCTGCAGAACTTTTCTTCTTTCGACATTTTCACGTCTATTCAGGGGTGTAGCGACAGCTCGATGAAAGGGAGAGATGAGGGGAGTCTTTGGAAGGTAGTAGAGTTAAGAGAGAATGTTCGTGAAGCTCGCCGACGATCGTCCCGGGCCTCGAAATTCTGGGCTGCGCCCCTACACGCCAAAAGTATAGAAACTGCGAGATTACAATACAGAGTGATTCGAGATAGAGCGCCATTAGCGAGCGAACCGCTTGTTTAAACCTCGAGAGAGAATAATTTGATGCGAGCCGGTAATTCCCGTACGGTGAATTTTCTGTTCGCGGAGATTCAGCCTCGAAAGTGCGAGCATCGTTGCCGAATTCATTCCGATAAATCGTCTCTCTTCTCTTCAACGATCTATTCTTCCATGATTTGTACTGAGACGTCGTCTCAGACCTAGGATAAGGAGTACGCGCTTCCTTGAACTCTGATCCCGAATCACTCGAAACACTTCCAATACGATTATAAGACTTTCGACGATCGATTACGCGTGAATACGTCGCATTCCCTTGTTACTGCAAGTTCGTAACAAGCGGGCATGAATCCATAGAATAGGTGATTTTTCACGTCTGTGATAAGAATGCAATGATGTAACATTGACGACTCACGTACACGTACACACTATATACACGCGGCGAGGATTTGAAAGGAGAAAATGAGAGAAATTCGTGTGAAATTATTTTTTAGCGGGTATCAATACAAATCGAGAACGATTGTATTCACCAACGAATTTGCATTTGATGCGGATAAAATTGTATTCTAATCTTATACACTGCAATCATATACGAGACTGTACGATATATTTGACTTAGGTTTAGGTCATACAGCGTACATACAGTTGTAAACGGTAAACATTCATCCGCTCGTTTACGTTTTGGTTCTTCTGTGACTAGTTTTATACTTTAGGAGAGGTGCTCGAATCAAAGCTAAAGTGCGGATTCACGTTAACAGCTGTCTAACTAAAAATGCCAAATGAGAATATCGAAGATCTGTGTGTCCAGTTGTTTTGATGTTGGCTTGAGTGTGTAACCAACTGTGTGTCGTTGAAGAAAGTTTGAAACGAACAGACAAAGTTTAGTCACACTTTTGATTAGACAGCTGATGCGAGTGTACTTTAACTCTCGATCTGGCTCTGACGCATCTCTCTCTCTCTCTTTCTCTCTCTCTCTTTCTCTCTCTCTCTCTCTCTCTCTCTCTCTTTCTTTCTCTCTCTCTCCCTTCTAAATTGCGATTTTATATCAAGGTGCATTTCCTTACTTTAAGACTCCGTGAAGACGTTCGCATTTTTTAGCTGCTTTTCGATCGTTAAATTATAAAACATTTCCAGGAGAATCGTTGGACCGTTGTTGCGTCCGTTCGATACCTTGACTACGTATCTTTACTGCAGGATGCCTATAGAGTGTTTTATTAAACGCATTTAAACACACAGGACACTCATAAATATGCATCCATTCACACGATATAAAAGAAGCGCACAAATTTAAGCGTGCGATTCGAGTCGGGACATGAAAAATTCGCGAGACGCACGTACATGACTCGGTCGCCACTTACGACGAACTGATAATAATACGGAGTGTTCGATAATCGGCATGTTTAACGTACGTAGTGCGTTAATTTCTTCACGAAAACCGATTCGACCTTTCTGAAACGAATGTCCCATCTGTGGGACCAACATTTTATTACGAATAAAATGTGATTTTAGTAACGAGTAATATCTCTAGTATCTTAAAAAAGTGTGAAACGCGATCCTCCGGACACAAAAATCCGCCGACTATTCGCTTAACTGTCAAATGAGTTCGGTACCGATCCGTAATATAAAGGTAAGAACAATCGTGTTGCGTTTACTGAATGCGCTCATCGAATATCGTATGCACCGCGTGTATCGCGTGCTTCACGATATGCGAGACACACGCGCAGAGTTTCACTGTACTTTGCGACATGTAACACAGATGTTAGGAAAAGCTACGAGCTGGCGCGTCAGATCATAATACGATTTTGTATTTCTCTTTTTCTCGGTGAATGAATGCGTGAATGGGGAGAGAAAGAGAGCGTGGTGCATGTACGCATGTAAAATGATCGCTTACGTCATAACCCTGTATATTTAAGGATAGCTACATATAATACACACTAATGTGAGATCTCGTTTGAACGTTCTTTGTAACTGTAAGTCGCAACCGTATCGTGATGTACAAAATTCACCGTACTTTTTAACTGCACTTAAAGAAACACATTTCAATCGAGAGAAGTGTGAAGAAACAAGACTCGGATTCTCCGTTACCTCCACATGCGTTCTCAAATGCAAAAAAAATCATCAAAGTAAAATTTGAAAGAAGACAACTCGCATATGCACAGTCACATAGACAAATAGAGAATCTACTTATCTCGGTATGAAAGAAATAAAATTGGAGAATGTGAGTCTTGTTTCCATTCACTTCGCGAAATTCTTTTATCTTTTTCGTTCTGCCGTCTCAATATATATTCTTTTTATTCTGAGTTACGGGAAGCGTAAGAAAGTGCAGCTGAAAAGAATAAACGGACCTAAAGTTCGTTTTCTCTTCCTACGAGTCACAGTTTAAGAAAATTGCAGTCTGTTCGCCGCACGCGAAGTGTCGTTTAAATGTTTCCATCGACTTCATTCTTATTATCTGTGCTCTCTCGACACGAAGTAGATACAATGGAAATAAATTTCTACTCGTGTCAGTAAGAGAGAAGAGAAAGAAGCCAAATAAATGAGCAGAGAGCGCAGCTAATAACAGCGGACTCATATAGCAAAGATACAGCGCAGTTCTTCCGTAAGATTGATGAAATAAGTGTGTTTAAATCGTACACGAAGCACACGCGACGACAAGATGAAGGCAAATAAAAAAGATCTTTCCTCGTGAAGTTGCTTCACGCGCACGTGTTACGAAAAAGGTGAGTTCTCTAGCTCTGATTAATGATAATTGTATTACGATATCGTCGGTCTTGAAGAAACAGCTGTCGAGAACTTTTGTTCGTGGATCACGATAAAATCAGTAATACAATCGACCAGCAAAATGCAAGTGAAATTTGAATTGTGAATTTCTTTTCACAGATAGATCACAAAGTTTTTCAGTTTTCAGTAATATTAAGTAATAAATAAATAAATCATAAAATAAAAATCAGGAAATAAGTCATAAATTATAACGAACGATTTGTGAATTTTTCTTCGAGATCAACGATACATCTTTTCCATCAAGTGACAGTACATATATTACTATGATACAAACGCGAGATTACAGTCTCTTCGAAGCATATAATAATAATAATAATAATAATAAATCAATGATATCCCGATTACAAACCACGTTTATGATCTCGTACAGAGACATGTATCTTTCACCGAGATGAAAGTACTTCGGAGGCTGTCGTGTCAAAAGTACATAATTATCGAAGAAACGAGATAAAATACTTGTAATTCAACCTTCGTTTTTCACTCTGTTTCATCAGAGCCGTTCTTTTGAACACTGATCGTTGTTAACCGAGATTCAACCGATTCTCCGTCTTTTTTTCAATCTTACATAGTCGCTTAAAACTAATTATAGAGACTAGTGAAAGTAATAACAATCTTTCGGAGAAATTATTTAAATAATTCCGAAATAATTTCTCTAAATAGCCAATGTCGTCAATTATTTCCAGTTCTCTCCTCGAGAAGACGGAAAATCGGTTAGATATCAGTCAAATTGAAGGATTCTAATGGTTCAATACACTTTTGCAAGAGCTCGAGGGATCCTATCTTAAAGCTATATAAATATTTATTGTATCTTACAATAATAATTATTTAATTTACATCTGAAAGCAGAGGGAAAGAGAATGAAATCTAAATCAACTTTCTCAAGCTCTTGAAGAGGCGAATGGAATTACTATGTTCCGTCAAGAATCTTTCATTTCGATTAATGTTCATAGCAACGGCACTAATAATAAATTTCATCGTACACGATAGCGAATTTGATGAATCTCAGCCTCTTGCGCACTGCCAGCAACAATATTTGGCGCAAACGATAACGAGATACGAGAATCTAGCGATCATTCTCCGTGCGCTATCTAAACCCTTTGGATTTCGAACAGCTTGACGTCTGTGTCGTACCATATGGGTGGCTCGACGTTTCTCAGATATATCACGCCCCACATGTACGTGCGAAACCATGCAGTCGTGCCAGGATTAGCCTGATATCGTCTGATAAGAATAGGATGCGGTACCGGTAACAGGCCGACCAAGGTACCGTGTTGCAGGAATTTCAAGATCTCGCTCTCGTCCGTCAGTCCTCTGTAGCGTTAATCAGATCAATAAAACACGTGAATGGAAACGATATTGTTGTTGCTTTGTACGACCATGTCTGGCCGCTGGAAGAAAGACCGCTCAAATTCAAAAGACCAAAACACGTTGATATTTTTATTGAAGAAAATCTGGATTAAAATCGGAATGTTTCTCTGCACAATAATATAAACGACAACACTTAACTTCATAGGAATATAAATATCAACGTGTTGTCGTTCAATTTATCACACTATGAGATTCGTCAACAAATCTTTATCAAGCCCTTTATATTCTCCATTTAATATATTATTAGTGCGATCTTTTCTAAATGTATTATTTTCGAAAGACTATATATATATATATATTTATTTAATATATTATATTATTTATTTAATATATTATTAGTTTTATTTAATATATTATTTAATATTAATATATTATTTAATATATTATTAGTGCGATCTTTTCTAAATGTATTATTTTCGAAAGACTATATATATACCTTCGTTTTTGTGTTATTAAAAAGAAGAAAGAAATATTTAGAGATGCGTATGTTTGAATATTCAGTTTTCCTAAGAGCGAAAGAACGATTCAGCACTCATACTCACTTGTCGATGCAGATCTTCTCGACCTGCGGCACAAGCACCTGAAGCAGTCGCATGATGGTCTGCAAAGGAAGCTTGCTCTTCCATTGGTACACCCAGTCGCTGGACGGCACCCACTGGTTCACATTGTTGACGTTGGAATTATTCGCCTGCTCCGCCACACGAATGCCTCCCTTCTGCTCGGAATAGATTTTGGTCATAAAGAGCACACGCGACAAGTAATCAGTCGCAGACGATGCGTCGACGCGATTCTTACCGGTACTACGGAGTTTTTGATCGCGTTCGTCGAATCTTCCTCCGTAACGTCCGGAGTTTTGCACTCGCGATTATTGATGGACTTGCCAATGTCGACACTCGCTGCTGGACTCAGCGGATGCGCTGATTCTTTCTCCGTCATCTTCTCTATACCTGTTTTATCGCAAAAGCAACTTGTACAGTTTCAGACACAGACATGAAGCAAGCTCAAATGAAGTTACAATCGACCGCCAAAGGGAGCTCACCTGGAGTTTCCAATAAGGACGCCTTCAGAGTGCCGGGCTCGGCGGGTTGCGCTGGATGCGATCCTTCCATCGCGGCTTCGCTGACATTCTCGTTGGATGTGCTAGCGGGTACATGACGACGCTGCCTCTTACTGAGAGACTTTGCGATCGTGTTGCAGTCACTGGGTAGGTTCGCGAGCGCATGGAACACTTGCCGTTTGCGTATTATAGTATACACTAAATTGCTGTTCCCATCGAATTGATACTAAAAACGAAAAACACGAGGAATAAAGGTCGTCTTCTATCTTCTTCCTGTTCTTTATGATACACGATCATGTTTACTTGGATAATATTGTTGAAGATCTCCAGTAGAAAGAACACCAAGTGGTGATTAGTGGGCGCCGAGAATAGAAACCATGGTGTACTAAATGCTTCCAATAAATGCAACAATTTCGTGCTTGCCACCATGGACAGAGTTTTCAAGTACGGCGAAACGTTGACCAGGATCGTCAGCAGACAATCGAATAACGGTTGCAGTCTCTGATGACCAGTCGTGATGATTTTGTGGAATACAGTGACCAAGAGGTCGGCATGCGTTCCTGAAACGTAATGATAGCGATTAATCCTTTGTGGTCGGCAGATTTCGAAGAGATCAATAAAGAGATTGATATCTGCAAGTTGATCTAAACATTTGAATCTAGCATCGGGAGGATGGTTTTCTTTCATTATCGCTAGCCTCGCTCGCCGTACCGCGCGCCAGGCGATCATTAATGCCAGCCTGGCGGCACCGACTTCTACGACGACTTGCGAATGCCGCCACTGTGGCGGCACCGACCGCAATGGGTTAAAAAAATACGCTAGAGTGCAACTAATAGTCTCACAAGCAAGCTCAATAATTACGATCAACTGCAATCCAATTACCTTTAAGATCATCAGGTAATTTACGTTATCATACCTGTAAAAACGGGAATATCCATAGGCACTGTAGCTGTGTACGGCTTGTTCAGTCTCACGCCAAAATTACGCTCTCCGCTCAAGAGAAGTAAGATAAATACACCAATATGCATCAAACCAACTCGTGCTGAAGTTTAATTTATTGGATTAAAAACATAGTTAATTCGTTTTCTCTGTTCTATTACGTAAACGTAAGAATAAGAGGATGAACAATTACATTGGTCAGCGCGTGAATCGTTCAAGTGATAAAGTATCGGCACGAGAACTTCCAGGACGTCTGAGCTCTTTAGCACGTAATATAAGAACTTCTTATTGTAGTCGCACATCTTCCAAAAGAATACCAACAGTTCCTGATGAAAATGCACTTTCTTGGTTGAGTTTGGTAGGTAAGTTTGCATCAGTGGATTGTTCAACAATCTGGTGATACCCTTCAGGACAAATTGGAAGTCTGCGGATAGAAACCAACAACGGGTCTTGCACAGATTAATTCTGACTTGATGAAATAATTCACAAATGAAAAGAACCAATGGCAAAGTTTTCATATCTTCATATATGAATTCTTTCCTTTTCATTAATATTGTACTAGAACTTTATTCTTTTTCTCTTCAATGCTAGATTGCATGTTTATTTCACTTCGAAGGTGAACAATGCAATTTAATTCAGCTAGAAACATAGATCTACGATAAGTTGCCCCGGAAAAAGATGTTACCTTCATCGCGATGAATTCGACTTAAATAATTGATGAACAAATTGTCGCCGATCGTGCCCTCCTCCAATGGCGCACCGCCTGTAGTATCGTGATCCAATGTCACGATTAGAATCTGCAATGCGACATCGACGAGAGGCTCCAAGGAGTCGGTAAACAACAAATGATTATACGGCACCCCATAACCGACCGGATCGTAAGCACACACAGTGTTCAACAGTGACGTGAACATAGGCAATACATGTCTACGAGCAATCGTACGTAATTAGCATTTAATACACATTTTGTACGCGATCGACATAATAATTTTCATCGAAATGAATCACCTGTTTTCACTGCTGGTTAGGTGTTGAATCCATCTGTTTGGCATAACTGACAAATCCACCGGCGGATTGTACATCGTTTCGCTGAAGCATGTCAACAGCAGTTTCAGCAATTCCGTACGATTTGAGTCGAGAATGGGATATCTGGGTGGTGAATATGCAAAACCTACTCCTGCTTCCCAGATATACTCACAACTATCTATCGACTGCAACTCTTCGGCTTTATCCTGCAAAGATATATGAGTTTGAATAAGAGACACACACATTTTTTTGTTGCATCTTTAATAACTATAATTCAGAATTACCGGTCCTGACTTTCTGCTAGCAGCTACAGTAAAATCAGGACAAAACAACAGATCCTAAAAACAAAGTCGCAGATTACTTTGGGCACAATTTATTATGTTAAAAAAAAATATTTTTTAAATATATTTCAAATATCTTACACAGAGTGCATTCAATAGAGAATGGGCCAATGGCAAACTCTCCTCATTATCTTTCCCAGGTAGGCTGGACCAGAAAAAGCCTTTCCAGTCAGAATCCTCAAATATATAAGGTAACAAACGTGTGAGTAAACGGCAGCAGTTCAGAACAGTCTGATGCTCTCGCTGAGTCCTGCAACTACTGTCTACTGCCTTGACTAACTTCTCAACTGCCTTGTAACACAATGTTGCTAAGTTAGAAGGTGCTTCTTCCCTTAATATACGAATTTCTGGGGCCGGAATCAAAGTGAAGATATCTTGAACATTGGTAACGTTCTCAGACCAGAACTGGTCCCAAAATGTATCATCTGATGCATCAATCACCTGTTAATGTAGTATATAAATTATTAATAAGTTTCTATTAGCGACAGATAATAGTATCATATTCAAGTTTTTTACAAAAAACTTCTGTTTCTTAATATAAAGAAAGCACTCTTAATATTTCAAAACTTTTAATGTTCAATTATAAATTCTGAGTTTAATTGTATATAATAATACAACAAATTTTATTTTTTAATTATATTTGTAAAGAATTATCGTTATAAATCGATAATCCTATTAAAAATTTTCTTTCAATTGATCTGTCAACCAATCATATGTTACTCAGTCAGGCAGTAAACAAGAAGCATTTTACCTGAGTTTTCGACGTCAATTGCACTACGGCCTTACGGAAGTTTAGTTTTGTGTCAGCGTTGCCCATTGTACTCGTCGTTGTTACCCGTTAAACAATTAAGTTCTTTTATAGTAAAAGGAGTAAAAACGCGTCCAAACTCTTTAAACAAGCACCAGTGTCGCCATGTTTGTATTCCGACAGCTGCTGACGTTTAGACTACGTTCCGATATTCACTGCCAGCACTGAAAATATATAGTATACGTGACACAAACTATGTATTTTCAGTACTCGCGGTAAATATCGGAACGCAGCCTAAAGCCCGTGTCACACTACGGATTGAAGATCAAGGATTGCGGATTGAAGATTAGATTTCGACAAATCGACGAACTTCGGTTTTGATGTACTTTATTCCGATTGGTCAAATTTCAATCTTCAATCCGCAATCCTTGATCTTCAATCCGTAGTGTGACGCAGGCTTAAAGCCAGCGGCACACGGTGCTTGTTTTCGTGCTGGATTGCTTGCTGGATGAAAATATTGCGTTGTGATTGGTACATTTCCGAAGATGGATGGAAATGCACCAATCAGAACGCAGTATTTTCATCCAGCAAACAATCCAGCACGAAAACAAGCACCGTGTGCCGCTGGCTTTACTAGAGGTACTCTACTTTCTCTGGTACTTAGTAAATCCCGTAAGACCAGCGGTCTTTATTAGTATCTCGTCGATGCCTGCAAGAAAGAATGGCTGAAGTGGATAACAAGTTGAACGTGGATAACATCGCCTCCAAACGTAAACGTTTGTGTCGTGAAAACGACAAGACGTTATCGTCCTCGGAGTACGTTCTACGAAAGACGAAATTCTCGAAATTCAACAGGAAAGGCAGCAAGGATATTTTCGTGAACAATAAAAGTCACTTCAAGGTACATCAATTCGGTTCTAATCATAACCTCAACCATTTGACAATTCAAATTTAAAAGTATACGTTTATTTCGAGAACGTTTTATTATATTGTTAAGTATTTGTAAACATTTTCAGGCACAGTTGTACAAGTGTGAAAAACTATTCGATAATGGCGCATCAGAATTAATAATTCACGGTCTTGGAGCTGCTGTGTATAAAGCTACTAGTCTGGCTTTGCGATTGAATGAAATTCATCATGGATGTTTAGATCTTGATATAAAAACCTCTACCGTGCAGTTAGAAGGTATGATTATCTGTTTTTATATAAATTAAATATTTCTAATTTACACGGATCAGTATCAGATTTGTAATGAAATTTCTTCTGTTACAGATAAGCTAGAATCATTGAATGACGATATGGATGATGAAATAAACAACAGACAGAACTCTGCCATACATATCCGTGTGTTCAGGAAAATACCTGTGGCTGTACTAAGGTCTACGAACTGATGTGACTCAATAAGTCAATGCGTTTGAATAACAAGACTCTGCATAATAGAGTAACAAAAATCTAATTTATAATTATAACACTATAGATACACACAGAGTCATATTAACTTCACAATGATTTTCTCCTTGGACGAAGTAGTCCACTTGTTAGGGTTAACACTCTTTGAGATGTGGATCAATTTAATTTCTTTAACAATCTTCACTATTCTACTAGCTTTCAAATTAGATAATAATTATTTTTTGGAACCATCAGGATGGTGGACCGTGTTTTCACCGCTTTTTGTAGCTGATAGCTTGAATACATATTTTTGTGCTATCATATTTATAAGGATGCACATGGAAGGAATGATCAAAGCGGCTATTTTTAGAGCAGTATGGAGTCTCATATCATTACTCTTGATCTTTGTCTTTAAGTATCTGCTATGTAAAAAGCTTACTGGACAAAGTACATTAGAGTACTCAGAAGTTATGAGTCCAGTATTCATTCTTCTGCAACTGGTAGCAGTGAGAGCTTGTCACATTCATTGAGCGAAGTGAGAAACTTTTTGGATGTACCACAGTGCTTCCAAAATATCTGCCATGTATGATAACATGTGTTACTGTATATCATATGATGATTGTATATATATTACATTTCATAAAACTCGTTTCATAGATTAAATCATAAAAATATATATATATATTTCATTATATCTATTTAATATTATGCATGATGCAATTTGTTTTGTTTATCAAAAATATATAATATATACATATTATATGATAAATATAATAAATATCTCTTTTATTATAAAAGACCACCAAGAATATAATAGATATAAGAATAAATGTTAAATATAAAATATATTGATTTTCATAATATAATATTTTGGTAACAGTTTTTGTGACAGTCGTTATTACAAAATTTTATTCAATTTCTCTCAAAAATTCATTAGAAATTTACATAAATAATATTTATAAGGAATTGATTATTTCCAGAAAGAAAGAAGTTCAAAATTTTATTAATCAATATCTATAATGTTCTGTTCGCAGGACGTGATTTTCTTCAAAATTACAATTCCGATATTTAATATATTAAACGTCGTGTATCATGAAACTATTTTTAACCATTCAGTTTTCCAATATTTTTATATATAATATTGGAGAAGTCTTATCTCTTAGAAAATGTTTATTCAACTAAGACAAAAGTTTCCTTTAAACAAAAATAACAAACTTGTGAATCAACGTAACGTAGACCGATAAATTTAACACTGCTCCATTTAAACTCTAAAGATAAACAACTGACGGGCTAGTTGCTTTGGTGAGCATGAGTGCCCCCTCCAGCTCTCTTCAACCAAGATCAATATTCCTGACTGAAGGGAGACAGTGGTTGTGCATGCAGTGAGAAGGGGTGTGTGAATCAAGTCATTCTATAGGTAAAGCCTGTTGCTGCTACCACATTTCCGAGTAGAACGTGCAACGTCAAATGACACGCATTGCGACGATTGTCTCTATTTATAAGGCTGATTATTAATTAGAAAATTCAGTAATGTGCTGTGGACATATCAAGGGATTATGGATAGACTGGCTAATTGGACTCATGGTCAGTTTTTTATTCTTTTATCTTAACTTTTAATATACATATACATATATATTTAACATATATAGAATAGTAGTAAGTGCCATTTTTGTATGTAAAATACATTCTAAGGCAATCAGATAACAGCATATATATGAAGTTTGGTGTGTAATTCTTGTTGGAGCAAAGCTTAAGAGCCTGTACAGCACAAATATGGAATAACAAATTGCAAATTATGTAAAACAATGCGACAAATGGTTTATAAACAAGCTACATTATTTTGCTCCAAGTTATGTACATGATGTACATATTTATGTTGTATTGTGTACAGTCAGGTTGCTCTAGCATGACACACACATCTATTTCATTCTCTACTTGATGTTTTATTGGTAGATATAAACGCAACAACTTCAGCACCTGTTACGGGACAAAACTGTGTGTCAAATACATCAAATGCTGTGATCCTAGACAAATTACTGGTCACTGCTCCATCATGGAGTTCAGTACAACAAGACTTGACATGGATATTCCTATTGCACATTTACGGCTTCGCATGTCTCTTCTTTATACTTGGGTTTTATACCTTCTTCTCTATTCTAAATTTAAGGTATATTTAAATACACACATTATGCATATGTATACATACATCATACGTCGATCATACGGCAACGTAAAAATCTGTACCTTCATGTATAAACGTTCCTTTTTGCTTCCAGGTCTCTCATATCAAGCCGGCCGTTTATGTCGACCATTAACGTATTCTTATGTCTGCTTGGAGTTTCAAGAGCTGCTTGCTTATTCATAGACTCGTACAATCTCAAGGAGACGATGCCCAAGGTCATCGGATTGATTATGTGGGACATCGGATATCCGTGCATAACGTCTGCTTTTTGTCTCATCCAATTGGCGTTCCTGCAATTGACTCAGGTAATTAATTCTTAGTGTGGTAGATTGTAAGGAAGATATGTAAATTATGAGATCGAATATACATTACTGCGAACGCTTGGTCGCTTTCAGCTCAAGTTTGGTCCAGAGAGAATGCAAAAGGAATCGTGCCTGAGTCTCATCATAACAGCTCACTTCTTCTTCATCATCGCCAGCGACATTGTTCTGGTCACTCACAACTGCTACTTGGCGAAATACGTGTTACAGACGATATTTCTCATGTGCAATGTTCTCATATATTTGACGTTCTTACATGCTGGTTACAAGATCAATCACTTACTCCGGACTATGCCGAGCAGTATGTTGACCCGGGACAACTCCACCGCGCATCAGAAAGGTCCGTTATCGGTATTTTACCTCTACCGTATTAATTTCGGCAAATTTTACTCACAGAATTGTTCGTTTCATATAGGTATCATGCAGCTCGCGATGCTGGCACCCTACAGCAATTTAGCGACCTCAGTCGCAGCCGCGCTGGTACCTACTTTATTCGGCCCTAAGATCAAAGATCCGGAGGAAACCGAAGCTACAAACGCGAATAAAAATACGGAAGAAGTTTCTCAAGGTAATTTTTGAGAAGAAAATAAAGTTTTCTTTCGAGTAGATGAACTTTGACGAACTTTGAAAGAAATATTCTTCGTTGAAGATAAGACTATTATTTACAAGGAGGCAAATAAATTGAGCAATAATGTTCCTTAACAATATATTTTTCTCCGCGTACATGGAACACACTCAAGCGCACACACATGTACGTATGTATTGAAATAATATATAAAATTTCAGAATCGCGAGTCACGACTACCGCAAAAGTGTGCAAGATAGAAGAGCCAGTGCAGAAGGAAGTTTACAACCCTACAATACCCACGTGCATCGTACAATCGCCCTCGCACGAGCAAAAATCGGCGGTGCCGGAGGTATACGTGAGACCACCTACACCTACGCCATCGACCGCCAATCTGCCAATCATAACCGTGTCCAGTCCGAGTCGCAGGAGCTCTGTGGCCAGTCGACGAGGCAGCGACACGTCTGCAAAGTCTTCGCGCCGGAACTCCGAATGTAGCGTTAGATTCATCAATGAGGAGGATACGTCCTCGATGACGGAGTGCAGGCGCACGACGGAGGGCAGCCCACGTCATATACCCAGGATGCGCGACGAAATCGAAAGGAGTCGTTCGCCCGACAGCATATCGCGACGTTACTCGGAAAATATCACGCCGACGGGCAGTATCAGGGAGCTACGCAGATGCTCCGATTTCACGCATGAGAAGAACCGCGGTTCGCAATTCGCGACCAAGTTGCGGAGGAACAGCGACTTCGGCAACAGGACACCCAGGCGAATGTTACCGCCCGATGAGCACTCCAGGTTGCCCAAGGTTCTGGATCTCAGTCCTACAGGTAATTATCGAAGAAAAGGCATGATGCAGATAATTACCTGCCGGAGAGGGAGATAATGTGCGCGCGCGCGTTTAGAAGACTAATCCTAATCTTGCTCGCTTGTCCTTTAGACGTCACTTAAGTTTGTCGGGGACTTTTACATGTTGATTGGGCCATGTAGATGATTGGTTTAATTTTTGTCTAATGACGTTTCAGGTTCAAGACGTAATTCCGATATCGGTACTTTCGTACAACCTCGAGTTGACTCGCGCAGGAACTCTGAGAGCACTTGCCGACGCAACTCTGAATTCATTCATATCAAGCCGTTAATTATAAACCGTCGCAGTAGCGACATCAGCATTCGGACTCTGGACAGGAGTCCCACTCACTTCCAGAGTATAGTTCCGCCTGTAAAAGTGGAGACACAAGAGAAGTCCGAGTCCGATTCGGATCAGCCTGACTGCAGCGAGAAGGCGGCGCTGATGAACGAGAAGGCTAAGAGTAAGAACGAAGAAACAAAGCTGCGCAAGAAGAATTTGTCATGGAAGAATATGGAGGATCCTGAGGACATCACGGCGGAGACCAATTTGCTTCCCGAGAACACGTCCAGTGAAGCCAGAGTTGTGGTACAACCTTTGTTGCTTCGACTCAAAGAATACGGGAATCTAAAGCATATCTTGATTCTTGGATGTCTTCCAACGATGCCTGGATGATTCTCGGATGTTCCTAGAGCTTTTATGTCACTTGGAAACTTCATCACGATTCGAAAAATCATATGTCTTGTTTGCAGGGTACGGATTTTACTCTTCACTCGATATTGAATCACATCGCTTACGTGAATCGAGCCAAATCCGACACCCCGCTACATATACCGGAAGCGAACACCGCGGCTGCCAGAAAGTCTCAGGTGCAGAGAGTATTGAATGTCACGTACGCTACTGCGATTTTGGGGATTATCCTATGCGTCGTGGATGTCGCTCGTATTTTTGGACCATACGGTAACATGACAGAATCTCCGGCAGAATATGACGATAGACTGACGGCAGGAATTGAGCAGGCAGAAATTATTCTCACTGTTATTAGATGCCGATACAAAAGACTATGGATGGATTGGTCGCATTAATCTGCTGTCAATTTGTCGGTATATTGTTAACATTTTGCTCATTGGAATATTGATGTAATTTACTACTAGGCAAAATGCATTTCCAATAAAGTAATGCTGAGGTAACTCGTTTTCAGGACTTCTCGCCGAGACAGTGCCGTACGGTATAGAACCAGCGACCATGCAGTTTCCCAAGCCATGGCCGTGGCTTTTGTATCAAACATTGTGCAGGGCACTAGAACTTGCGATGGGCTGCGCTATGGCGAGTATAACTAAGCAACCATCAGTAAGTCCGCGGCATCAGTATCTCAACAGTTATCCGAATTATTCGGCGCGTGTAAAGCGGGGAAACAATCTTTACATATGAAGCAATATACTCTCCGCAGTCATTTGATCGTGATCTGAAGAATTGAGATGCCAAACGGGAATTCTTGAGACTTCTCACGATTTGATTCAGTATTACTGTGCGAGGAATAATATCATCGGTGTTAGCGCCATTCTCGCGACGATTAACCTTTTTGTTTTTTTTTGTTTTTTATTCTTACGATAGCTCCTTGATTATTTTAGATAATGTAAATCTCCTGATGTGTGTGAATGTGAATGTATATCATGGTCGATGTCGAAGGATACCGACCATGATATACATTCACATTCGTTGTTCGTTTTAGTAACCAACTTAGTTTTAACTAAAGAGTATTATTACATATAAAATATCATGTTATTTTCGTACATAGTGATAATCACGAATCGGTAACAATTTCTATTGAAGATGTAGTGCGAATCTGATAACGCGTTATACGCGAAAGCATAGCAATAGATCGGTGTAACGTTCAGAAAAAAAGGAAAGCGCGTCTCGACGTGTGATAGAAAGTGTTACTTTTGAAATAACTGCTTTTAATGGAAAGTGTTCACTCGAAGTACATGTACTCTTCTCACAAACAAGACAGATGTCTATTTTTCAAATTAGATTAGTTTTCCGATAGATTGGTTTAATGATTTTTACTGTTTTCTGTCACCCTCGGAAAAACACACATCGTATATACACAAGCATATATACATATATATTTTCTGCTGTTGAACAAATATACATATATTAGTTTTTTAACTCGCATTATCCGAGAAAATATTTTCAAACCAAAAAGAAGCAAAGGAAAAGAAAAAAAAACACTGTATATAAGCAAGAACGTTATAGAATTATCTGCGACTTTTACTGATAACACGTGAAATAACGCGTTTTTACTATGTGTCAACCGCACCAATGCTTAGAGGTAAAAGTAACCCAAATTCAAAGTGCCCTATTACTAAATGTTCAACAAAATTACTATACTAATTACTGATACATAGATGAATTTTATCTGCAAATGGAATTTGTAACAGTGTTGTGATCCTACATGTGATACATATTTATGTGTTTAGAATAGGAGGCCGTTTTACGCTTATGTAAGCTTAAATAACATATTCCCTGAGATAAAAGACTGTCGAAGTGAGTTTATGATAAAAAAAAAAACAGAGATAATACATCATAGAGTTTGCGATTTTATTTTTATTTTAATCCATCTTAATTTATCTTTTTTCTTTGTCTTATATCGACATTCAATTAGAATAGAGTCATTGTCTTATTTATTTTTATCTCCAAAATCTCAGTGTATCTGTTAATATATTTTGTAATATATTTTATAAGCGAAATTATTTTCTATGTAATTTTATATGGCTCAATATTTTGTCTATTGTACAAATATCAGATATTTTTATACTTCCTTTTTTACTGTAAACACATATACATCCGGTATGTTCATTCTCTGTGTATAAATCATTCTGCTGAGCTCACTGTAAAAAAAAGTGAGAAATCTAGTAATACTTACAAGAGCATAAAAGGTCTCAGTAACTATTTGTTTGAAATTGATAGTATAACAATCGTAGTAATCTAAAATATCATTGATGTTTTATGTGCCAAATACTCGTGTTAACTATTTTAAATGTTTACAAAAGATACAAAGTCATTAATATATATTCTAATGAATTCTCCTACAAAACTATAGACATAGACACAGATATTTATATACAATTGGATGTACAATAAACAATAACTATCGTTTTAATCAAATCAATAAGAATTCCGACATATTATAATATACCATGGTATATAAATATAATTGCTATTTTTACTGCAAAAATGCAAAATCGTAATATCGCAGAGATAGATCTGATAGTTATATGAAACAATATGTAAGGTATATTATTAAAGTTTTCAATAGATATTTCTCACACAACATACATAAATATTTGAATTAGAGAGTAATCAATTCTTAAAATTCCTACTTGGTAATTTAACATAGCTATCTCTAATAATGCTGTGAATTACGATACACATGCAATTGAATCAAGATTAATTGCCGTAATAATTAATAATTAATAATTAATGAATTACAAAGGAATGTCTAAACATGTTCTGAACATATTTTCAAAATATTTCACCTCAAAATATAAAAAATATCATTCTATATTATATAGCACTTACGCATAGCACTGACTTTATTCTTAGCAATATACCTCTGACCAAACAAAAATAATATATAGAAGTAGGAATCTCTTTGTTCTGTCAGTTGATTTTAGGTATTTTGTATATCTATGCGTGATAGAAAGAAAAATTTATTTCTTGTAATAGTAGCGTAGTTTAAGTAGTATAGACTTCGCTATTGTTTATTGTTTTACTGTGCTAGTCAGGATTACCATGTTATTACATTAAAGAAATATCAAGATACTTATCAACTATGTAAAACATTGTTGAAAAAAGAAAAGAGACAATTGTGTAGAAATAAAAAGAATTTAATGAATCATGATGAATCATGAATTTAATTAATCATGATGTATTTTCTTTTTTGCGTGTACGCAAAAATCTTTACAAAAAATAACATTAAAAAAATTTTTATATACGTAATTATATTCAATATATTCAATGTGACAAACAGTGTTGGTATAATGAGAGATTTCTGGAATATAAAGGAACTATATATCTTACGACATACAGTTTTGGATCAATAAGGAATACATAGTTACTTTTGGCAACAAGAGGAAATATATATTGAAGACTGTGCTTTTTTATGCTATTACACACTTTTGAGCATGCCAGTTTAAAGAGAGTATTTCAACAAGAATATATCTTAAACCATCATTAAAATGACACATTGTTCTGATAATAATCAATTCGTCAAAATCTTCTGCAGATGCAGAGAAAGCATTCAATCTTGTTATTATTTTTTTAATTTTCATGAGACGAATTTTGTATGCTCGTTTCAATCGAAATTTATAATTTGCAAACTAAGTCGAAAATAATTAATAACATTATGATACGTTTGTCTTATACTTTTGACTTATAAAGTCACGATATTAATTATACAATTATAGTTTTGCACTTGATTTCAATATACTTTAAACACTTTTCTTCGATACAATTTCTGAAACGTAATCGATGATCCAATAAGACATTTTTTGTTAAAATCCCAGAAGTTTTCTTCCCCCCCCCCCCTCCTCGCTCGCTCTCTCTCTCATTGTAAACCATTGATCTAAAGCGAAGCCGAAAAGAAGTATCCAAACCGTATTAAAATCAAGCGTGTATATATATATATATATGTGCCGTTTATAATATCATACACATCATACAACTTTCACGTTATGCAGCTGCGTCTTACATTCTAGTGATTACGATCTATATATTGATTTATCCTCGATAATCAAAATAGTCTATTTCTTTATCAGGGATTTTGGAAGTTGACAACTGTTGACTCTTCACCGGTAACGATAAAACAGTCCTACAATACATTAGTTATTCATTAATTGATCTGATGATTTTTCACTTGACGAAATAAAATTATATGATTATCGTAAGTAGATATCTTACTTTGTAGAACTGTTTCCTTTAGAAGCATTAAGTACCGGTCCTGGAACCTTTCTCTGTCCATTCTCTCTCTGCACTATTTCCAATAAACTATAACTTGGTAGCCAACACTGAAACGAGACGCAATCGTCACAAAAATTGCACAGGCATTGCATTCGGTAGAGCGAGATACGTACCTTATCCTTTACGGCAGTGGCGACAACGTTTCTCTTCGGCTCTTCGTCGTACGCTTGACTCTCGCAGCCGAAGTGTTCGCACGATTCGTGCACAAAATGGCGCTTCTCCCTGTTCATGCTATCGAATGAGTAACTTCGGGACTTGTGTTTCGATGTTTTCGCAAGCTGCACCAATTCCGTCAGCTTTTCGTGAACCATCTGGCAGAAATGCGGATCCTTCTTGGCCCACTGTTTCATATAATCACTGTATCTCGGCATCAGCTTGCCGCTCAAGTCCGGATTGACAATCTGGAGTCCCAAAGCTAGTCTTCGATTTCTTTCAATCGTCTTGCACTCGTCGTTGCATTCCAACGTCTTCAGTTGATTTTGCTTCTTCGCGCCTTGTCCGAACACCTCCTCCAAATTAACGGAGTGACCAAGCTGCATGTCGGCCATCTTACTAGCCAATATATTACTGGCTATTCTCTGATATTCCCGCGCATTATCGACGCAAGTACGGCTCATAGTTCTATGTCCACACTGGCATGTCACCTGCAACGTAATCGTTAAGTATAGTAGTTTTACGGTGAGTAGATGGACGATACCAACCGTTTATCCATCGCCTTGGAAGCGACGGAAATCTACATAATTTGCTGTAAAGATGACAACTCTCATACACATAGGAAGCCTAACGGTAAGTTATATAATACCTGTTGTTTGTAGATCAGGTCAAACTAAACAAGAAAGAACATTATCTCATCTTTCGCTCGCTGCTGATTGGCGTGCAGCGAGAACAGACAGACACCTCGCACATTACCACGCACACACACAATTTTTTTTTTAATTAATAATTTAAAATCTTACATGATTGCAAAATGATAGATGACCTTTGTGATCAATTTGAATCTACGTGTAAACGAGAGTTTTCTCATTTTAGTCATCCCGTATATAAATGGAAATATACACGTATATAAAGTGTATAAAGTGGTTCTCACCTTAACCGTCTCTTTGCAGGGTGTATCCGGACACTTGCCATCGTGACATGGAGTAGCGCAGATATGCCCACATAATTCTCGCGTGATAACGCAAGGTTGCGTGCACGATTGACCGGGTTTCTCGCAGGACCCGGAGTGACACATCGTGATGCACTTGTGCCGTCCGCAGGGGAGTGGTTTATTACACGGTAGACCGCACGAGATCTCGTTCACGTGACATGGTACCGCCTTCCGTAGCTCATGCTTGCCATGACACCATCTCTGAGTTAACACACTGCACGGTGGACAAGTAGGCTCACTGTGGCAGTTATGCAGCACTTCGTGTCCGCAGGGATGCTGACGTGAGCATGGCCGGTTGCAGGTGGGTCTCCTTGTGCCACATGGAACCGGTGGATAGATCACCTCAGCGCCGCACTCGCAATACAGCTCGTCGAAGCTGCTTTGCCAACAAGGCGGGCATCTTCCTGTCCGAAGAAGAAAGAATGCACTTTGCGTATATTCGTATTGTATATGTAAATACACAGGGGGACCCATTTTAAATGCCCACCTAAAATATATTGGAAGAAATGCATTTGGAAAAAAAAAAAAAAAGAAAATGCTTTAGACAAAAGTCTGAATAAGACTAGACCAAGATTTTATTATTATGCATTGCAATTCTAGGACGATATGCATAATCAGGATTTTACATATTTAAAGTCGTTGCAAGTTTATTTTCAGATACTTTGTAGCTAATAATAAAACAAACCGTACAATATTCAAAGATGAATTTAAAACCATCTTAAATATATATAAAATCTGATTATAAATATCACCCCTGATATGTGTGTGTGTGTGTGTGTGTCATGTTATATAGATTATTAATATAAATAGATAATCTTACCTATGTGACATCTCTGTTCGCACTTATGCCGACCGCAGCTCAGAGTCTTGGAACACGGTAACGGACAAATGTGCTCGATGTCGATGCAGCACAGCTGATTGCAGTTGTGTTTGCCACAAGATCTCTTCTTCTTGCAGCGTTTCTCACAACGTGCATCATCCGCCTTGCTCTTCAGGTCTCGGCAGGCTATCTCCCGGTCCATATTACCGCATCGACATTTGACATCGCTGGTCAAGTCACATTCCGGGCATTCACCCATGTGACACGGCGCCTTGCAAGTATGCGGATTACCTTCGCGAGAAAATGGGATCAACTATGCTTTAGTCGATCGACTCAGAAGAAAAAGACACGGTAATAAGATACAACATCGTTTCCCAGACACCTACTAGGCTGGCCACATTTGAGAGTCTTCGAGCAGATCTTGTCGCAAGTTGGCACGGGGTCCAAACAGCTCTCTCTGATCTCCGTTAACGGCATTTGACCACAACAACAGCTTACGACTTTGTCGGGCGTTAAAGAGCAAGACTCGCAGGATCCCGGATGGCAGATCTTCCGACAATTGTGTTTCCCGCAGTCCAGCTTTTTGTTACAGATATTATCACAGGAATACGTATCCGAAACATTGGCACGGCAAAGTACCTCCTGAGTCTTCTTACCGCAGAAACATGCTGCACAAAATCGGACCAAACCATTACAATTGCATATCGCGATGATGATAAATGATAACTCTATTTAAATCAGACTATTGTATCAACTAGAGTATGTATTAATGTAATTGTATTAATCGAGATATATTACTTTGTTGTACAGTCTTGTCGCACGATTCGCACTCTCCTTGGTGACACTTCTTTTCGCAGACATGTTTGCCGCAAGGCAAATCCTTGCCGCATATCGAGTCGCACAGCAGCGGTTTGTGAGCGCTGCACTGGAGCGTCTGTGAGGTTTTACCACAGCCGCAATACTTGGTCACCATTGCCACGCACTGTGGGCAAGAGCCAGGATGACAGAGCAGAGTACACTTGTGTACGCAACCCTTCTTCGACAGATTACGACCACAGGTCTCGCCGCATGAGTGCGCTACATCTCGGCGGTTCCATTCGGGCATCTTCATCTTTCCACAGAAGCAGTAGTAATTCTCCGGTACAATGGAACTCACGTTCTGGCAAGCCGGGCATCTCCAACCTTTGTCTAAATGAGAAAATAGATTTGGTGATTTTGGAAAAATTCGGAGAAGAGATCGGCGCTACCTACCGATTTGCGACGACGTCGCCCACTTTTGAATACACTTCAAATGTAACACGTGATAGCAGTTACCGCAGGACCACACGTAGTCGTTTTGCTTGATGTGCTCGTAACAGACCAGACACTCCAACGTTCCTCTGTTCAGCTGCTCCGACAATCTCTCCCTCTGACTCGCGTCATCATCTATAAATAAAACAATGGCAAATTAATTATACTTTTCTTACGCAAATCAAGCAAATTAAGATGATTATAATAATAGGCACGTGGTTCAGTCGAAATAAAAAGGAATAAGAGGAAAAAAGGAATAAGAGAATTGGATCAATAAAAGATTAAGAGCTGTAAGACATACCAATTTCAAGTTTTTTCTGGAGATTTCTCCTCTGCATATGCGCCGTTGTTCCGTTATTCTCTGCTCTGTCCCTCCAATTTTCCACTTTCTTTTCCTTGTAATTTATTGTCTCCACATTACTATCTTTACCTCCTCCGTCTCTACTATCTCTGTCATCTAGTTTTTCGTTTCCACTTCTCTTGCTGTAGCCATTGCTTCTAGGACCAGTCTGAAGATTGAAATTGTTCTTTCTACCTTTGTAATTGCTCTCGTATCTCTCGCTTCTACTGTTACCCGTGTACCTCCTTGTAATTCTACCAACGAGTTCAGACCTATCTGAATTGTCTGGATTGTATTTGTAATAATTGGAAGTGTTGGCGTGGTTATTGAATCGCTTAGGTTTGCCATTTCGTTGCACATTGCTTTTTGATGAAGCGCTTTCTAAATTCTCATTGTTTTCACGCGGAAACGTCTCTCCTCTATTCACGTTAATGTTCACGTTCGAGGAGTCGTCCTCCGAAACCGCATCAACTGAATTCTTATCCACTACACTATTGGATTCAAATGAACCAGTGGATTCAATTGTAATAGGTCTTTCAGTGGCATACTGTTCAACAGAAGACGTGTCTGTCTCATGTCTTCTGTTATAATACTTCTTATTCTGGAACTTGTTGTAACTCTTTGCATTGTATGTCCTGTAAGTATCTTTATAGTTGAATCTGGGTGAAACTTGTGCATCATATGGATTCTTCTGTTTATAATTCATATTTCTTTTATTATCATACTGTCTCTCGCCCTTATTATATCTATTATCCGACGAAGACACATCAGTCATAGCTGATTTTGGTGGGTAACGCTGTACATTGGCATTGAAGTTATTTCCAGTTGTACGATTATTGAAACTATCCCTCTTGTTAAATCTATCCCTCTTAAATTCTGTGTAATTTGGGACAAATTCACTGGCCATGGGGTGTAAATTCGAATTTACCACTATGCTGGATTGAATGCTGTTATCTTCTTCCAGCATAGATGCATGCAAATTATTGGTTATTTTGCTATTTTTGAAATTCCGATGGTAATTACCGTGGGAGGAGGGCGATATGCTGCGCGAGGGTCGAGTATCCTTTGCAGAATGCTGTAAACTGTTTGATACTCGCATGCCATCCACTAATGGAGCATTTGGCAGTACATGTTCCTGATAGGCGTTTCCTAAAGGCACCATGTTCGATGGCATCGGCAGAATGTTTGTACAGAAGCCAGCGTTGGAGGTAGACCTGATCTGCTCATACATGTGCTGACCACCAGTTGCAGGAGGATAGTAGTTTCCTGAGACAATGTTAGGCAGATATGCAGAGCTTCCGGTTGCGTTGCCGACAAAATACGGACAAGTTTCCACGGTGGTACCGGGCGCGTTCTGACCGGAATACGCGAAGTAGTTGGACTCCTCTTCCGCTGGACACGAACCGTCCCAGGTGGCCATTGCGATCGTCGATGATTGCACAGTAATGCGAAAGCACGCAAAGATAGTCTGGGAGGGGATTTACCGGACTGACGAAATCACCGAGCTGATAAATGCCGCAGAACTCTTATCTGCCGAGATCGAACTTCTGCGAAAGAGAACAACGTCATGGTAGTTGGCGAGATTGCCGTTTGAATTGCAATATGGTTACAGCCCCGACCGTGCATGTACGTAATCGATTGATTTCCGAGCAGACCGATTCTAACCTGTAAAGAATCTTTTACAAGAGGTATTATGTGATACCTACATGACACGCTTGCCGTTCGTCGACCCTTCGCAATTTAAACGAACAACGATGAGAACTTGAAGAATATATGGTACGAGATATGCTTCGACTGGAATGGAGAGAAGTAAAGATTGCGTGCTCCGTACTCTGATGTTATCGAGACAAAATAGAGGTCGACAGTTACCGTACCTTATGTAGGACGCGGCACGCATGTCGCACAGTGAAAACGGTAGTGAAACGACAGCCAATCAACCTTTCGCTTCCTTTCTCCGGATAAGTAGGCATACACCTGACGATATTACCACTCTTACTACTTTCAGAATGTTTTGCGAACGGTGAGGTTAAGATGTCAAATGCGCAGGAAATTTGTTGTAAAGTAAGTGAAAATTTGAGATTTTAAAACATAAAATAATGAAAGAAAAAATCGTAGAGTCGTAAAAAAAGTAAAGCATGATACTCTATCAATGAATAAAAACTCGAATGTACGAATAACATATTGTGATACTAATCTAACCTATGAAAAACGTGTTTGGAAACGAACAATAACAAACGTAAGGAGTGTTATCTTACGAAATAACAAATATCATATAATGATAAATATAATGTAATCAGATTTGGAAGAGAAATATATGTACATATATATTATGATAATTATAGCAGGTAACAGAGAGAGAGAGAGAGAGAGAGGGAGAGGGAGAGAGAGAGAGTGAGGGAGAGAGAGAGAGGGAGGGAGAGAGAGAGAGAGAGAGAAACAATTGGTATTATTGGGAATAAAAGTGTAGTCAATTGTTTGTGTATGTTGATTTGATTCCTAGCGATTAAAATCACAGATTAATTTAGATTTAAATTCATTTTTTTTTAATTCCTAGGTAAGAATATGTTGATTCATTTAATTTTTGTAACAGTTAGTATCACAAACATTGCTATTTGCATTTACCTGCATTTTTAGCTGTAATATAAATACAAAATTCTTCCTTAGAATCATGGCATCTGAGGAAGTAAATCGTAGCACAATGATAACTTCTTCTGAAGAGACTGGTCAATCTGTTACTAGTACATCGCAAACTGCAGGCAATAGTAGAGATGTAAATTCAACAAGGCCACATGAACAGGGAAGTCGACAAAGCAATCTTCAACGAATACAACAACGCAAGCAGCAAATGTTTAATTGGCCACAACTTAAGAAACTAATGAAGCTCTCCACCTATAGTGCTTGCCAAGCAACTGAGTGCAAGTGTACCGGCTGGAAAAATGCACAACCTATTGTGAAGTCACAAAAAGGCGATATACAACAACCTGTTATAAATTTTTTAGATCCATGTAAAACTTGTACTCATCCTTTAGAAAATCATATTACTCACCTGAAAACACAATCTGAGGAAGAACTCAATAAATTGTTGAGTATGGCTATTGATGCTGATAATCTTTTTATGGGTATACACAGAGAGGAAGATCCTGATACTAAGAAGATATATTATTATATGTATACATTGTTGAGGAAGTGTATCTTGTCTATGACAAAACCAACTATAGAAGGCCCATTAGGACAGCCGCCGTTTGAGAGACCTAGTATAGCGAAAGCAGTAATGAATTTTGTTCTGTATAAATTCAGTCACTTGTCTCAGAGAGAATTGCATGCTATGTGCGAAATGGCAAAGATGTTTTTGCACTGTCTGAATCACTGGAATTTCGAAGCACCTAGTACCAGAAGGACCATTAGTGTGGAAGAAGCGCCAGCTTATAAAATTAATTATACTCGGTGGCTTATTTTCTGTCATGTACCTGCATTATGTGACTCCTTTCAGCATCACGATACTCCTATAGCCTTTGGCAAAACTCTAATGCAAGCTGTGTTTAGATCAGTTTGTAGCCAATTGATTGACAAGTGCCACAGTGAAAGAGACAAGATAACACCAGAGAAACGAGTTCTAGTCTTGACGCATTTTCCCAAGTATGTGTCCTGATTTTTTTCTGTCCCTTTTGAGATGATTTAAATATAACAGTTATAACATTTTTCTTGTTCCAGGTTTCTCTCAATGTTGGAAGTAGAAGTTTATTCTGACAATTCACCTATCTGGGATCCTGAATTTAAACAACAACCATCTTCTCATTTGCAAGCTGCTTTGGAATTAAAGGGCCATCAAGCAAGGAAAACAGGGGAATTCGAGAAGGTCACTGTCACGTTGAATGAAAAAGATAATTACACAACGATAAATATCAGTCCTGGGGTGAGAAAGCTTCACGAAAAGCGTTACCATTCTGAGACAGGACGTTCCGATGTGAAGAGACGAAAAATCGAAGAGGCTTTCGAGGATCTGCCGGACGAAACTGTCGCACAAATCGTTGCGACCATCAACGATCCCAATTACATGTGCGGTCCTGATATGGTATTCACACCGGATGTTCCACGCGATGAAACGGCTAAAATTGAAGAGAGCAGGAAGATTATAGAGTTTCACGTTGTCGGCAATAGTCTCACACAACCTGTGTCTAAGCAAACAATGCTTTGGCTGATAGGATTACACAATATATTCAGTCGTCAATTAGTTAGAATGCCCAAACATTATATATCACAATTTGTTTTCGACCCGTAAGTACTAAAATATTTTCGTCATTTCAACATTGTAGATCATTGTCGGTATTATTTCCTCTATCGTACAGGAAACACAAGACGTTGGCTCTGATAAAAGGTGGTCGGCCAATTGGCGGCATTTGTTTTCGCATGTTTCCAACTCAGGGATTCACCGAGATAGTTTTTTGTGCAGTCACGAGCCAAGAGCAGGTGAAAGGCTACGGGACTCATTTGATGAACATGCTGAAAGATTATCATATCAAGAACAACATACTGCATTTCTTAACGTTTGCGGATAAATTTGCTATCGGATACTTTAAGAAACAAGGATTCAGCAAAGATATCAAGCTACCGAAGTCAGTTTATAACGGATACATCAAATATTATGTGAGCGCGATGTTGATGCATTGCGAGCTGAACGCGAAGATTGTATACACCGAATTCACATCGGTCATCAGGAAGCAGAAGGAAATCGTTAAGACGTTGATTCATCAGAAGCAACAGGAGATCCCGAAGGTGCACCCGGGCTTGACATGTTTTAAGGAGGGTGTGAAAGGTATTCCCATCGAATCTATCCCAGGTATTCACGAAACTGGTTGGAAAAGTTCTACCCAAACAAGAACGCGAGGTGTAGCCAAGGGAACGCAGGGTTCAGAGCCAATGGATCCTAGTCTTGATATGGCGGATTCTTTGTATAATTCGTTAAACGGCGTCCTCAACAGCGTCAAAAAGCACAGTACAGCTTGGCCCTTCCTGAAACCTGTTGACAAGAATGATGTACCAGATTATTATGATCACATAAAGTATCCCATGGGTGAGCCCACTAAAAGTGTTCATATATTTTCTGATATCGCGTAGACAATTTGATGGAAATACAATCGTAAGAAAAGCCGGTCGAGTATAATGCAAATGGAGTACTAATAATACATTTGTTTGCGTTACAGATCTCAAAACAATGTACGATCGTCTAAATGCGAAATATTATGTAACGAAGAAACTATTTATAGCAGACATGATACGCATCTTCACAAACTGTAGGTTGTACAACAGCCCTGAAACTGAGTATTATCGTTGTGCCAATGCCTTGGAGAAATACTTTCAAACGCGTATGAAAGAAGCCGGTCTCTGGGATAAGTAGGACTCTCGTAAACATTTTGCGATAAAATAATGTTGGCAATCGACACTTCCTAATTTATTCTCATTACTTGAAGTCTATTTTACAAAGAACGTTCGTGCATACCGACACATAATGCTGCTTTCTGTGCAGTATTTGTACAAAAGATGAAATAGCTACCTATTTGCGCGGAAGTGCACGTCGGAATCATTAAAAACGAGAAGGGAATATTAGAAATATTTATTTTCATTTTTCCACAGGTTTCATAGGTGCGTACAATGTTTGTAAATTTCCGCACATAATCCAAGAAAAACATATTTTGAAGTAATTTTTTGAAGTTGTTGAACAATTACGCAATCTTATTGAATGTGTTTAGCAAAAAAAGCAGCACTCTGTACTATAATGCCAGCTGTTTTGCAACTGCAGTAAGATTTTCTTCTAAACAATACTAGTGGTTTATGCTTTTTCAAGATATTTACCAAATGCGATCGTCATTTTTTTCTATTGCTTTCTTCATTTATTTATTCTGACATGCACCTCTTGTTAATTAGAAAGAAATGTATGTATGTATGTATGTACATATGAATACATATGTATATAAGTGTATATAACTGCAAAGTGGTGGGTGTCGCTTGGCTAATTTCAATCGGGTATTTTATATAACATGACTTGCAAATGCAATTGTTTGTACGTGGTATTTTTACTACCAGCACAGTGTTGTTAAAAATGTGAATGATTTTATGCTGAAACCTCAGAGTGGACTGGGTATTTAATTTCACAGTTTAATTAATTGATCAGTTAACTTGGGAGTGCAATATTGCGATTGTAAGGACGCGCACTCTAGTAAATAACGAAATTTACAAAACAACTCATTGTAATGTATGCTGGTTTGTAAAATATCATTAATAAAATAAAGCTTGTTACCTGCAAGTGATGCAAATGAAATAAAACTAATGATTGTGATTCAATGACAGTAATATTTACGTTATTGAGTCAGTAGAAATGCATTTTATGTTAAATGATTTATATTATGTGATACTGCTGGTGATATATAAATTTGCATAGATTTTCTAAGATAAAAGACAAACGTGATGCATGGCTAAATACATTAAAATTAAAAGACAGAAATTTCTAACTATACAAAAGTTTGTTCAAAATATTTTTTATAAAACTATTGATAAATCGATTTCTTATATTAAATTTAAATTCATCGGTGTTACCACCGATGAGATAACTGCGTTCCGATATTCATTGCTGGTACTAAAAATCTATAGCTCGTGTCACATATATTATAGAATTTCAGTATTGACAGTGAATATCGGAACGCAGCCAATATAAAGGCCCATCTACAATGGCTGCAAGAATAAGGTTGTAAGCGTAAGCAGTAAGAAATGGACCCTGGGTAAATTTTCGTATCGGCAAGAGGGTCGTCGTCGTCGGTTAATTCGCGCCAGCGATGTCGCTTAGAAATTCTCTATCTAACAGCCAATCGGAACGTCCAACTAGCTTGTCGTATGAAACATGTAATATTGGCCTTAAGTCTTTGTTAGGGTGTCATCGGTGCTATGGGTGTGTGTGACGGATTGATTTCCGAGTAGTCCGATTCTAACCTATACGAATTTTCACAAGAGAAGTGCATATGCTACTTCACCATTCATCGTCCCGCCGCAATTTGAACGAACAAAAGTCAGAATTTAAAGAATGTATGATATGACTCGTGTTCATGTATAACTGGAAAGTGAAAGGGCTATATAGCTGGTATTTTGACGTCATTGGAACTATAATAATTGGTTGGTAGTCAGCAACCGAAACAAACGATATTACTGAGAGTAAAAAGTGTAGTCAAATATTTGACTTATTGTGTATTATAGTTTAAATCACTGATTTAAATTACAATTTATATAAAAATTTGAAGGTAAGTTTATATATTAATTTACTTTTCTGTTTCAATAATATGTAATCTTAGTATAAAATTGAATTATTAATTTTATTATTAGTTATTAATTTTAAGTTACTGTGATGCAAATATAATATTAACTTTTTAGAACTATGACATCTGAAGAAGCAAATCGTAATGCAATGATGGTTTCTACTGAAGAAATTGGTCAATCTGTTACTAGTACATCACAAAGTACAGGTGATAGTAAAGATGCAAATTCAACAAAACCTCAAGAACAGGGAACTCGACAGAGTAATCTCCAACGAATACAACAACGCAAGCAGCAAATGTTTAATTGGCCACAAATGAAAAAATTGTTGAGGCTTGCAACCTATAGTGCTTGCCAAATACCTGAGTGCAAGTGTACTGCATGGAAACATACAGAATCTATTGTAAAATCACAGAAGGATGATATTCAACATCTTGTCATAGATTTTCTAGATCCGTGTAAAACATGTACACATATTTTGGAAAGTCATATCTCGCATCTGCGAGTACAATCTGAGGAAGAATTAAATAAATTATTGGGTATGGCTGTTGATGCTGATAACATTTTTATGGGTATACATAGAGAGGAAGATACTGATACTAAGAAGATATATTATTATTTGTATACTTTGTTGAGAAAGTGTATTTTGTCTATGACAAAACCGACTATAGAAGGTCCATTGGGACAGCCACCATTCGAGAGACCTAGCATAGCAAAAGCAGTAATGAATTTTGTTTTATATAAATTTAGTCACCTATCTCCAAGAGAATGGCAAGCAATGTGCGACATGGCAAAAATGTTTTTGCACTGTTTAAATCACTGGAACTTTGAAGCACCTAATGCCAGAAGGATGACAATTAGTGCGGAAGAAGCACCTGCTTATAAAATTAATTATACTCGTTGGCTTGTTTTCTGTCATGTACCAGCATTTTGCGACTCTTTGCAGCATTATGATACTCCTGTAGTCTTTGGCAAGACTTTACTACAAGCTGTATTTAAGCCAGTTTGTAGCCAACTGATCGACAAGTGTCATAGTGAAAGAGATAAAATAACACCAGAGAAAAGAGTTTTAGTTTTAACGCATTTTCCCAAGTATGACCTTTTTTAGAACATTGTCTCATAAATATACATATCATTACAGGTACATAATCTTTTATGTTCCAGGTTTCTTTCAATGTTGGAAGTAGAAATTTATTCTGACAATTCGCCTATCTGGGACATTGATTTTAAACAACAACCGCCTTCTCACTTACAAGCTGCTATGGAATTAAAAGGACAGCAAGCGAGAAAGACGAGTGAATTTGAGAAGATCACTTTCACATTTAATGAAGCAGATAATTATACAACGGTAAATATAAATCCAGTGGTGAGGAAGCTTCATGAAAAGCGTTTCCAGTCCGAGTTAGGACGTTCTGATGCGAAGTGACGGAAAACCGAAGAGGTTTTTGAGGATCTACCGGAAGAGACTGTCGCCGAAATCGTTGCGACCATTAACGACCCGAATTATATGTGCGGCCCTGATGCTGTATTTCCACCGGATGTTCCACGCGACGAAGCCGCCAAAATTGAAGAAAGCAGAAAGATCATAGAATTTCACGTTGTTGGGAATAGTCTCACACAACCTGTGTCTAAACAAACTATGCTTTGGCTGATAGGATTACATAACGTATTCAGTCATCAGTTGGTTCGAATGCCCAAAGATTATATATCTCAATTCGTATTCGATCCGTAAGTACTAAAACCTTTCACCAATTTAAATTTGAATCTTTTAAATTAATAGTAAACAAAACTTTTCGCTTGTTTATCATTGGAAATCGTTATGGTTTGTATTTTCTTTATCATGCAGAAAACACAAGACATTGGCTCTGATAAAAGGTGGTCGACCGATTGGTGGCATCTGTTTTCGCATGTTCCCTAGTCAGGGATTTACCGAAATAGTCTTTTGCGCGGTAACGAGCCAAGAGCAAGTGAAAGGTTATGGAACTCACTTGATGAATATGCTGAAAGATTATCACATCAAGAACAATATACTGCATTTTTTGACGTTTGCGGATGAGTTCGCAATTGGTTACTTCAAGAAGCAAGGTTTCAGTAAAGACATAAAGCTAATCAAATCTATGTATCAGGGATACATCAAAGATTATGAGGGTGCGACGTTGATGCACTGTGAGCTGAATGCCAAAATAGTATATACTGAATTTACAGCGGTTTTGAGAAAGCAGAAAGAGATCGTGAAGAAACTAATTTATCAACGGCAACAAGAGATACAAAAGGTTCATCCTGGTTTAATATGCTTTAAAGAAGGTGTAAGAGGCATTCCTGTGGAATCAATTCCAGGTATTCGTGAAACCGGCTGGAAAAGTCACATGCAAACCAGGACGAGAGGCATCGCGAAAGGAGCGCAAGGTTCCGAACCAGTGGAAAACTGTATAGACATGTCAGATTCCTTATACAATGCTTTGAACAATGTTCTAAGTACCGTGAAAAATCACAGCGCGGCTTGGCCATTCTTGGAACCTGTTGATAAGGACGAAGTTCCAGACTATTATGATCACATAAAATATCCTATGGGTAAGTCTATATAAGAAAATATTCATACATCTTTTAAGATCCAGACGATTTATGGAGTCATAAACTGATCGATAAGATTTCAAAATTATGTAGTTTAAGATAATAAATCTAGAACTAATGACTCAACTTTTCGTGTTACAGATCTCAAGACTATGGAAGATCGTTTGAAAACCAAATATTATACAATTCGGAAGTTATTTATAGCTGATATGACGCGTATCTTTACAAATTGTAGATTGTATAATAGCCTCGATACTGAATACTATCGTTGTGCAAATGCTCTAGAAAAATACTTTCAAACACGTATGAAAGAAATTGGCCTATGGGACATGTAGAATTCTTTTAGTTTATGATGATAATGAAGATAATATACTATACTTATACAGTTGGTATTCTCTTTCTAATAATAAATACTGATTAATATTTCCTAATTTGTTCATACTTATGAAACTAATTTTTTATAAACAAAAGGAATGGCAAAATATAAATATTAAAAAGAATACTGCTTTTAGTGTACTATTTGTATGTACAACAATGAAATAAAAACATATCTATGAGAAAGCACGATCTTTTTCATTAAATATGAAATAAATACGATAAATATTCCTTCATTACTTTTCCTTCTATTACTAAGTTGTTCGAATAATTTGTTGTGATTTTTATGGGAAATTCAAAATTATTGTTTGTGTAAGTATACTTTAATAAAATAATGTATGCATTAATTGTGACTTTTTTTCTAAATTCTTATAACCCTTTTATTTCAATAGAAATTCATAAAAATTCTATATCAACATTTTAAATTTTTAAATTGCTTTTAAACCGTTTTTAATTGTGGTCTTCCTATATATTTCAGAGAATTTAAATTTCTGACAGCAGACGATAATGCCCTCTGTATACTTCGTAGTATGTATCTCACAGCACAAGAACAATTCACATAACCTAATCTGTCAGAAAATTGTGTATTAAATTAACAACAATAGTAACAAATGTAGAAAATTGTGAAAAATGCTGGTCGTAATGGTGTGACAAATATCCCAAAACCGTCTATTTAGGTTAAATTATCATAATAATAAATATTTCTTGTCCAATACTCGAACCAACAACAGTCGAAGTAAGAAGAATCGTTGACTCTGATCACGTTGAATTGAAATTTGATTTATCTACCTATTTATCTTATAGAAGGAATATTTAAGAAAGTAAGTTAATATTTCACACATATATTGATCTCTTTCAAAAAATTATTGTTGAATTCCTTAATATATGATTAACCTAATTTACATACGAATATAGTTTGTTTACAAGTGTACTTGGAATTTACAAAAAGAAATAATATTGCTCAGTTTAATATAACATGTAACATTTAATATATTGTAATAACTTTTCTAAGGATGGCATCTGAGGATATCAATCATCATACTATAGTAGCCTCATCGGAAGAAAATGGACAACCTGTTACCAGTACTTTACAACAGGATGGTAATAGCAGAGATCAAAACACAACTAGGCAACATAATCCGGGAAGTCGCCAGAATAATCTTCAAAGGATACAGCAACGCAAGCAGCAAATGTTCAACTTACCTCGAACCAAAAAACTGTTGAAACTTGCAACCTATAGCACTTGCCAGATAGAAGAATGCAAATGCACCAGTTGGAAAAACGCACAACCATTCACAAAACCACAGAAAGGTGACACACAGCAGCCTGTAATTAATTTCTTTGATCCATGCAAGTTGTGTAATCATTCTTTAGAAAGTCATATTACGCATCTAACATCTCAACCTGAGGAAGAAATTAACAGATTGCTAGGAATGGCTATTGATGCTGACAATATATTTATGAGTATACATAGGGAAGAAGATATTGATACTAAGAAAGTATATTACTATTTATATAAATTGTTGAGAAAATGTATTATGTCTATGGCAAAACCGATTGTAGAAGGCCCGTTGGGGCAGCCACCATTTGAAAGACCTAGTATAGCGAAAGCCGTAATGAATTTCGTCTTGCATAAATTTAGCCATTTGTCACCGAGAGAATGGCAAGGTATGTGCGACATGGCGAAAATGTTTTTGCACTGCCTGAATCATTGGAACTTCGAAGCGCCCAGCGCTAGACGAACGACAGTCAATGCGGAAGAAGCTCCGGCTTACAAAGTTAATTATACCCGTTGGCTTGTCTTCTGCCATGTGCCTGCATTTTGTGACTCTTTAACGCATCACGATACTCCCCTAGCCTTTGGAAAAACTCTGTTGCAAGCCGTATTTAGGCCAGTATGTAGACAATTAATGGACAAATGCCACAGCGAAAGAGACAAAATAGCGCCGGAGAAGAGAGTTCTGGTTTTAACACATTTTCCAAAGTATATCGCAAATTTCTTTTTATTTTCTTGCACTTATGTCACATGAATATATTACAATTAATTCATAATCTATGTTATATTCAAGGTTTCTTTCAATGTTGGATGAAGAAATTTATTCCGACAACTCACCCATCTGGAATCCTGATTTTAAACAAGCACCACCTTCTCATCTGCAAACTGCTTTGGAATCAAAAGGACATCAAACAAGGAAGGCGGGAGAATTTGAGAAGGTCACAGTCACACCGAATGAAAAAGATAACTTTACGACGATAAACATCTGTCCTGGAGTGAAGAAACTTCAGGAGAAACGTCCTAACACGGATGGAGCACGAGTTGATGCGAAGAAGCGAAAAATTGATGATAATTTTGAGGATCTGCCAGACGATACCATCGCTGAAATCGTTGCATCTATTAACGATACTAATTATATGTCAGGTTCTGATGCAGTATTCCCACCGAATGTTCCACGGGACGAAACTGCCAAAATGGAAGAAAGTAAAAAGATCATAGAGTTTCATGTAGTTGGAAATAGCCTTACGCGACCAGTATCTAAGCAGACTATGCTTTGGCTGATAGGGTTGCAAGATGTGTTCAGCCATCAGTTACCTAAAACTCCTAAAGAGTACATAACACAGCTTGTTTTTGATCCGTGAGTAGTATCTCAAATGTCGATACATAAAATACTCTTTTTCGTTCGGTCATTCAATAATATAATATAATATTATTTATTATACAGCAAACATAAGACACTAGCCTTGATAAAGGATGGTCGACCAATCGGTGGTATTTGTTTCTGTATGTTCCCGAGCCAGGGCTTCACGGAGATAGTATTTTGTGCGGTAACGAGTCACGAGCAAGTAAAAGGTTACGGAACGCATTTAATGAACATGTTGAAGGATTATCATATCAAAAACAATATATTGCATTTTCTCACATTCGCGGACGATTTCGCAATTGGATACTTTAGAAAACAAGGATTCAGCAACGACATCAAGCTACCCAAGTCGGTTTATAACGGATACATCAAATACTACGTGAGCGCGATGTTGATGCATTGCGAGCTGAACGCGAGGATTGTATACACTGAATTCACAGCGGTCATCAGAAAGCAAAAGGAAATCGTCAAGAAACTGATTCATCAGAAGCAACAGGAAGTACCGAAAGTGCACCCGGGATTGACGTGTTTCAAGGAAGGCGTGAGGGGCATCCCCATCGAATCTATCCCGGGAATTCATGAGACTGGATGGAAAAGTTCCGCCCAGACTAGAACGCGCGGTGTGACGAAAGCAACACCGAGTTCAGAGACGATAGACCCGAGTCTAGAGACAGCTGATTCTCTGTATAACTCGTTGAACAGTATTCTCAACAGTGTCAAGAAGCACAGCGCAGCTTGGCCTTTTCTGAAACCTGTAGACAAGAACGATGTTCCGGATTATTATGATCACATAAAGTATCCTATGGGTGAGTCCATAAAAACTATTCATATATTTGCCGATATCGTTTAATGCCATACAGTTTAATGCGAGTACAATCGTAACAAGAGCCGGTTGAATATAACATAAACGGAGAGCTAAAGATGCATTTGTTTGCGTTACAGATCTCAAGACCATGCACGATCGCCTGAACGCGAAATACTACGTAACTAAAAAACTATTTACAGCGGACATGATACGGATTTTCACAAACTGTAGATTGTATAACAGTCCTGGCACTGAGTATTACCGTTGTGCCAATGCCTTGGAGAAATGCTTTCAAAAGCGTATGAAGGAGGCCGGTCTCTGGGATAAGTAGATTCTCTTAAATGATAAATTATTGCGATAAAATGACGTTGGCAGTCGACACTTCCTAATTTATTCTCATTATTCGAAGAATCCAACTATTTTATAAAGAACATTCTCAAATACCGAGATATAATACTGCTTTTTGTGCAGTATTTGTATAAAGATGAAACGATATCGATGTCTATCTGCGCGGAAGTGCACGTCGGAATCATCAAAAACGAGAGGAGAATACCAAGAAAAAATGTTTGATATTTTCCTTTTTGTTTTGTTTAGATTATATGGTCCTTGTGTAAACTCACACGTGTAACTCGAAATATTTTGTTAATTTTTCGAAGTTGCGCTGTACTTCACAATTATAGTATTTTTTTTTTTTCTTTCGATTGCTTTCCTCACGCTATTCTGACATGCACCTCTCGTTAATTAGAGATGTCTGTGTGCGTGTGTGCATGTATATATGAACGCGTGTGTATATAAGTGTATATAATTGCAAAGTAGTGAGTGCCGCTTGTCTAATTTTTAACCGGATATTTTATATAACATGACTCGCGAGTGCAATTGTTTGTACGTGGTCCTTTTTTATTACCAGCATCGTATCGTTAAAAATATTAGGAGTCGTTTTATGCAAAAATCTCAAACTAGAATGAGTACTTAATTTCACAGCCTAATTAGTATCATTAGCTGAACAGTTAATTAGGGAGCGTAATACGGCGATTGTAAGGATGCTCTGATAGGCGATCATTCTACGGAACAGCGACTCGCTGTAATGTGCGCTGGTTTGTAAAATATCCTTAATGGAATAAAGCTTGTTATCCGCAAGTGATGCGAACGCAATGAAACTAGTGACTGCGATTCAGTAGCCACGTTGATATGTGCGTTATTGAATCAATAAAAAAAAAACGATATTCATTCTTATATCGCTCAGTTATGTTTTTCGATAAATATATGAGTCTTCTTGATAGCTGTAAGCACTATAAGTTCATTATAAATTTTAGGAAATATAGATAGTTACTCTCTTTCTCTCTCTCTCTCTCTCTCTCTCTCTCTCTCTCTCTCTTTCTGTTATAAATTTTCTGTAAAGATGATGTTAAAATTTTTATAATATCTTTCACACATGTATTTTGAGGTTTACATTGATAATCTATTTTTAAAAGACTGCACACTTTTGTAGGAGGCAATCTAAAACAATTAAGACATCTCTTGGCTTGTTGCCCTATTAACCTCATGAGCTTTCGTTATCTCTTTTTGTCCAATTTTGTCATTATGTGATGTGAGCAGAAATCGCAGAGAATCGAGAAACCTCTATCTCAAAGCTTCAATGACAATTTATTGAAATGTTGCTGTTAGTACTCTAGGTCATAAGTGATATACCTTACATATCGTATAATTAAAAGGAATAATGGAATAATATCTTGTTCACTTGGGAAAGAACGAGAGAGAGAGAGAGAGAGAGAGAGAGAGAGAGAGAGAGAGAGAGAGAGAGAGAGAGAGAGAGAGAGAGAGAGAGAGAGAGAGAGAGAGACGGAGTGTCGGAAGAAGGAGAGACACATTTGCATATGTCACAAAACTAACAGATACTTTTAGTAGATTTTAAGGAACATTTTTTTCTTTTTTGTAGCATTTGTTCGCTTAAAAAGATTTTTGCAAATGAAATTACACATCATTCTCGCGCTATATCTAAAGAAACTGCGGTTCACCGAAAATCTGTAGGAAGATCAATGCAAGAGACTTGAAAAGAACGCAGAGAAACGTATGCTCTAGTTACCGCGAGAACTTTGCACATTCAATGGAGAGATAACATTACAAGTGGTTAGTAACTGCCAGTAGAGTAATTGGCATGCATTAAAGAGCAATTAAGTCCTGTATTAAAAATCTGGATATTCTCTATAAAATGTAAGAAATGCAGGAATGTTATCTGATGAATATCACAATGTTTTCGTAATGTCGGCAAGTTCAGTCTGTATATTGAACCCGTGTATTACATAGCGCCACATCATGCTGATAAGAGAACGAGATGTATTTATGAATTTTGTTTGTTCACATTCTTCTATTTATACATCACACTTGTGTATTCATATTTCATATGTTATACTAGACTGTTTGTTCTATTTTTTTTTTTTTTTTTTTTAATAACGTCTTCATCATGTAATTCGCAAAGTGCACAAGCAGCTCTTTACTACTAAAAAGATCGTCTAATCACGAATCTTCGTTCTGCAGCGAGTGAAAGTACTCTCTTTACACTGATTACGAAAGAAATCTGTTATTGTTAAGCGGCTTCGAAGATCCACCGACGTGGTTTCCGACGTCTCGGCGTAAAAACGGACATTCATGTGCGTTGCGGAGTTACGGCAACAGGAGGGGAGCTCATATAAAGCGCAACTCTTCCTTCTAGGAAAATGCAATGCTCCAGAAGCCAATGTCACGCGAGGACGGTGTAACATTTAGTCCGTTCAATCCTCCCAGATTGTCCTAGTTATCTGTTTGCGTCGTTAATAGTTACCAAACGGCGAAATTCAACATCGTCACGACACCGTATCCACCGTGTAAAGCAATAATACACCCTGCCGAAATGTGCGACGACGACGTGGCCGCATTGGTGATCGACAATGGATCTGGAATGTGTAAGGCTGGATTCGCCGGGGACGATGCTCCCCGAGCCGTGTTTCCGTCCATTGTTGGAAGACCTCGTTACCAGGTAACAAGATGTAAAACGAGAAGTCGATGCAGAGAGTAACTACTCGAATAAACCGATTTTTTCATCGAGCACGTTATTCTAATCAGAGACATGTTTAGGGAATCATGGTGGGTATGGGGCAGAAAGACAGCTACGTCGGCGATGAGGCGCAGAGCAAGCGAGGTGTCCTCACCGTCAAGTATCCCATCGAGCACGGTATCGTCACCAATTGGGACGACATGGAGAAGATCTGGCACCACACATTCTACAACGAGCTGCGAATCGCTCCGGAGGAGCACCCTGTGCTGCTGACGGAAGCACCGTTGAACCCGAAAGCCAACCGCGAGAAGATGACGCAGATCATGTTTGAGACCTTCAACACACCGGCTATGTACGTCGCTATTCAAGCTGTCCTGTCGCTGTACGCGTCGGGTCGCACGACCGGCATCGTCCTGGACAGCGGCGATGGGGTGTCTCACACAGTACCGATTTACGAGGGTATGATCGTCTCCCCAGTAAACACCAACCAACAGTAATATTAACACAAATATTATAATTTTTCATTCAACCATGTAAACGTTTACGTTTACGTATGTTATATGACACATTGTTGAGTTGGAAATTATAACACCAGTGTTATGCTGTTGTTAGTTAGTGTTCACTGGATATGCTTGCCCGTTGTTATCACGGGACCTAAAAGAAATTAATATCAGCCGTATCTTAAATTGAGGAGAGTTGTCAATCGTATTAATTGACGTCTTCTGGAAAGCAATAGGATGACGCGTGTGTGACTTGTCTTTTCAGGATACGCGCTACCGCACGCCATCCTACGCTTAGATCTGGCAGGACGTGACTTGACGGACTACCTGATGAAAATTCTGACTGAACGAGGCTACTCCTTTACGACTACCGCCGAGCGCGAGATCGTGCGCGACATCAAGGAGAAGCTGTGCTACGTGGCTTTGGACTTCCAGCATGAAATGGCGACGGCCGCGGCGTCGAGCGCCTTGGAAAAGAGCTACGAACTACCGGACGGCCAGGTAACGCACGAGGACCTACCTCGCATCGCGATGTGTTTCACGAGTGCAATGTCCGCGCGACTTGCGCGATTAATGCACGAAGCGCAGCGGCCGCCCCTCAGTCGTGGCCTTGAGACTCAGACAGAGAGTGGCTTGCTCGGCGATTATTAGATACGCCGTTAAAATCGCACATCGAGATAACTACGTTCTAATAATACAGCAGTGTATGTGCATCGTGAATTATTTATAAACTCGGCGATCGCTATTACACGGAGAGAAAATATTGGCTGAATCAACGTGACAATCAACAAATACATATTTTAGTTTAGAAGGAAACGGAACTTTTAATTTTTTGAACCGAATGAGAACAGCTGATAAAAGCCAAAAATTCTGTTGCCTTTAAAAGTTAAAACGAGTTTGATTGAACGAGGTTGATGACATTCATTGCCACGTTAATTCAATTAAAAACCTTTTTCTCCGCGTAGGAACGCGTAACGGAGCACTTGAGACAATACAGAGCGATATCGCTTAAAATATTCTGAACGTTCATTTTTAATAAAATAAATTCAATGTTCTCGCCAATTTGTGAATCTATCTCTCCTTCGAGATAAACTCACAGTACAACCGGCGAATACATAGAAAGCTTAACTCTTGAGAATGTAAGAGAACGTCGCGACGAGATGGCGGTGGGGGTTTGAGCGCTCATTAACATTAATCGCGCACGTTCACGTCGGCGAGCGTTAAGTCGTCATGGATTGCCTGGTCGCGCGCGGTCAGTGGACGAAGACGTAACGGGGTATGTTGATTCCAGGTCATCACCATCGGCAACGAGCGCTTTCGCTGCCCAGAGGCGATGTTCCAGCCGAGTTTCTTGGGTATGGAGTGCTGCGGCATACACGAGACGACTTACAACTCGATCATGAAGTGCGACGTCGACATCCGCAAGGATTTGTACGCGAATTCAGTGTTGTCGGGCGGCACCACCATGTATCCGGGTATTGCCGATCGCATGCAGAAAGAGATCACGGCGCTCGCGCCAGCTACCATGAAGATTAAGATAATCGCGCCGCCCGAGAGGAAGTACTCGGTGTGGATCGGTGGTTCAATCCTCGCCAGTCTCAGCACGTTCCAGCAGATGTGGATCTCCAAGCAGGAGTACGATGAGTCGGGCCCGTTTATCGTGCACAGAAAGTGCTTCTGAGGACCTCGCCATTCCCGCGACGCCGTTGCTCTTATTCTTCAAGATACATCCTCGAGCGACATCGAGATCCGCGGTGGACCGCATCGTGTGATCGAGATAATTCCTTGAAGTCGAGTTGTGCGTCCTCTTGCTTCCCGAAAAATTATTCATCTGCCGAGTATATAAAGTTTTTAATTTATTTTCCGCGAGAATTTCCCTCTTGCTTCGTGCGAGATAGCTTTTTGAAAAAGTTTCATTTTCTGAGAAACAATCGCGTGGTCATAGAAGACACGGATATATATATATATATATATATATATACAGACTCGTGCACATTGCGGTTTTTCATCTCCTGACGAATAATTTCTCATTATCAGTGTTAGATCGCAATTGGTAAATTTTTTACATGTGATTTTACTAATTTTTGTTTTGTGTACCGTGCGAGAGTTTCAAAAACGAATCTTTTTATACTTCTTAGATGCTTGGTTTTGGGAATTTCCGCATATCGAACAGAGTCATCGAGATTCACAATGGTTTCGTCTTTTTTATTTCTAAGATGTACTCGATGTTATATATATACATAGCAGGATGTTTAAGGCAGATCTGACATTAGGGAGGCTAGTCTCTTCTTCCATGCCTCTCAGAAATTCCCATACAACCTCTGACACACACAGTACATCTGCCGTTAGAAAATAATGCCGTATGTTAAAAAATAATAATTTATGTATTTCTCAGTCGCGCAGTTTATATTTGTAGATGTACTAAGAACTCAATCGGTAATTCCTGCTAGAAAAATCGCCATTTTTACAAGGTGTCGATAATTACATTCGTAGTATCAAGGCATCTAAAATGCCGTTCTTATTCATGAAATTCTAATAGTTTTCACGGACGGTTAATACACTATCTTACAGAATATGTCAGTTGTTGTATACATATACCTTAAAAAGTAAGAGACATAAAAAAAAGAAACTTCGAAAACCATGCACCTCTTTGAAGAAAGATGTGTACAGTTTTCCTCGAACTTTCGTTCAAGCCGAGATAAATTATTGCGCATCAAACGGCGTCTTAAAATTATGCGACACAGCAGATCTAAATATGCGAAAATAACGTGTTGTTATCTGCTATTATTCACACATCGATTCCTTATATTCGTAATACCACAGTTTCTTTCTACAATGCAAATGTGAAGTCGGAATTATCACAAATCTAGGACGCCATTCTCAGAACTCGGTTAGCTGTCCTCCGAGAGATGATTAACGATAGGTGGATCGATAACGCTGTCTGAAGATAGCACGAATGGAAATCCGTAAAAACTAATATACGTATAAATTTTATTTACCAATAACATAATAATGCGAAGCACGAAGACAGTAGACTTAACTTTAATGCTTAATCGAACTGATTGTGCTAGAAAACGCGTGTTATTTTAAGGAATCTCATACTTCGGGTCGTTAAACCTTGGGCCACTAGTCGCGTTATCGGTGACTTTACAATCGTTTACAATGTCCGCGAAGTTCCTCCTTGTCCGTTTCTGTGACCGAAGAATCACGCTCGAATCTCGATACAGCGTCCTACATGGGAGTCGTCAGAGGTAACAGACGCTGTAATGAATTCACTTATAGCTGTAAGTCGCGGTTTACAGATCCTTACTCATAATATAATATAATAGATATACGACATATACAGGTTGTATCAAAAGGCGCCTAATTTCTTTTAGTTACAGATTTTCTCGACGTGAATCTGGTCATCCATTCAACTTTTTTTCGTCTTCACTAGTTCATATGTATCGACAATTTGTCCCGAAATAAAATGTCTCTTAAAATGAAATTTACTTGAGATTATAGCTTAATCTTAAAAAGTATACAAGAATTATTTTACATATACAATTAGGCCTTCCTTCAAATTTTTCACAAGGAGTTTTTCACCACTCCATAAATTCGTCAGAGAATCTGTTACTGAGAGGAAGCGCGCATTTTCTGAAACACTCTGTACAATAAATATATTTGTACTGTAAGTTTTGGAGTTAACCAAACGCGATCCGTTCGCAATGATGCGTAACTTTTTAAGAATAGTGACACGTCTTCCGTCACTAAAGCTACTATACAGAATTTATAAAACATCAAAAAAGGGGCTACACAAGATTTAAAAATTGATTATATTTTTTTCGCGTTTTATATAACATCGTTTTTATAAGATTTTCTTTTTTTACCGACTGTATACATGAGTAATTTCATTAACAAATTTTACAATAGCAAAAAACATATTGGGTTATAAAATCGATATAAACTCTGCCTTGTTACAATTGTAAAAAAAAAATTGCAAATATCAATAACCAATAAGCAGATTTTGACGATAGAACAAAAATCTCCTGATCTTAGTCAAATTTTTGATGCATCCGCAAACTGACATGTTTTTTCATTACATTGTGTGATACATATTCATAGTTACATAAATAAAATGACCAACACCGAGTACAAAAAGTAGAATAGATGTATCAAACAAGTATTGATGATAAATTTACTTAATCGACAAAAATGTAGAAAAAAAAATAGATAAACTATATACCTGCTGTATACATTGCAGACGTTAAAAAAGTTAATAAAAATATCTTTGGTGCCCCTATATCTCGCGTAGCAACGAAAAAAGAACACTGATTCAAATGTGTGATGAGAGGGAGCAATACTATTCTCTCAATATTTAAAACCGACGGTCCAGATAAAATCAGTTCTGTCCACTTTTATAAAAATTTGTCTCCTAGACTTTTCTTCTACCTGTAGATTTTCTTCTACTTGTTGAACGTTTAGGGCGTCGACACTTTATTCGTGTCGCGTTCGACCAAGGTAAAGAAAATTCACTAAAAAAAGAAAGAGAAATTAGTAATTATATGTATATTATACCAGTATTTATAAAGTACACAAATAAACTGTATGTAAATATGCTTGAAAGATATATATTTAGAAACTTACCTTGGAGTAAAACTAGGAATAGGGGTGCCAAATGCAGTTACTGGCAAATGAGAATCCACTTGGAGACTTTGAATTTGTTCTATGTCAGGCCACAAAGACGTTATGGTTTCCTCTTCTAAGGACGAAGGGCAAGGGCCAGTATGATTAGTATTGTAGCATGTGGCTTGATGATTTTGACGTTCTTGTCTTTGCTTTAACTTCTCTATATGCCTTTGTTCCCTAGTAATATTCATGATAAAATTAGCACACAAATTGCATCATAATATGCAAGAGAAAGGAAGAGAGAGAAAAACTGAGAAATAGAAAAAGAAAAATTAAGTATACTTCACAAACCTTATCCTCTGCACATCCCACCGTTTCCTCCTCCTCTCATCATTCTCCAATTTTAAATGTCTTTTATTAAAAATCTCATCATCCAAGTTCTCGGTACCCTCCATCGTGTAACAACTTGTGTATATTTTTACCCTCCAATTTGGAACTTCTAGAGAACTACATGTTTCTACTGGACTGGATTGTTTGAGACTTAAAGTATAACTCGGATCTCCTACAGCAGTGTAATAATGTTCCTCTGTCGTAAGGAATGACTCCTTTTTTACGAGAGATTTTGTCTTCCTGTCACTCTTTCTAGTGGGCTCGTGCGAAGTCTGACCTAATACCTTATCCTGTATATTGGAGGACGCGTCAGTATTAACAGTGGATGAACAGGACAACCCTCTTTTCTTTTTACTGCCTGTGGACAGGGGGGTTGGGTCCGATCGCCTCTTCTTTTTCTCTTCCCATTCGAATCTTGTCTCATTAGCCTCTTGCTTTATTTCGTGTTTGATTTGATTATCCAGAGGTTCTTGCTTAACAGTGGTGATACCACCACTCGTGTTCAAACGTATCTTAAAGCTCTCATGTAAAGTGTTACTACTCTCGGATTGCACATTTCGGTGCGGTTCACTGGTTGACGCTGTGTTTACGGTATTAACGCTGGGTGGCGAACACGTGCCGAGATGTTCGGTACTCGCAGAATTCTCGCTACATTCAGACCTCAGTTTCTGGAGGTTTACCCGCCTTTCCATACGTTCCAAACGTAGCTTCAACTGCAACAGACAACACAGAATGCACATCCATCATTGACATATTACTCGTACCGCCTCTAATGTCTACTCTCTACGGAGATTCAAACGTTATTTACACTTCTCGTATACGGTCTGTGCAAGACCCTCTGCTTTGAGCAGTAAGTCATGTTGAATCGCTTCTTCAACCGTATTGTCGTTGTTATCGTCCCTCGTACGAAACTAAAGAGGTTAATTTGATGAGCCCGCGCTCCACCATTCACGCCGCCGATCAACGCTAAACATTCGAGTTCGAGCGCAATTTTGTTTACGCAAACCAACCCGGACCGGTCCTTTAGTCATTCAACAATGTTTACTCCAGCGTACGGAGCAATTTCGTTTCATCCCTCGCTTTAACTGTCATTTTCAAATCATGATAACACACGAATGTGAGAACGTTCTCCCTCGCAAAAGGAAACACGCATGTCTCTCCATCTTGCTCCGTCTCCTTCTCTCGTTTGCGATATGCGCGGTCTCAATGCGGAAGTAGCGCCACCACGTGTCGACGATGCGCAATTGACCTTCACGCTCGAACTGTTCCCCGCGTGGTGCATATAGGTTAGAAGAGTACAGCGGAAAGGAAGAGGGGATGACATACGCGGCATGTGCGCAGAGCACGTTTTTACAAAATGGTGCCAAAGTCGAATCTATCGTCGCCGGCATTCCGCGACGGATAACGAGAGATTGTGGACGCACGCGCGCGTTATACTTGGGTTTAGTTAGGTTAGGTTAGGTTAGGTTGGATTAGGGCGGTGCGTTCAGCTTTTTTATTACGATCGATGTCGCAGACGACGACGTGGAGAGTGGACCGAAGTTTTATCTATGTGACACTTACGACCACGCGGCTCTCTCACTTTCTCTCGATTCATGTGTGACTTGTGAATGATTCGAGAATGTGGAGAGCAATAGAGATACCGAGTTCTGTTTGTATTTTTTGCGAGTGGACTTGAGATGATCGTGCGGCTCATCGAATAAAGGAAGACAATCGAAGTGTACATTTCAAACAAAGGCTCACGACTCGAGTAGATTGTTATAATCACTTTGCAGCACTTTGTTTTTATATACGTGTACGTATGATCGTAAGTAGAAGAGTCGAGTGTGTGTTGAATTTTTTGTGAGTAATCTTTAATTCCGCCTGTAGAATCGCATCTTGACAATCGAACCCTCTTCAAGGTACACATGACGCAATTGTCACGGTGTTTACGCGAAAATCAGCGGAATATGAGTGGAATTGTAGGGCGAGTCGGGTACAGAATTGAAAACACGTTCGCGATGACTCACTGCCGCTCACTTCACTTCGTTCTATCGCGTCTTTCAGTCGGCAGAACGTAGTGTGACTTGGGCTAAAACGATAAGCGGACTTTCGGAGCTCTCGTCTATCTTTCGCACTAAAATAAATCCTCGCGCAGTTTCAGATTCACAATTCTCTCGTCGATCCAAAAATAGACGAAGCGAGGTGAGGTAGCAGATAGCTTCATCTTGCGAAACTGAAGCTGTCAATCGTCGACGCCAGGTATTAATCCGTGAGCTGTCTCTAATTATTATTTGCACATCACGATGATGCGAATTTATATTGGATAAAACAGCCGATAATTAAAAATTAAGCAAGGAGTGCAAAAAGGTAGACTTGATCACACGTCTTTTAAATCGTCGACTGTTTTCGCATAACAATTAAAACGGACACCGAGCTTTAAAACGGTTTGAACATTGTATTTTGGGCGCAGTTCGGAACGCGGCCCAATGATTCAACGAGAGATCTTGTTCCCGGAAAATTGCCAGGAATTAATTTCTCTCACTGGACATCAGCTGCGTCGCGAATCGCATAAAGAAGAAAATGTTCAAACACTCTGAAAACTCGGTGAACGCGCCGAGTTGCGAAATACATTTAAAGACGATCACTCATTTTGGAATCAACGTTATTCCGAAAGTCGCACATTTCGGCAAACGATTGACCTTCGTAAATGCACAGGAGCAAACTTCACGTATGATTGAGAAAAGACCCCGTCTGCTGCGTACTATCCTGGAAGTTTCTAAGACGAGCGCTCCAAATTCTCCAGCATGATCGATCCCGCGCGGGATTTGCACCTTCTGCTCTTTCAGCGATTTCCTCGCGCGAGACGAGCGCGGAAAAACCGGAACAATTCCCTCCGCGTGCGTTCATTCACCGGCTAAAAGGGGGCGGAGGCGGGATGGGAAGAGTGAGTTAGGGAGGGGAGAGGACGACGAGGAAGCGAGCGAGCAAGTGCGCACGGACTCTTCGCGCGTGTGTATGTACCGTCTCGTTTTCCTGACGCAGCGCGGCGAGAAGCTTGTCCTTGGTGACGATCTGCTCGGACTGCTGCTGGATGAGGTCCAAGTGTAGCAGCAATAACTCCTTCAGGTGCTTGACCTCAGTGAGGTCGTTCTGACGAGGTTCGTTGCCGCGCAGTGGACTGACCCCGAGAGCAGCGGCAGCGGCGGCGGCGGCGGCGGCTGCGGCTGCGGAGGCCGTCGCGGCGGCCGGCGTACCGCCGTCCGTCATACTCGCGTACATATGATCGAAGTCGCATGGGAAACTGAGGATGCCGGCGGGCCCGGTGGTGGTGGTGGTGGTGGTAGTGGTGCTGACGGCGATGTTTTTGCCGTCGTCGCCGTCCATCTCCTGGAACTCCTGATTGCGCGCGTTGCCGCAGCTGTTGTTGTTCGTGGTGACGCCGAGGCCGACGACGATGCCGCCGGCGGTGTTGATCGCCGCGCTCGTCGTTGTCGTCGACATCGCCGGGGGATTGCTGTTGCCGCTGACGATCGCGCTGCTGTTGGACATGGTCGAGGACAATGACAGCGTCGCGACGGTGCTGCTGGACGTGCTGCGGGCACCGTTCGCCGACGCCGGCGACGATGTCGTCGTCGTCGTCGTGTTAGACAGGTGTTCGTTCATCGCCGCGACCATGTTGCCGTGCTTGTACCGATAACGATAGTTTCCGATCTCCTCGTTATCGTTGTCGTCGTCTTCCTCCTCCTCGTCCTCTTCGTCTTCTTCGTCCTCGTCGTCGTCTTCTTCGTCTTCGTCCTCGTCGTCGTCGTCGTCCTCGTCTTCGTCGTCGTCGTCCTCGTCGTCGTACAACGTCGACCCGCTGTTCACAACAACGACCGCGGCGGTGGCGACCGTGTTCGCGCTGTTGCTGCCGACTATCCTCGCGTCGTCCGTGTTACCGGCACTCGCCGGCGTCGTCGTCCGGGGTATCACCGCTTCGAGTTCGCAACAGCGGCCCGTCGTTACGACGGCGTCGTCGCCGTCGCTGTCGCGATCGCAGTCGCCGCCGCCGCCGCCGTCGTCGCAGATACACGCTACTGTTGTCTCGCGACGGCGATTCACCGCTGGCGTCGTGCCGCGGGCGTCGGGTAACGTCACGCCGTCGTCGCGGAGACCGTCCGCGGCGCCACCACCGTCACAGCCGCCGACGACGACGACGCCGCCGCCGCCACCGCCGATAACAGTGGCAGTAACTGTGACGGCAGGAGGGACGCCGCCACTGATGTTACCACCACTGTCCGCACTATTGTCACAAGCACCACCACTACCGCAACTAGAAGCACTGTTACGAGAGCTCACACAACAGGAGACACTTCTTCTTCTTCCACCACTACTACTACAACAACTACTACTACTACTACTACTACTACTACTACCTCCACTACCACTACCACCACTACTACTACCACCACCACCACCACCACCACCACCACCACCACCACCACCACCACCACCACCACCACCACCACCACCACCACCAACACAGCCTCCTTCTCCTCCTACGCCTCCACCGCCGATGCTGCCACTGACAGCGCCGGTGGCGGCGGCAGCGGCGTCGATGATGTTTTTCTCACCGTTCACGAGTCGTTCGGACCACGGTGAGCCGCCGTTTGACATCTTTCTGCCGCGCTCGCGATCGCGGTGGCTCCGTCGCCGCAATCGCTACCGCCCGCATTTGCCGCGCCCGCTATCACGAGCGTACCAACAACACACGCCCGGCTCGCGCACATTAAGCGTCTCTGACGTGCGCGTATCGCGACACGGACGACGACGGTACGGACGCGACGCCCCGTTGCTCGTGTGAGCAACCCCGCCGAAAGCCGTCTTTCTCTTCCTCTCTTCCTCTTTCTCTCTCTCTCTCTCTTTCTCTCTCTCTGTCTCTCTTTCTCTCTCTCTCTCTCTCTCTCTCTCTCTCTCTCTCTCTCTCTCTGCGTCGCCGTAGTCTTTCGCTGTCGCGTAGCGGCCCCCCGGCTCTACACACAAAAACGAACGCGACGCGACACCCGCGGGTACGAAACGGCCGACTGTCGCTCTCCTGTCCTTTCACCCTTCCCCGTCGTCTTCGTCGTCGCCGTCGTGCGGTCGGCGTACGGGACAAATTCACACGACGCACGACACGGCTCACCGCGAATGCCAGCGAGAGCGTGCACGAGGTGTGCGCGCAAAGCGCCTCTGCTTCGTGTTTACTCGCACAGACGAGGTGAACCGCGCGCCGCGCGTCGTCTCGCCGCTTAGTTACTGATCGTTTATTGTTACCTTCGGAAGGATAGAGAGCGAACGCGTGACGTTTCGCGAGGCTCGCTCGCGTTCACGATTCGCGCATAGAGCCTACGGCGGTATTTCGGCCGAGACCGATGGTGTTTTCGCATGATTGCTGCGTGCTTTGCCACGACTGCTTTGTGTTTGACATTGGCTTTATCATCCAATATCACAAGCAAGTGTTTTGTAAATTTAAACACGTGTCTACGGTACGTCAACATTGCACTCAGTGTCTCGCTTTAGATATTGCACATTCTTTTTCTCCGAACGATGGAAGACAGCGACAATTCGTTTTGATATTGTGATGCTTGATAAACAGCGCGTAAAGTGTGTGAAATTTAGCAGTAAGAGGATATGTTATTGCCAATAAAAGCTTACGCTGAATAAAAAAGTGCTCACACTTACTGTATGAACACTGACAAATATTTTATTTCTGTGACTAGTTGACTTCTATATTAAATTTCTTTCTAATTTTACTGTTTTTCATAACTGTCAGTACACACAGACACATACACACATGTACGCTAGATTTAAATTTTGATATAAATACTAATTTAAAATCAAAGAAGTGATAATATTGAATAACACAAATAGCACTGCAATATTGCAGCAATATTGAAGCAATATTATAATATCGTAGCAATATTACAAAATCACAAGATTATTATATAATATTCCAGCAATATTATCACAATATTACAGAGTGATATATCAGATTACAATATCACTGGAATATTACTGCAATGTTACAATGTGACTATTGTATGACAACATAGTGACAATATTACAACAATATTGCGAGATGATAAATCTCATTGCAATATCACAGGAATATTGCCGCTATATTCCAGCATGATAGACCGCTACGTAATATTTCTGAATATCGCAATAATACTTCAATGTGATATATCAATCTACAATATCGCAGGAATATTATAACAATATTGCAGAATGATATATCAGATTACAATATCAGTGAAATATTACTGCAATGTTACAACGTGACTATTATATGGCAATATAGTGACAATATTACAACAATATTGCGCGATGATAAGTCTCATTGCAATATCATAGGAATATTGCCGCTATATTCCAGCATGATAGACCGCTACGTAATATTTCTGAGTATCGCAGTAATACTTCAATGTGATATATCAATCTACAATATCGCAGGAATATTATAACAATGTTGCGGAGTGATATATCAGACAGATTGAATAAATCAGCATTATAAAGTGAAAAAACGTTAGAAAAATCGATATAAGGTGAAATTCGTGATTTCGACTGCAATGTTGAGTCCGTCATATTGAAAAAAAATTTAAAAAAAGAACTACCTACATATTTTTGAGGTACAAATGTTAATAACGCGATCTTTGTAGTTTCCGGTATAAAATAACAATTTTTTTTAAGAAATCAATGATTTTTATAAAAGACAGACTGAAGAAAATACGCCGTTTTGTTTAGATCTAAATGGTCAAATTGTAAAAAGCTTACCCGAAAACTCTTAAAAAAATTATTCCCGAAAAGAATTATTAGCGATTTCTTTAACATCTGTTAGCTCAAAGTTTATAGTCACGCTATTGACGTACTCAGTTTCAGAATCCTTTACTGAATAAGACATAAAATTTTTTCGATTTGCGAAAAGTTCTTATTGAGAACTTCTATAAACATTATTCTTTATGCTATCATTATATTTATATTACCATTATTGAAAATTGTCTTATATATATATATATATATATATATACGTTAATATTACATCTGTATTTTTATTATAAAAATGATAATGATAAGATACTGATTTTAATAAAAACTTTTTAGCAATTATGGTTTATAGCATCTTACAAATCTTATAAAATTTATGATTCTGAAGCTATGATTACCGAAAATATTTGCGGTTTGACTTAACAGATGAGCGATATATCAGACAATATCACTGGAATATTACAATATCACTGGAATATTACTGCAATGTTACAATGTGACTATCGTATGGCAACATAGTGGCAATATTACAACATTATTGCGCGATGATAAATCTCATTGCAATATCACAGGAATATTGCCGCTATATTCCAGCATGACAGACCGCCACGTAATATTTCTGATTATCGCCGTAATACTGCAGTGTGAAATAATTTATATACAGGGTGTCCCATTTTAATGTCACATCACAAATATCTCAGAAATACTGCATTAAATCAAAAAATGTTTCAGACAAAAGTTGTTTGGCTTGAAGGAGGACAAGAAAGCGATAGCATTTTGTTTATAAATGGCGCCACTTTTGAGATATTCACTGACAATCAATTTTCATAAATGGAAATCCGAATTTTTTATTATATTTTCTTTTTCTATCAATTAATTTGAACAATTTTTGTCTGAAACATTTTTTTATTTGGTTAATATTTTTTGAGATATTTAAGGAAAACTTGGTAACTTTTTCAACATTTAACTTACGATATCTCGCTAACTATTCGTCGAAAGAAAAAATAGTATTAGACTTTTTTACTTTACTTACTATCAAGAATATATTATTATAATAGTGCCCTAACTTTTGTTAACTTATCGACCTTTGGAAATTTCAAAATTATTAAATTAACAAAAGTTAGGGCACTATTAATATATTCTTGATATTAAATAAAGTAAAAAAGTCTAATACTATATTTTCTTTCGACGAATAGTTAGCAAGATGTCATAAGTTAAATGTTGGAAAAGTTACCAAGTTTTCCTTAAATATCTCAAAAAATATTAAGCAAATAAAAAATGTTTCAGACAAAAGTTGTTCAAATTAATTGATAGAAAAAGAAAATATACTAAAAAATACGGATTTCTATTTATGAAAATTGATTGTCAGTAAATATCTCAAAAGTGGCGCCATTTATAAACAAAATGCTTTCTTGTCCTCCTTCAAGCCAAACAACTTTTGTCTGAAACATTTTTTTATTTAATGCAGTGTTTCTAAAGCATGGTCTACAATGGCCGTAAGCAATAAGAAGAAAGCGTGAAAGAAATGGACCAACCACAGTTGATTATTTTTGTCATAATCGACTGTGATTGGTTTATTTCTTACCGCTTACGCTTACTTCTTACTGCTTACTGCCATTGTAGACCACGCTTGAGATATTTTTGCGAGATTTATGCCTAGGACATTAAGTATTTTTGCAATATTGCTGTGATATTTATGCAATATTTCAGTAATGTTCCTGCAATATTGCAGCAACATTTAAGAAATATTGTAGCAACGTTCCTGCACGATTGCAGTAATATTTCGGCAATATTTTGCAATTTTTCTGCAGTATTGTAGCTATATTTCATAAGTATTCCTGCAAGATTGTGGCGATATTTCAACAACATTGTGGCAATAGTCCTGTGATATTGTGACAATATTCCTACAACATCATAACAATATTCCCGCAATATTTCTGCGAGACTTATGCCTAGGACATTAAATATTTCTGCAATATTGTTGTCATATTTATGCAATATTTTAGTAATATTCCTGCAACATTTCTGTAATATTCCTGCAATATTGCGGTGCTATGTGGGAATAACAACGAGATGATTTAAGGAGCATTTTATAGCAAGAATCTAATTTATAGAAAAATTTTCGAATATAAGATTTGTTTTTTAATGTTACGCAAATATAAATAGAAATCCATTGAATGTTGAAATGTTTCATAAAGTTCATATACTGACTGAATAAAGAATTGCAGACAAATGACATTTATAGTTTGAAAACGTAACTCTCCTTTTCAATTTATGTGCCAATGCAACCCGATTTTGTGCCAATGCAACCCGATTTTTTTTCACCAAATTATTGAATGTCGGATCAAAAGTGTCATTTCGGCTTTGGTTGTTTACCAAAGACGAATAAATTGATGTGTAACATTTATTAAGAAATGAATATGAAATTGAAGGTATACTTTGTAAGATATCTTTATCGTGATTTTTGAATTTTATTCAGAAATATAGAATACATCTGACTTGTCATTGAGTTATACTCCAATCTCGATTCTTCTGCAAAGTGGCGGTTCATAACGGAGATTATGGAACTAAATTCGATATTACTAAACTAAGATTCGAACCTATTTCATTGAATAATTATCGACCATTTAGTCGAGATTCAAACTTTATTACTGATATATTTCCGCTCGACAAGGAGAGATTGCGCTAGCTCATCGTTATCAACTTTAACTCGCTATTATTATTAACCCATTATTTTTAAAGATTGATAAAGAATTTAAAGATTATTAATACTCATTATATTTGCGTAGGACGCAAATAATTTGCGTTGAATTTAATTCTAAAGTCATAATTTCGAGCCGTTACTTAAAAAAAAAAAATTGAGACTGTATGCCTTAAAAAAGGATCAGCTAGCTCTTCATTTTTAAAATAGTACTATTTAATAATGAGACAAATGTTTTGTTTACTCGTTTCTGAAAAATAAACAAGATTCGATAAGCTATAACTTCGATGAAAATAATGATAATGTGATGGTTCGAATAGCATTTTAAAAAGCTAGAAATTTCTAATTAATAACAATGTGAACGTCGTAATATTTCTCTATCAGTAATTTTTACGTTGGTAATTATTTGCAACTAAAATCGTGATAAATTCCTTTTGACTGTATGGAAATAAAATACCTGTGTTTACACAAATTTTATTGACAATAAGATATCTCTTACGGTTAAATTTAATACACATTACATGTTTCCTTATTGTAATGTAATTGTTAATTATATATACAAAAAACCATTACAAGGAAACTCCTATTTATATGAGGTGATACTTTGAAAAAGTGCAGAATCCGCTTGAAGCTACGAATAAACAGCTTTTTTTGTATCTACATGCATGAGTATCATCGAGAGAAAAAGATATAAAGTGGGAAATTAAAAGACAAATTGATTCGTGTTAATCAAAGTGGTTAATCAAAGTGGTCGTTAGTTGAATCGCTAATCAATAAGCCAATTGTGTCGTTGTATAGCTCGAATTACGCCGCATCGAGATAGGCTTAATACAATGTACATAATCGAATAGGCTCATTTTTTCTAAACCGCTGTTTGGACATTATATTTATATATATATATGTATAAATTTAGAAGGCTAGTTGTTTTCTTCTACAATTAGAATTTTTCATGTTGGCGAGATATTGTTTTCCCATCATTGTTTTCCGTTGTGGTATATCTTAGTAGTAACAATCTATCGTTCGTATTTGCAGCGGCAAAAGCACGCTGATGTTAATCTTCTTACTACCACTAATACAGACTTCGCTTTACTCGTATTTGAATTCTACGCTGAGCTTCGATAGCTCTCGAGAACGGCTAATTTCGCAGAAACGCTAGCGATACGCTGATTAGAGAGCACAGAAGGATGAAGCTGCGAGTCGGCAGCGTACCAGGCATTGCCGCGTTGCAATAATCGGTCAGACAGGAACAAACTTCTTGCCGACCACCGAAGCCACTTCGTTGGTAGCATTTGCCTTTGTAATTTGACTCGTCCCAACCGCATCCTCGAATAACTCGCGTATCAGGTGGTACTACATAAAAAAGAAATACCAAAAATTGACTCCTCTGAATGTAAAAGTAAATCACTCGTAGGCAATATCAATTATATATGTTAAATGGATTAACGACTGATGAGTTTCATTGTTATAATGTGTTGACACACATACGGCCGTTGACGCTGAATTCGATGACTTGCGTGATTTTTCGACACATCGTATACTTTGCGCCATCCTTGAGATCCGAGCAATCTATTTTCATAGTGTCTGGAGGTTTAAGATCGGCGCATTGGCTGTTGTTACGGCTATTGCATTGATAACACTGCATAGCTCCCACGCCTGTAAAATATATTACAATTAATTTATTTCCTCCTCTCTTACTCTCTTGTCATATGCGAAGCGCAAATAAACGCAATATCTCTCACATTGCTCGCGAAAACTGTTACTCGAAATTACAGTTTGCATAATTATCACATGAATTTTCACATGCCCCACAAATCACATAGAAATGCATCTTTGAACGATGAAAGATTCAAGTGTATCCGTGATATGCAAATTTCGCAATATCGAGATCGAGTCGTGGTATTTTTTTCTGATCTATTTTTCGCCTTTGGCATCATTTACTTTCATAAAGTTACAAGCGTCGCTCATAAGAGCGATAATAAGGCTAAAGATCGCAATGGGAAGAAGATAATCAGACAAACGAGCGATGTATTAATTTATTAAAGCCTTTCCGCGCGACGTACTGAATCGTGATCTCTTGCAGCAATCATGTATGCGCATTTCGAGGACACGCGTCGCAATTTTTCAACAGGGTCGTCTGCACAGCTGATAATAGAATAATATTTAGCGTGAAATTGTCATGTTTCGCTCGAGTTTCTCGCTCAAGCGTGCAACTTTTAAACGTTTTAGTACATAGAAATAGATAAAGAGGAAATCGTTGATTTGTTTCAAAGGAACGAAGACTAACATGGAAATAAATATCGGACGACATAGAAATAAAAATGTCGCTCAGTCGTGTTATCAGTCGGTCATCCTTACGTTATCACGTACACGGATATAGTTCATCGAACTTTCTCAGTAGCAATGCTACCCTGCAGAAAAATCAATGTAGCTACGCCAGCCCTGCTGCCCCGGAAAGATGTTCGTACAGTACAGTACACAGCTATCTGCGGATGTATTACGATTTTATTTCTATCGAAATATACACGCGCGCATGTATATCTTCATCAAGGGCGGACGATGCTGAAGTAAAAAAGAATGATAACGACGAGATATTAATTTTATTTATGTTACGCAAGAACGCATCATATTCTTTGCGCCACTGTGCGTAACGAACGTTTCTCCTTTCGTAAAACTCGCTAGCACTAAATGCAAAAGACCGCACAATTACTTTAAGACACTACTTTAATCAACTAGCTAGCGATTTACATATTCACTGAACGAGTCTGTGGAATGTTAATTGTCCAACGATAGGAAGATCGATGAAGCTTAAATTTATTCGGCAGAGAGATCCTGAAGGTCTTTGATTAGTTGTTCAAAGAATTACGATAATTCAGAAAATAATTAAAAGATTCACCTCAAAGTGGGAATAATTTTAGCGTTAAAAATATTTCAAAAAAGTACAATCTTGCGAGGGCAAATTATAACGATTTCGCACGCGATTGACAATCATTATTACGACAACTTGTAATTATTATGTTAGTCAGGGGTTGCATTATAATGCATCTGGATCTTGCCTAGAGAAGGCATATAATAATCCGGGAAATTATTATTTATGATATATTGATATGTTGTCTCTTTCCCTTACACACACACACACATACACACACACACACACACACACACACACACACACATGTACGCACTGTCATCTTGTCAATATATCTTTGAATAATTTGCAATATGTCGAAACGTTCAATACGTCAAATCCAAACAGACTTGTCAAATGACACACCCTCACTCACTTACCATTGGGGCACAAAAACAGAAAGATGCTGCATAAGACAATAACGATAGACCTCACTCTGAAGATTTTCTTCATTTTTTTCTCTTCGTCCTTGCCTTTTAAACAATTGACAAGCGAATGTTGAAGAACTGAGAAGCTTCACTGACAGAGGCACCACAGTGCTCACAGGAAAGACAAAGAAAGATATGGGATAGACATATACATATAGGGGAAAAGGGAAGGTGACAGAAGGTTTAAAATAGTCAGGAAAACAGAAAGAGAGGGAGAGAAGAAGAAAGAGAAGCAGAGAAAGACAGAGGAAGGAAGAGGGAGAGAGAGAGAGAGAAAGACAGAGAAGAAGGGGGAGAGAGAGAGAGAGAGAGAGAGAGAGAAAGAGAGGAAGAGAAAAGAAAAAGAATCAAGAATCGGAAAGACCCGAAGGTATCATTTGACCTGAAGAATTGAAAAAGCACCGTTAATGTTCGACGCTAGCGTGCTGCAACTCTACTAACTCTAGCACCATACAGTACCGAGCACTGTATACAGTAGCGAGTGGTACTGAGCGAACATGCGATTACGCCCGAGGTAGGGAGAATAAAGGACTGTTCAGACTGGCTGAAGGTCTTATCGCTATATACGCCATGATCTATTCTTTCTATATATTCCTACGAAGATACTCCCACTAAACTGGCAAAACGGGTACGTCACAAGAATATGCAGAAAGAATAAGCTGCGGCGCACCGTGACGAATCGTGCCTCTGCTCAGTCTGAATGGACCTTAAAGTGAACGTGCCGAAGCGATGGAAGGAGAACACCGCGAATAGGCGACATATCTATACGAGTAACCCCGGCTCAATCGATCTTCCTATTGTTGGAGCAAGATTTTGCCACACGTTTGCATGTTCTGTGACACATTTCATGTATTTTACGCACCTGTTGACTAATATTTTTAATGATAAATTTATTATTTATATACTTCATTACTCACACGCAATAAGTAAAGTTGACAATGATATTGATTCACAATATCTCATCATTTCAAGGTGTAGCAATGTTTTTTTAATATCCAGAAAAATTTCTTTAGAGAAGAAATTAATCCATAACCGAGAATTTTTGTGAAAAACTGCAAAATAAATAAGACTCAGATAAAATAAAGGTACATTTTGGTCATTACTAAACATATCATAATCTAATTGGTACATATGTGGCAGAATGCAACGCTCATTAACATTAGTCATTGGTACGAGACTGAAAAACAAGTGCGAATATTCTAAAAAAAGTTGGCACGAACATATAGGTTAAATAGATAAGGCTGCGGATAATACGAACAGCTTCACGTTCAAATGGAGAATAAAGTGATGGTTTGGAGCACGTTGAGTGGATAATGTTCATCTTCCTGTGGCATGCTCAACGTCACGAAACTGTCACACGTAGTCATCATCTCATATATTTGCATGTTGTGCTCAGGTCCAATAAAGTAATACAAATAACGTGGATTTTTCTGTCGATTTCCTAACCTCCATCTTGTGTACATATGTCGTCCTTCCTCTTCGAATACGCGTCGCAAATTAAACGCAGATAAACCGTGAATGATATTGCAAGTGATATTTTACCTTCATTGCGTCGTTCCTTATTTTATTGCAACATACCATATCTGTGTCTGTAACGAGAATAAGAAGGGTGCAAATTGATATTAAATGTAGAGTAATTTTTCGTCCTAGCCGAAATTAACGTAATTAGCGTTTTAACGACCATCGGCCGGCAGTGCTGACATACTTCTCGCTCTTATAAACCTATACTGCTATTTTGCATGGCCATCTAAATATCGAGACAGATATCGATACAGATTAATTTACGTTGCCAACTTCGTATCATACTAAACATATTTTGTAAATCATCAGGGTTGTGCGTCTATAATCCCCTCAGTTCAAAACTTAATTTGCTCATATAATTTTGTACTCACTTTCCAGAAGCTTTTATTCGAATGTAAATTCGAATGAAACGTTTGGTAAGAAGTTTTTGCAAATAGAGGTTGTATACATGTTAAAACTAAAAGTAAGTTCAAAAGACCGCGACTGATGTATGCGGTTATGTTAACGTAGAGCAATCAACGTTACGAATAAAATATAAATTATGCCGCTTAATTTTCATTAATGCGATTAGCACAAGGTGAAAAGATTGAGATCGTGTTAGTTTTATACCACAGAGATATTTTTCTTTGAATTTGCAACCGTTAATATTGTAGGATATGAATTCGGCCGCAGTCTGATTTTCTCGATGCTGTACAGTCTATAGGAAGAAATACAACTTATAATGCATATAAGACCACACGTATTGCAAATATTATTGATTTTGTGCATTTTTCAAAACGGTAAGAGTTAAATGAGAAAATTTTAATTTTGTTTTCAGTTGATTCCCAGACAGCACATGATCTCCTGGGGACGTCCTATGGACGTCCTGAGGATGAAGAAACATCCCCAAGACATCCTTAAGACGTACTCTAGACGTCCTCTGTGTTATTAGGATTAACTCAGTTAACTGCACGCAACATCGAAAAATATAGGTTATAATGGTAATATCGAACATGTCCAATGATTTGCTTAGTTTATTTTGCTTATATTCGTTTATATTCGTTAAAGGAAAGTTATAAAAAACACTCTACATTTTTTTCCCTCTTTCTCCCCAACACACTCTTCTCTCTCTCTCTCTCTCTCTCTCTCTCTCTCTTTTTTTTTTTCTCTTCTCTTCTCTCTCTCTCTCTCTCTCTCTCTCTCTCTCTCTCTCTCTCTCTCTCTCTCTCTCTCTCTCTCTCTCTCTCTCTCTCTCTCTCTCTTTCTTTTTTTTTTTTTTTTTTTTTTTTTTTTTTTTTTTTTTTTTTTTTTTTTTTTTTTTTTTTTTTTTTTTTTTTTTTTTTTTTTTTTTTTCTCTTCTCTCTCTCTCTCTCTCTCTCTCTCTCTTTCTCTTCTTTTCTCTTCCCTTCCTCTTTTTCTCTCGCTCACTTATTTTCAAAAACATCTATACTGAAATATTATATATGATTCTACTAATATAATCCTTTATCTTTACATGATTTTGCATGTCATATTGGTACTAACCGACCGTAACTACCGGAAAAAAAAGAATGTATTGCGATCAAATGTTATCAGTGTAGTAGTAAAAAGGATCAGGATTGCACGCTTAACAAAGTACATTTTAAATACCTGAAACTGTGTCCATCGAGTCATCTTTATTGTCGTAAAGCCGTTTACGTGTGTGAGTATTATCACTAATACTGAGTTATCGTCTCTCATGCGTTTAGCTTCTCCCATCCGCCAGCATCTACTAACTATAACCGTAGGCCGTTAGGGACAGTAACTTGCAAATTTTCGTAATCACTTAATAGAGTTGATTCGCGACATACCTCATATCCTGAATAAAGCATGCACGCTGTTGAACCAATCAGTTTTAACTAACTGATTAATATTTAAATATTAATACAATTTTCCATAGATTATTTTATGGATTCGCATAACGGCCTAACAATGCGCGAATGCGCGAAATCGCGTAACAGCCAAAAAGAGTGTTATCGGGGACGCTACAGTCGAGATAGTTATCAACTTATCTGCGAATGCGTAGGCTACGGATGCAATCGATCACATAGATGTTCATCCAGCTTCGCTGTCTACTTTCTGTGTACGCTTTCCGTGATGGTTGATTACTATATTACCAGGCGATGCGATTGAAATCGATCAGCCACTGAAGGGAGCGACCATAAGTTTCGTAAGTTTCGTAAACGTTCTAAACAACCATGTTTGACTTGCTATTGTATGTGTGTGTGTGTGTGTGATATGAAGTACATCATCTTTCCTCATATATGCATACGTATTTTATAGAATTATCTTATAATGTGGATAATATGCATGTCAATTTAAAATTATAATTTTCCTATATTATATGTTCTGTAAAAAGATACATGGTAAGATATGTGCAAATATGTTAACGCGTGAATTGTTGAATCTGTCATAAAAATAGAGATAAAATAAGTATATGTGCAAAAAAAACAAATGTATTAAGAACATATTCATTTGCACATGTGTGTCTTTCATGTTATGTACATAATAAATCATTATTATAATTATTATATTTACTATATCATCATTAATTATATTATGAAATTATTTCTTTATGTTTATAACATATAAGGGGAGGAAAATTACATGTGCAACACGCATATACATAGAACTACATTTAATTCACATCTTAACACTTAAGCGGAGTCTACAATAGAAGTCGTAAAGTTCTAAGTTCTAAGGTCGTAAAAAAATTGACCAATTACAATTGATTATTCTTCGACCACAAGAAGAATAATCGACTGCAATTGGTCATTTTTTTTACTACCTTACGACTTAAAACTTTATTACTTTTATTGTAGACCCTGCTTTGACGAATTCACATAAATTATAGTAACTCTATAATGATGTATAAGTATTAAAGCATATTGCAGGTTTGCGTACTTGTACAGGTAACGTAACAAATAATATTTAATCAATCAACCTCTTCAATCAATCGACCAACTTCTTTTTTTTCTTGAAATATGCTCTTTATTTCGTCGTATATATTGTTAAATAATTCGATTACTAGCGGAATATTCTTCCCGCAGTAAAAGAAAGAAACAATCGCATCTTTGTAATTCAGTCGCTTTCATTTCGTTAATTAAAACGCTTGAGACGAGATTTCAGGTGAATTCTAATATATACGCAACGTCATACAACGAAAGGAACGACGTAGAACGTCGATGACGTTAAAGGCAACGCAGACGGCAGAAGCAAAAAGTACAGCAAGACCAGTGACGAATAATTGTCCGTGCAAAGGGCATGAGGAATGGTGGAAAGCAAAAGTTAGGGTAAATTAAATAAAAAAGGAAACAAGTGGAAAACGTTTTCTTCTCTCTATGAAATTTTCTTTGTGGTAGCTAAGCTGAAAATCGAGGACTAGGCAAACGGCGTCACTGGCGTCACCGCGGCGCGGTGTGGCGCGACGTTACGACGCTCCGACAGGCGCCGCGGCGCCGACCCGCCACGCTGGCCATCTCTCCCCTTTTTCTCGTCCTTCTCTTCTAACTCCGTTTTATCTTGCATGCTCCATTGAACGCGTATAACACACTCAATTTCGATTAATGACTACTTTTAACAGTTGCGAATTCACAATATTTACATTTAACGATGTTTACATTTAACGTTGACTCATTATGCTCGATATCGATATTTTGAGTTTTAGACTCAGACGACATAACTTTTCAATGCTATTTTGCCATAAAAGTGAACATTTTACCAATTTATTAAATCGAATTGATTATTGTTTCGAATGACACGACAGGGACAAGGCACGAAAGCTTGCTTCTGGGATGGTTCACCAAGGTATTATTTAGGAGATTTCATTTTGTATGTGCTTGCAAAAGAGATTGTTAAACGGATTCATTTTGTTTCATTGACAATAGCTTATAAAATTTTGTTATCAATAAAGCAAAATTGGTGGTACATGGAGAGAAATGCCTCATAATCTTAAAGAAATCAAGAAAACAGATGAAATCTGCGCGTTACAGAAAAACTCGCTGAACGATAGAGGGTCAAATGTCAAGGAAACAAGGGGGTAGGAGGAGGACAGAGGGCGGGGACCAACGCAGCGTGCAAAACGAAAAGCTCCCGCGGAGGTTCGCGCATACTCGCGGTCAGACTGTCTACAGGACTACAGCTTCCTTTCGACATTGCGTTATCCTTAACTACGCAAGTTACGTTTCTGTCATCGAAGACAAAGATCGCACCACCGGAACAGCGGAATGCATCGAAGGATCGCAATATTGTTCGTCGCTTTAGTCTTTATTGCGACAGTTCAGTCAGGTGACGTTAATTTTAATTATTTACAATAATTGAAAAAAATAATAACGTGTTCGAGGAGAGATCATCGCGTGTCTTTTTTTTATTTTACTTTAGTACAGTTTATAGAGAATTTTCGTTAAGCAAGTAAGACGATCGTGCGTCATCGGTGTCCTTGTCAAATTCGTATATGTTTATAGAGAAATATTCCGATGGAACTTTTCGAAAAAGAAGCAGAAAGATAAAAAGGTAATTTAACATATAGGTAGCGGAAAATAGAAGTTTTACATATGATCAATAGAAACAAAAATATTTACATAGCATTATATAAAAATTTAAAGCTTAGTAGCGGAGTAGAGTATTTCATCTTGGAAGATTAACTTTAAGCAAATGGGAAAAAATATCATCGTATTCGCACATACACTATAGAGCTATAAAATATATTATTTAGTATATTTTTATTAGTATATTTTTGTCTTTTTCTTTAGTCGCACTTTTGTGTGTATTTGTCTTTATATTTATTAAAAAATGAAACGAGAAGAAAGCCATTGTTTCGTTGTATACACACGCACACGTGAATAGCAATAGAGCGTCGCGACGTACGGCGCCACATCGTCACTTTGCGACCTAAATAATAATTCGAATCGTATATAGAAGATAAAATATATGAAAAAATTGCACTATTCATTTAATATTCTATTATTTTTCAACGGAATTTTTTCAAAATATTACCAATAATTTTAAAGAATTCTCCAAATAAGAAATTAACAATTTTGAAGGCCAACTGATATCAATTGAAAAGAACTTAAGAGCGAATAATAAAAAGAAACGCTTACATTTAATGCAAAGAAAATATCTGTTCACATAGAAGAAAAAAGATTAAGAAACTTTTTTTTGAAAAGCATTGGCCTTATTCCAAAGAAAATTAGTCACTTTGTATTCTTTATATAAAATGATGTAAGAACAGACAAAGAATATCAAGGAGCTTCTTCTTGTTTTTAGTATATTTAGTATTTATCCTCAAAGAGAGATAATTGAAGAGAGAATGATTCATTAATATAACACGCGATATCTAGCTATCAATATATAACTATCTTGTCTCATGTAGAACAACTTATTATCCATGCTTCTTCTTCACAGATAATGTCCTGAAATGTTATATGTGCACTTCGCTATCAAACGAAGGATGTGGTTCCGAACTGAAGACAAACTTGGTGCAACCAGTAGAATGCACTGGTCAAAATATGTTGGATTGGCAAGGAATCATTAAACAACATTATGTCCTTAATTCTATCGTTGGGCTTTACGAAGTTGCTGATCCAATCCAGCACTATCAAAGCACTCAGGACATGGCATGCTCCAAAATGACCATTAATAGTAAGTAACCGCAGATAAAATAAAAGAAAATAATATGATCGATACAATATCGACATATATTTTTATACACATATATTTTTATATACGAATTATGATCAGTAAACATTTTAATTGAAAGAAATTGATCAAAATACAAATATTATATAATTTGCTTTAAAACCTTTGACTATCTATATTCTTGTCCTAATAATATATATATGTATATATACATTTTTTTCCAGTTGAAAATCAAGATGTTATCATAAGGACATGCCAAACAGCTAAAACGGAAATCATTGATCCATGCAATATTATGAAAGTAAAACTAAAGGATCATCATCATATAGAAATGACCAAATGCGATCTTTGCCCTACAGATGCCTGTAACAGTACGACGATTGTATCTCCTGATATATTGTATATTCTTTTATCGTTTCTTGGCTCTCTCATTCACGTTACTTTTTATCGCTTGGCATAACCTTGATAGTTTTATACGCTCCACCAAAGTAAAGAACGTAATATAATGGATATTAGTAGTTGTTCAGCGTCAATATATATGTATGTATACTCTCTTTTTATAATTGTAAATTAACCAGTTAGCTTTTCGAATAATTATATAGTACATATACGTACATAATATATAACAACGGCAATGAGAAACAAATATATAATATTTGCATATATATGTACACATGTATATCATTGATCGTTTTCAATAATACACTGTAGGCTATTCATGTCGCAAAAGCAATTATAACGCATACACAGACTTATCATAGAAATGTAAAAGTAAACAACGTGTATATTTGTATTACGCGTATATAGGTATATTTGCATTACACATGTATATTTGTATTGCGCATATATATCTGCATAATATTTGATTAAAGTTCATTATGATAAATATACATTTATTTCAAAAATTTTGTATCTTCCTCTCTTTTCAAGTCACTCCAGCATTTGTATTAGAATGTACTTCCGTAAGAAATTGAAGAAAGAAATAGAACAAATTTGCATATTAATTAAATTTAAATGTTTAAGTTGTAGCAAAATTTGTTATATATAATTACACATTTGGCAGGATACAAAATGATACAGTAAACTATCTTAAAGTAAGTCTGTATTTGTTGAAAATCACAATATAACACTGCAGAATGGTAAATGAATTCATTTCGAAATTACATACATTCTTCTGCAAATTATTATAGATGAGATAATCAAAATCAACCTGATGTTTTTGTTTCTAATGTTTGCTCAATCAAACTTATACATAACTTAGATATTAATAATAGAAAACTGTTACAAAATTTATTTCTTTGCAAATGATATTTTCATTGCGTGTGAAGGTGTAATTTTGAAACCTTGCAGAGCATCCTTTGCAGCACCAGATTGAACTTCATTTTCAAATTCGACAAATGCAATATCGTGCCGATTGGGTACTAAACGTACCTCTTTAAAACCTGGGAATTGATTAAACAGCATCGACAACATCATTTCACTTGTCTCATCTGGTAGATTTGTTAAGAATAATATCTGATTTGGTGGTTGTTCAGGCACAGCTGTATTGACGAGTCCTGGATGTTGCGGTACACCAGCATGATAACCAATTTGTTGTGAATGTTTTGCTTGTTCTTTTGCACGCTTTTTGGCACGTTTGGCTTCCTCATCTGCTGCTGGAACAACTCTTTTTGGCTTCTTCGGACGTTCTGCAAAGGTACCTTTCATTTTGGCTATCAAATCACTGTCAGTTTTAGCGTACTGTATCCTCTATAAAACAAACAATATAAAAATGTCTTATTCTAAATATATTTAACATAAATATCATATTACTATACAATACATATAATGAATATTTTTAGTACAGATACAAAAAAGAAACTGTAAAACAATTTCATGTATAATTTGTCAATTCTCACCATTGGTTTATCATAAAATGGAAATCCTTGCATAGATCTCAACGCATTTGTCGCACTTCCTATTTCTTTAAAAATAACAAAAGCTTGTCCACGCATCTTCAATGTTTTTAAAGCCACAATATCCAAAATTTGACCAAATTGAGAAAAGATAGCATACAATGATTTTTTTAATTCGTCCTTTTTTATCTTCTCATTTAAATTGTTAATATAAATAGTGTTATTCGGTCGAATATCCATATTTACTAAAAATGAAAGACAATTTCAAACATTATAAACTATATGTTGATAAGAAACTATATACTTAAGTTATGAAAGAATATAACATATATAGCTGATACAATTGATATACGAATATCCTTATGTGTTTAAATATATAAGTGTATATACTTCAGTACTTAATTAAATTTAAATAAAATTGCATATACGTGAGGTTATCTTACATTTGAGGTTAGCGTTAACTTGGATAAAGTCCGCGTCGCGCGATAGATGGATCAAAAGCATCGATAATACAATAGTAAAGATCACCAGTTTCGCAAGATTTAGAATACGCAGTAGTGTACGATATGTTTAGTCAGACAGTTACCATGACCCTAGAGCTAGGAAAATGATTTGTGTATCAAGTATATTAAGGATAAATTATAATTCAAAGAATTAATTAATTCCGATCTTGGCCTACTTTGTCGTCTTTGTCCCGTTTCGTCAAGCTTCAATCTACAAATCGCTGTTTTCAATATCCAATAGTCTGATAGGCATTGAATGTATTCGGGAAGACGCTATTTAGCTCTACAGACTGCTTGAGAAGTTATTAGCGCTGATAAATCAATTATAATATCACTAATAGTATCGCGTATGTTATAACTATGCATTATAATTTATGTTTAAATAAATTTTTAAGATATTAGAACTGAAGAGATGTTTAAATTACTCAAATGATGCACATAAAGCCCGTTCTACATTAGTCGCAAGCACAGAACCTAAGTCGCAAGTCGTAGAAATCCACAAATCATAGTCGAATGTTAAGAGAATATTCGACTGTGATTGGTGAATTTCTACGACTTGCGACTTGCGTTCTATGCTTGCGACTAATGTAGAACGGGCTTAGGCCTGGTCTACAATATATGTCGTAAGTTATAAGCCGTAAGAATTGACGAATCACAGTCGATTATTACAAAAATAATTGGCTATAATTGGTCAGTTTTTACGGCTTGCGACTTACGACACGTATTGTAGAATGAACTTTAAAGACCGTATCACGCTAGCGACTCGCGACTACGGCTGCGGCTGTGATTGCGATTGCGATTCTTCCTCGACCAATCAGAAAGCAGCGACTTGCAGCTGCGACTCACGACCGTCGTTTGGACGACTTTCTGATTGGTCGAGGAAGAATCGCAGTCGCGAGTCGCTAGTGTGATAGGGTCTTAAGCATGATCTACAATACGTGTTGTAAGCTGTAAGCCGTAAGAACTGACCAATTATAGCCGATTATTTTTGTAATAATCGACTGTGATTCGCTAATTTTTACGGCGGAAAGCCCGTTCTACATTAGGCCTGGTCTACAATATGTGTCCTGAGTTGTAAGCCATAAGAATTGGCGAATCCGCAAGTCGATTATTATAAAAATAATCGGCTATAATTGGTCAGTTCTTACGGCTTACAGCTAACAACACATATTGTAGATCAGGCCTTAACGCTACCCTACTGCTGTTCATGAAGCTCGCTGTGTCATTGCGCTATATCCACGAACAAAGTTTGGTAGCGTTTGCGTTCTTTTTCTTCTTCTATTTTTTGACCTGAGGAGAGTGTCCTATTGTAGCCAGTTTGTATTAGTGTTTGCATTGATAACGTCAATAACGTTCCTCAAAACGCACTCTTTATATCTAGGATCATGACAATTTTTGTGTGGCGGCCTTAAAGCATTTGCAAATGGTTGCTATGTGACAATTGAACTAACTCTCTATAATATTATGTATTTATGCTTAACGTGTTTATACGTGTGTATATTGGCCATTGTATAACTGTACTTATATATCAACGTGTAAACGTTTACACAACGAAGTAAAAACGTGATTTTTTAAGCCACTCATAGTTTTGCAGTTTAAAAATTTCAAAGGTATGTTTACATAAATGTGAAGGAATCGCAAGAATCTTCGTGTGGCTGGTAAGCATTGGAAATTGCATTCGTGTTCATCCTTGTGGCAATATAATATCTTACCAATTATATACAATTATATTTTATTTTACGTCTATAGCACGTCTTTACAACATATCGGTTTTTACAATTACATCTACTATAAAGAAGCTGGTTTGCTTACATAGTTTAGAACATGATTGTTAAATACAAAATAACCTTGTTCTAAGAAGGTTAAACGGTCAATTGATACGACGTATAATATCCGGGATATAAATTTATCGTGTCTTACATAATAAGTCGCAATCGTTATACGGATAAACTATCAGCTTTTTAACATGTGGGTATATTGCTATTAAGCCAAATGGAGGAGACTTAACCGGAGGTAATTCATTCTTTCCAAAGGCCAGATTTATGTCAATAATTGATTATTTATCATGTTTAAAACTAGTTTTTTGATCTAATGACTAACATTAATTCTCTCTTCTTGGTCACTTTTATATATACAAAGGTTATTTATTGTTTATCATCATTTATGGATACTTTATCAATACTTATAAATACTACTATCAGTACTTATTTCTTATAGAAATTTCTGCAGGATATAACATTTCATTTATTGTGTGTGTGCGTGCGTGCGTGCGTGCGGTGTGTGTGTGTGTGTGTGTGTGTGTGTGTGTGTGTGTGTGTGTGTGTGTGAGTGTGTGCGTGTGCGTGTGCGTGTGTGTAAATCTGTGATAAACACAAACTTTGTAATATAATTATGAGATATTTATAAATGCTTAAAAATAATATTATATTGTAATCGTCTAATTAAAAATTTGTAACAATGAAAAAATTAGATATATTTCTTATTTTTAAAACAGATGTTTCTTTTATCAATGAGAGTTGTTTTAAATAAAGCAAGTATATTGCATATGCAAAATAAAATATGAAAATGTATATGCATATATAATATTGTGTGTGTAATATATGTGTACACATATAACTTACATTGATAAATATTTTCACAGAATTGCAATCAATTGAGTTTATTCTGAATCATGTCGTACTATGAAGATGTTATTCTGGAAGCTAAAGAAAAAGAAGAAAATTTGTCAGGAGATTTAGGTGTAAGACATCGTATTCCATGGAGTGATCGTGTATTATTAAATAGTGAAATACCTGGTTTACATGAAGTTAAAGAATTATTGGACGATGATGATGCTAGTTGTTTGGCAGAAGAAGAAGATGGAGCTGGGTGTCCTTTGCCCTCAACTCCGGAAGATGATCATCTCCTGGATTGTGAGGTTTGTTTTTGCTATGTTTGTTAGAATATAAATGTAATAATATATGCCTATATATATATATATATATATATATATATATATAACATATATATAAACACACATATATATATATAATATATATATACATATATATATAAACACACATATATATATATATATATGTATATGTTTAACAGATATCTTATTTGAATTTCAGATGACTGAAGTATTGAAAGCAGGTGTATTGAGCGATGAAATAGATTTAGGAGCATTAGCGCATAATGCAGCAGAACAGGCTGAAGAATTTGTTCGAAAGGTAAAAAAAGTATATCTGTATACAATAGTGTTATGGAATAAGAATATATTCTCATTTTGCTGGCTACAGTATTGGGAAAAACTATTTTGTAATCAGAATGAATTCCTATTGCATGATTGTATTATTGGTTCAAAACAGTTATTAGTAATTAAGCTGTCCTGATCTGGTTAACATGATTGGTTAATATATAACAATTTATTGATAGGTATGGGAGGCATCCTGGAAACAATGTCACTTTAGAAATCTGCCAAGATGGTTGCAAGATAACGACTTCTTACACGCCGGCCACAGGCCACCGCTACCTTCGTTTTATGCGTGCTTTAAAAGTATTTTTCGAATTCATACTGAAACTGGCAATATCTGGACACATTTGTTAGGTGAGCCTTTTTCACTGACACAGAATATTAAATAAAACACTGAATGTATTGAATGTGCACTTTTTGGAAAGAAGCATATATGGTAGCTATATTCTTTCAAGCATATTCTGTGATTTTTGGTTATGTGAATTTTGCTCATAAGATATTTTATTCTTTACAGGCTGCGTTGCCTTTATTGGTATAGCTATATTTTTTCTAACACAACCTCCTATAGAAATTCAATTGGAAGAAAAATTGGTATTTGGTACCTTCTTTGCTGGTGCTATAATTTGCCTAGGAATGTCGTTTGCCTTTCACACAGTTCATTGCCACAGCGAATGTGTTGGAAAGCTATTTTCAAAGTTAGATTATTGTGGCATAGCTATGCTTATTATGGGTAGTTTTGTACCATGGCTTTATTACGGATTTTATTGCGACTATCAACCTAAACTAATTTATCTGTCTGTGGTGGTTGTCCTTGGTATAACCAGTATCGTAGTATCATTGTGGGAGCGATTTGGTGAACCAAATTATCGTCCACTCAGAGCAGGAGTTTTTATGGGATTTGGTCTTAGTGGGGTAAGTAATTTTTTGAGTTATATTTATAAAATATATATCTATCTTTACTATATACATATTATACTCTAGATATTATATATATATATATATTTTTTTTTTCATTTAGGTAATACCAGCAGTACATTATGCTGTTGCTGAAGGTTGGTTTAAGGCGATTAGTCAAGCATCCCTTGGATGGTTAATACTAATGGGATGTTTGTACATATTAGGTGCATTGTTTTATGCTTTAAGGGTACCTGAACGTTTCTTTCCAGGAAAATTTGATATTTGGGTAAGATTTATCATAAAATGTTAACTACTTTCTATATACAGCAAAGATGTTGTTTTACTCTTCATGTATATATTATACATATATCACTATTATATGCATATATGTTACACATATATTTCAAATATAGTTTCAGAGTCACCAAATCTTCCATGTATTAGTGATTGCTGCTGCTTTTGTTCATTATCATGGTATTACGGAAATGGCAATGCATAGAATGACAATAGGCGACTGCACAAATCCGTCGCAAGTGTTAGCTTTTTAAATCTGCAGGTGTATATCCTCATCTTGTTGATAACTTTCATCTCATTACATAACCGATACAGGAAAAGACTTCAAGGATTCCTAAATCTTACGCCTTAGTGAATCTGTGCTGTTGTAAGTATGATATATGTTGTGTGAAATAGAATGCGCGCGAAGGTAATTAGAAGATGACCACAATTGGTTTTATTGGTACAAAACTAAGAAGAAAGTGATTTTATATGAAATAATAAATGTTGAAAATATAGAATTAAATTTTTTATCGATCGTCATTGTTAAAGAATTAATTTTAGATACTGAAAAATTAATATTTTTATTTTTGTTTAAGCTTGTATAATTTTCAACATTGCTAAACTTATCTTGGACGATGGTTGTCAAAATCGTCTTTTCTCCATTATACCAGTTATACCATTTATTACGGGATATACTATTTATTACGGGATACTCTATGTACACAAGATATTTATTTTTTTAGTTTATCTTAGAATACTATTGAAAATGTTACTTATTTATTTAATTGCATTTTTATTAGTTTTAAGAATATAAGTTACAATGAAAATATCTTAAAAATATATTTACGATTGAGAGAAAGGAAAAAGAATGAGTTTCATTATTGTCAACAGCAACTTATTCAAAAATATATAAAATATGTACTTTAATTTTCTTTCCTTTCTCTACAATCAACCAAATTAGTTTCAATAGATACATTGGTAGTTTGTACGGAAATTATTATTATACAACATTATTATACAACAAGTAGATTTAAGTGCTTCAGATTTTGCAAATTTGTAATGCGTATTTTGAAATGTAATGTGTGGATGCATCTTGGATTAAAATTTATTTGGATTATAATTTTATGGATTAAAGTTTAAAAAGTATGTTCTTTTGAAGATTATGAGTATAATTTCTAAAATAAAATTTGAAATTTGAAAATAAAGAAAGTCCATAGTATAAAGTTAAGTGGCGTGAATTGTTTTTCGGGCTTGAAATTATAAGAATCCATACAAAAATTTGTCTTTCTGCAATTTTTATTTTATTTAGCTATAAATTATAGATCTATCAAATAGTATCGATATTTAGTTTAATTACAAACTAGCTATTAGCAGTTATTATAGCAAGGAATAAAATTATGGCACAGGTGGCTGTTTAAAGTTGCGGATTGTTAACAAAACATCTACATATTACTTACACGCAATTTGTTGAGCTTTTTAATAAAAGAAAGTTTATATTGTGTAAAGTTTTTTATATTAAATAAGCATAGTATTTGAGATGAGAAGCACAGATAATAGGCAACAAAAGCACGCAGGCGTGACTAAGATTTAGGAATCGATCGTTACTATATAAACGATTTTGTAGAATAAGTATTATAAAATCTGTAATATATTTTGAAGAAAATCATTGTTAAAATAATGGAAATTTGTTTATATTATCATCGTGAGAAGGGAGAAAATAAAAAAAATGTACCAACTTTATTTTCTAACAGTCTTAATTTTATAATTAAATAATCAGGAAATAGATAAATATAAAGCGACACGGTAGTAGTATATAATAGAGAACGATGTTTTACGGAAATTATTAAAATAAAAATTTGTGCTTTTTTAATGAATGTTTATAATCCAAACTTATAATACAAAAAATGATCAAGCTTATCTCGACATGTATCATATTATTACTAATTCTTATAAGAAGACGTTGTTGCAATATATTTTTTTCATATGCATATACTGCGATATATATTTGTACAAGGTGTGATGAATTTGTATTATTATTATTATTATTAATTAAAAGTCGCACACTAGTATCGCATTCAGTAACGAATTTCAAAAAACCGAGTCTCGGTTAAACTTTATAGAAATCGGTAAATTGTAATTCGAGTCTTGGCTAAATTTTATAAAGATCAAAAATTGTGGTCTGAGTCTCGGTTAAATTTTATCAGAGAGAAACCTAAAAACAATCACCGGGCCCATTACGCTAGGACGCTTTTATCGCCGAATTCCGTTGCGCTCCCTGAGAAAATGTGTGCACACTAGATCCGTCCTGACGGTAACGGCAAAAAGTTGATAAATTGTGGTTCGAGTTTTGCCGAAGATTTATAGAGGTCAGAAATTCTGGTTTGAATCTCGACTAAATTTTACAGGTGCCATTAAATTGGTTTAAGTTTCGACTAAAATCGACTTTATGCAATGGCGTTTGGTTTTTAAGACACTATTAGGAACTGTGTTGGTTCAACTGTACTGAACTGTATTAAGGTATTTAATTTCTCAAAAATGTGTTAAATTTATATAAAAAAATAAACATATTAAATATCGAATAATATTACGATTGCTCATTATGTTTTGTATGTTGTTTTTTGTATGCTGTCATCTTGTATATATGTTGTATGCTCTTGAACGTATATGGATATAAAAGGTAAATAGTTATAGGATCAAGATTTCAGCAAATAGAGCAAAGATAATAGCAAACTCTGATTAGTAAGATTTACATAACGTTTTATTTAAAAATCTGTGGTTTTAATAATTGTAAATTGTGTATGCTCTTGAACGTATATGAATATAAAAGGTAAATAGTTATAGGATCAAGATTTAAGGTAATAACAAATTCTGATTAGTAAGATTTATATAATGTTTTATTTAAAAATCTGTGATTTTAATAATTGTAAATTGTGTAGATTTCTATAATTAATATAATCAGTATTGATCAGTGTTATTATCAGTATTGTGTTATTATCAGATTTTTGTTTATAGAATCATTTATCATTTTTTGCAGCAAAATTATAAAATCTAGGAAATTATAAGACTATTACAATGCAGAGCAATAGAAGTTCATCTTCAATCTCTAATGCAAGATCTCCTAGGGAACGCAAAGATTGTCTCAAACGTGCTTTAGAGAAGACACTTATTTTACGTAATGTATTGTTCTACCTAAATTTATACTTTGTATACAGTATATAACTAATCAATACTTTACAGAGGATGCAGTTAGTGGCTCTACAATAACTAAACTAGATGAAGCAATATTTGAAGTTGATAATGTTACTAATGAGACAACTTTATATGATAAAGGTATGTAACTACATACAACTAACTTCAGTGTATTATATAGAATATTATGCAAAGTATGTTATTCCAAAACATACACAGGATATTAACTGGAATAAAATATCCTGATGCAAATATGTTGAAGTTTGAATAATGCAAAAATACTAATGTTAAATCAACCAACAAAATTATCATTAGCATTTCTCATTGATAATGATCTTCTGTTAATATAAATTGATTGGTATAGTTTATGTAGTATCTGAGCACAACATAAAAAAAATTGTTTTAAATGAACATTAATAATTAGTATGTTTATTATTTTTGAATAAAGTACTTCAATAATTATACTTTTAGTTTTTAATCACCAAGAAGTACTTATTGATTCGCAAATGATGATGTGTTCTTCCAAAGTTATCAAAACTTGTGCTGTTTCATTGACAAAAAGAATGCGCGATTATGATCATGTTGATTTTGCACAGAAAGTGGTGAGTTTGTTGAAAAAAATATTATAATCATCTCTATAACAATTTAAAATATCTATGTTAAAGTAATATAGCTATCAAAATAATATAATATCTGTGTGTTATTTAGGTAAAGTACTTGCAGGAGGCTTCACAGGATGATGATGATGCTGTACAGCCAGTGAATTGGTTTCTTTTAGAAACGCGAATAACAAAATTGTTCAAAAAAGTTCCTAATTACAACACATTATTAGGTTCGTTTGTATTCAAAATTAATAACAGAAATAATATATCACAATCAAAGAATGAAATAAGGTCAGATAACTTTAATTTGTACACCAGGTGCACTGGAGCCTTTAGAAAAAAAAGTACCAAACAAAAGAAAATCTATGAAGAAGACAGCACTGCAGGCAGTAATGAAAGTACCGGATAAAATAGTGTCACAGACTACTACAGAAGAAGACAGTGTAGAACAAACTATGCGAAAGATCAGAAAATTAATCTTAGGTTATTGCAAGGAAAGACAAGAGCCACTTGATTTATTTAAATTAATTATACATCCCGACGACTTCGGAAGAACCATCAGAAATTTGTTATATGTATCTTTCCTTGTTAAGGATGGAGTAGTGAAATTGAGTAAAGGTAACTTCCATAGTTTCTTTTCATCTCTAAAAAATTTTATAATGATTATTATTGTAGATAATCGTGGAAGCCTCGTTGTACAACCAAATCGCAAGGCAGATCAACAAAATGAACACTCTAGTAACAGAACGGGTGCTCAAACCATCATCTCGTTAAATATGCATCAGTGGACTGTATGTTAGTTTTGTGATAAATTATTGTTTTTATGAACCTCTTTTTAGTGAATCTTAAACTTAATAGTGAAATTTTGTCACCATTAATTTTACGTAAATGCTATTTTATAAACATTTGACTACATGATAACGTGTATTCTTTGAACTAAACTCATCCACTAAATCGAGGTTGTATTATTATGTTCGAATATTCAAAACTGCATGTACATAAGTGAAATTAATGATTGGTTACTTTTGTACTAGGTATTAAAATGTTTCTACGAAGTGACACAACCAATGATCGATTTCGATGAAGCCAATAATGTATAAATTAATTCTTATTAACATATTTTAGAACTTGTTACTCTTTTTTTCTCTTATTTCTATTTATAATTTCCTGTTTTTTTAATTATATGTACGATTCAATATAATTGTAAGTTTCTATATACAGTACTATGTTCAGTAAATTCTTTATTATATTGCATAAATTTTTCATGCACTAATGGAAGTTTAATAAAGAAGTTTTTGTAAAATTTTTATTAATATCTAACACATATACTTTTAATTTTCGGTATATATTAATAGCGTGATTACCGATTAAGTTATGAAGAGAATATCAGAAGTAATATGTATTCTGATTGAAGATTCTGCTTTCAGAATTTTGATTTTCTTGGAAGTTTAAATAATTGTTTTTATAGTAAAAGGAAGGTAAGAAGCAAAGTGACCTTTCAAGTCCACTTGTGCAGCAACTTGGCAGTGTTATAAATAGTCCATTAGATTAATTACAAGACAATTTCTTATAATTATTTTATAGAGGATGAAAGGAATTATACTTAAGGATTATTATTCTTGCGGTTTTTAATAATATAATAAAGATCTGAAGAGGTCGAAAAAGCGCAAGTTTCATTGGAAGGTCACTTTTGCGAACAAGTAACGATTGAATAAATTTGTAATGATGCTGTTTTACGATGACTGTTAGTTAATTTATTATTTGGCCAACGATTCCGCTTTCGCTACTACTTCCTCAATTGGACCAACCATATAGAATGCTACTTCCGGCAGATGATCTAATTCTCCAGCCAAAATTTTTTGGAATCCTTTGATGGTTTCCTGCAACGGTACTAATTTACCTGCGTGACCAGTGAATACCTCGGCGACCTAGAAGAATATTATAAGTTACATTGAGACCTATAATTCATTGAACAAAAATTACAAACACATTTACATAAGCAAGTCATATATATATATATAATATATAATTGTCCAGAAGAAAGCAGGTATATTTATATTTCTCACCTGGAATGGTTGGGACAAGAACCTCTGAATTTTACGTGCACGAGCGACCGTCAGTTTATCTTCTTCGGACAATTCGTCCATACCAAGAATAGCGATGATATCCTGAAGCGATTTGTAGTCTTGAAGAATCTTTTGCACACCACGGGCGATATTGTAATGTTCCATGCCAATGATATTAGGGTCCATAATACGGGATGTAGAATCAAGAGGATCGACAGCTGGATAGATACCTATGTAATCGATAAATCCGTAATTAAAAGTACTCAGTACTTTAAGTACTCAGACATACCACGATGTAACAGATGTAATTTTTTGATGAATACGTACCAAGTTCAGCAATGGCACGAGATAACACAGTGGTGGCGTCCAAATGGGCGAAGGTGGTGGCTGGAGCAGGATCTGTCAAATCGTCAGCAGGCACATAAATGGCCTGTACGGAGGTAATGGATCCTTTCTTTGTCGTGGTAATACGTTCCTGCATGGTACCCATGTCAGTAGCTAATGTGGGTTGGTAACCTACGGCAGATGGAATACGACCCAACAAAGCGGACACCTGGAACATATTGAAAAATGATCTTTTTACGTTGTGATATATTAGAATAAGAATTAAATATCGATTAGTTGAACGTTGAATCACATATAAAATTGTCATGTGTGTTAAACTCTGAAACTTATTTGAATTCACATGTAATAAAGTTATATATACCTCAGAACCAGCCTGAGTAAATCTGAAGATGTTATCGATGAATAACAGTACATCCTGACCTTCTTGGTCTCGGAAATACTCGGCGACAGTGAGCCCGGTGAGAGCCACTCGGGCACGAGCGCCTGGCGGTTCATTCATCTGTCCGTACACAAGCGCTACTTTGGACGTCTTGTCTTTGAGGGAAATGACACCGGACTCGATCATTTCGTGATAGAGATCGTTACCCTCACGCGTTCTTTCGCCCACGCCAGCAAACACGGAATAACCACCGTGAGCCTTGGCTACGTTGTTGATCAATTCCATGATAAGTACGGTCTTACCGACTCCAGCACCGCCAAAGAGACCTAACAAAAAATAATGAGGTGATCTGTTAGTAATTTGTTAATGGATGGATAATTGACGACATTTTCTGTTATTTTTCTACTTTCACGATAAGGGTGTATTACCGATTTTTCCACCCTTGGCGTAAGGTGCCAGAAGATCTACGACTTTAATGCCTGTAACCAAAATCTCTTGCTCGACGGACATGTCTACGAATTCGGGAGCATCCGCATGAATAGCCGCTAGCTTGTCGGTAGCAATGGGTCCGCGCTCATCAATAGGTTCACCAATGACATTGATGATGCGACCCAAAGTCTCAGCTCCCACAGGAATACGAATGGGATATCCAGAGTCAAAGACATTTTGACCACGTACTAAACCTTCCGTACCTATAGGAATAATAGAATAAGTAATATCTTTATCATTTCAAATTTGCAAGATTTCAATCTTACTAAATTATTATGTACAATTAAATGGATGAATGCAATGATAAATTAAGATAAAAATAGTTTAAAAATAATAAAACTAAATATTTAATTTTAATAATAAAAACTTATTAAATCTTGTAAATTAACTGTAAAATATACAATACTGTGATATTTGAAAAATATTACCATCCATAGCAATGGTGCGTACGGTGTTTTCTCCAAGATGCTGGGCAACTTCAAGTACCAGCCTAGGAGTACGGTTTTGTACCTCCAAGGCATTGAGGATAGGTGGAAGAGCATCTTCAAACTGTACATCAACGACAGCACCAATGACAGCAACTACCTTTCCCTGTGCACCACCCTTAGACGCAGCTGCAGCTTTGGCTGCATAATCCCTTTCTATATTTAAGATTAAAAATTGAGAAATATTGGGCATATATAGTCAAATACGCAAACCAAATATCTTTATTCCTACCATAAATTTGAAACATTCAATTATCTTTTGCAAGGACTGAGTGACAAGTCTATAGAATATATTACATAACATAAAAATACATATATGACTATTGTGATAAATTAGGCCTGTAGTCTCTTCAAAATCTTACTTTTGCGTAACTGCATACATGACTTGTGTCATCATTTTGAAACATTTTTTAACACAAATTACTCAGAGATAATGAAATATAAGGAGAAGAGGAAGGAAAGAATAAAGTCAATCTCCGCAAAATTGTAATGACGCAACAAATAACCTACGACGTAGGAAATTTTACATAGCGAAGTATTCTTCGTTCATCCTCATGTGGACGAAAAACAGCGTTTGCACCCGTGACTATACCACATAAGATAACCAGATCACTAATCCAGGCGCAATGAGCGAACGTGTCTTCGTGCCGCCATGTTGGCGAGTAAAACCTGCGGCGATCGATCAACGATTATATAATCATTACTGAATGGTTTTATCAAGTCCAATAATTTTTGTTAAACCCCGAGACACCAGTGGTCGAGAATGAACGACGGCTTTAAGTTTTCCGGCTTCTCGAAAGGTATCTTCATTAAGGTAAAGGGTGTATCGGGAGACGACGGACAAGTATATGTGGTATTCGTTATAATATGTCCAGCTTGCTTTTCCGCGATGTTGGATTGCTAAACGTGTACTCACTGTTGACAGCAAGGACGCCCGATACCTTCGCCACTTCATTTTGTAGAAGAGAAGGCTTGGAAGCCCTCAAGGCCCCAGCGACTGCTTTTGATACGGCGCTCAGGATCATGGCCGATCGAGTGAAGGCAGACGCAGACGGCCGAGACAGAATTTGTGATCTCGTGAAATAGAGATTGCGCGAACCGAGTGCGCAATGCACGCGACGACCGCCACACGACGAAACGAGGTCCGAACGCGAACGAGAGAGATAGATGATATGTCATGAAATGGACAGGAATCTAGAAGGGTAACGTTAGCGCCGGTAAATTTTGACTCGCGAATGTCACAATTTACCGCGCAATGGCTACTTGGTCGTACTATCAGAAATTGTCGAGCATATGTACCCCTTCTGGTTATTCGTGCATCATGATTGTTGATTATCTTGTGCGAATTACGGACGGGCATCAACGAATGCGAATATGTCTGGTTTTGCGCTTACCGCATGGTATATAGTGTAAAATAATGTAATTCACATAAATGTAAACGTTTATTGTTAATATAGATTGTGCTACATGAAGGATATGAGGTAGCGACGTGAAAGAGATTTAACTCGTTGGTGAATGTGTAAGTTTCATGTCCTTATGTCTGCTGACATTCTGTTCATTTTAGGTTATAGAATTTAAACTAAATCTTCTTAACAGCGGTCATTTGATACGAATCAGCCTCAACAAATGCGAAACAACTGTACTCGCGTTACCGAATATTTCAAAGTTGCACATTAATGGCGGATGTTACTTAACATTCTCGAGCAGCTATGGTTATGTGAATAATATAGTAGCAGACATTTTTGACACATATGACTGTCATTCTACTTATGTTATTGCAAATAAAAGTTGTTGGATGTCATTCATATTTTCTTATGGTAGTCATTATTTATCCATATGTTTGATGTACTGTGTAGTTTATCTTTGATCTTTATGTTACATGTATAATGTATCATATTTGTAGTACTTTTTGACACAAAGTTCCTAAAAGTGCAATGTTATTTCTTGTCATTGTATTAAGTAACTCTGACATTTATCAATTGTACTTGAACGATTTGATAACATATTTGTTTTATCTTTTCTTTAGAGTGCTAATCAATATGGCAGAACAGCAGCAATCGCCTCCTGGTATTAAACACATGTCCTTGGATAAAATAATTGAAGCTATGACTGCAGAGCTGGAGAACTCAAGTAGTCCTTATGTTCAATTTGGCGTTACTCCACAGCAAGCGACCCCTCATAATTGGGGTGATTTTGCTTCTGGTCAAACCAGACATCATATTGCAGCTAACCAGCCAACACATTCTAATCCATCTGGAATGCAGCCACCAATGACACCAATGGCCACTTCTCTATATATGCCAGATATGCCAGGATATGATTCTGCAACCACCGATTCAATATATTTCCCACCACAGACAGTAAATCATTTAGGTATTAATGAGAATAATGATCTCATTGGTACAATTGACGTTGGAGGTGGTAACTATATCAATGTTATTTATGGGAATGCTTCCCAAATTATGGCTGAGCAATGTCAACTCTCAAACATGGCACCTTATGCCAATCAGAGCATTGTTAATCAGGAATATGGTCTTTTTAACGATCAACATATGTCTGTACCATCAGAATTGCCAAGCCAAAACTTCAATGGAAAACAGTTGATTGACAATCTAGTTGGAAACTGGGTGCCAAATCAATCCGGAACATATAGTCCGTTTGGTGGGTCTCCCAATATTACACCTGTACCGCAATCTGTACCGGACGTGAGAGAGGCCGAGGAACTACCTAGAAACATGCCAGATTCTCAATATAAGAAACCGAGAATGGTGGCAGAGGTAAAACCTATGCGACCATCCTATTCGGATGTATTGACGAAATCTGCGCCAACTCCACCGTCTCCATTAACAGTTCAGTCTATGAAGCCGAAAATCGAGACGACTGGCAAAAAGGTTTCTAATAAGAGCTCCAAAGGTAAAAATAAACCTGCGCTATTAAAGCGGCAGAATTCTTCTGGCAGCGACGATCACAACTCACCGAAGATACAGATACCTAGAAAAGTTTTAGAGAAGAATTCCTCTAATCTTCCAAGACGTTGGGTGTCATTAGATAACCTAGGTTCGCAATCGGATTCTCGTCAGATAAACACTTTCGACAGATCCGATCACTTTGAAAAGAAAAAAACTGTCAAACCCTCTAAGAAAGCTGAGAAAAATGAAACTCTTAACAATACCAAGATACAAAACAGTAATCCAAAAGCTGCTGGAAATATTCCGAAACGTCCGATACAGATAAACAACAACTTAAGTACAATCAATACTTCCAGTCAGACGGTCTCTCCGGAAAAGATTGAGAAAAATCAACAAGTTATTAATAAGTTTAGTAAAGAGGAGAAAAAAATAGTTAAGGAGAAGAACCCTAAACGTTTTCAGGCCGAAAAGGCACAGCAAATTAAGAAGGGACAGAGAAATAGGAGAAGAGAAAATAGAGAGTCTCCTGTAAAGGATTTATATAAAAACTTAAATAAATATGCAACACGTTGGAGTAAAGTTATATTGAAAATTTTTTATTGGTTGTTACATCTCATTTCTGACGTAGTTAGCATGAGTGCTAATCTCGTTGTACAGCTGTAAGTAATAATACAAAAAACTTGATACATCTTGCACATACAAAAATATGTCGGTCTTGTACCTATGAATAGATGTTATTTAGAAGAAATTTTCCATTGTTTTATTATATTTTTCAGTGGTAAATGGGCCTGGTACCATAGCATACTTTACTTGAAGGGTTGGTGGATGTATGTGGCTGTGACATTTTGTAAAATTCGTGTTTTAAATGCCATTGGCAAACAACTAGACAGCTGGTTTGGAACTAGTAAGTTTGCGTTTTGGAGAAAGATAAATACTAAAAACGAAGAGAAGGAAGATAATGGCAATTGGATTCACGGCGGGCTGGAAACTAATATTGCATTACCCAGTACTGGTGAAGAAGCAATGAAAAGGCTACTGGCTTGCAAAGGAAAAGATCCGTATAGCATACTTGGCGTTACACCAACGTGTTCGGACGATGATATCAAGAAATACTATAAAAGGCAAGCTTTCCTAGTACATCCGGATAAAAATAATCAACCAGGAGCTGAAGAGGCATTCAAAATTCTAGTACGTGCCTTCGAAATCATCGGAGAACCGGTAATAGAGCATCCTATTCTTCACATATTCATTTCATCATTGTGGTTTTGTGATCAATTATATGATAGAAATTTACAGTAATCTTTTAATTAAATTTATAACATAGTTTTCTCTATGCGATGCGTGCTATTTTAGGAACGAAGACAAGCGTTTGATCAGACGAGACAAGTTGAAGCAGCTTGGGGCGAGCTTAGTGATTTGTTGTCTCAGTTACATCGAAAGATGGAACAGGCGGCAAATACTATAAGATGTACAAATTGCGGCTCGAGACACAAACGTATTCCTACACAACGTCCTTGTTATGCCGCACGGTTTTGCGCCCAATGTAAAATACGTCACAGTGCAAAAGAAGTAAATATTGCAAATATGACTTTTGTATACGTTTAGTAGAGTAACTGACCTGTTGTTTTAAACTGAATTGTTTAAACCAACGTCTCTACAGGGAGATATCTGGGCGGAGTCTCGTTTAATGGGTTTTCGGTGGCACTATTACGCGTGCATGGAAGGGGCAGTGTATGACGTGACTGAGTGGGCGGCTTGCCAAGCTGGGAATCTCAAGCATCTTAAAGCAAACACGCATAGCGTTCAGTATAGAATCGTCTTAGGGCAAAGATTACCATCTCAAACATCCAATAGTGGTAAAAAGCGGCAGCAAATAGATCCAAATACAAGGTACACTGTATTATAATGATTAACAGGCATGTACGAGTGAATTTTTTGGCCGACTTAACGAACAACTTGCTTCAAAACGAAGCAAATGTGTCAGTACGATTTACTTGTATATGTCCATTAATTTCTTATCATCCCTCCGATTATGTATTGCATGTAAAGTAAATGCAATAATTTATGTCTGAAACAGTGAAGCAGATATTGAGGACTTTCTGAATAATCTCTACAATCATAGCAAATCGGGCAGTGCTAATACATCAGGGGATCAAAACTCTTTTAGAGGAGATTGCAGACGACGTAAGACTAAACGTAAGAAGTAGATAAGTAATTAATTAAGCAAACAACTTTTGAGCGTTCGGTACGAACATTGTATGATTAAAAAGGATACAAAATAAGATACATTATTATACAATTTCTTGAATTTACATTATCCTTAAGTCAGATTAACTTTAGAATATAGATATATATTACAAATATTCAGCGATGTGCGACTGGTGCGCGATATGAGATTATGAGAAATTGTGTTCACAAGTAGCGTGCAGAAATCATCATTGCATAAAATAAAATCATAGTTTGCAACATTATGAAGCTTGAGAAGGATAGGAGAGTATCATATTAATAACATGCAATGACAACAAATTCTATAAACGAATTATTCATTTTCGTATTCAGAGTAGTAATATATCAGTCAATATATTTTGCCAGTTTAAAATAATAAAAACACGTTAATTTTGTGGGCTATAAAACGACACGTAAAGATGCCAAATAATGATTGTAGGAACAAATAATTTGAATTTTATTGCGAAGTTATATTTGAGCAATGAAGTTTTGATATGCATATTGAGACAGTTTGTATCTACCCGGTGCAATTCGTGTTGTAACTTCATGCATGTTCTTCCAAAATAAAATAAAAAATACAACAAAGTAGAACCAGCTTATAGATTTTCCTGTATAGTTCAATCATACAACTCGCAGTTCTAAACTGGAAAGAATTGGCAAATATGGAAAAAGACTGATTTTTTCTCATTCTGTTACTTATAAGTTACATATTATGTATTAGTTAGAGAAACAATTTTAATGAAATATTCTGCTATGTGTGGAAATAGTGAATCCTTTAGGTGAAAATTAGTGTCAGTGAATCCCATTCTCTTGATATTTATATGTGTATGCTTCTCATATGTAATACAAAGCTGTAGGACGGAAGAATCATTATATATGTACATGTATGCAATGTTACATTATACGGAAGCTGCACTGTCAAATGTAGAGAAAAGAAGAAATTAGAATTTGTTATTAGGACAAGATGTAAATTATAATAAAATCACATATACAAATAATCTCATAAATAGTGCAGCAAGAATAGGAAGAGTAAAATTGATATTAGCATAGCTAATATTGTCTACTATCAATAATCAATATTGTGTATGTGTACATTAATATAAACACTTTTTATAAGTTTTAACATTTAATATGTAACTTACTACATTAACTTTTCTTTTGCAAAGCGTTGTGAACTATATAATATTTTACATATGTGTAAACCAATTTAAGATGTGTACCGAATGGAAAGTGTAATAAATGAATATAAAACAAAAGTCTAGATAACATAATTTAAATATATATACATATATGTGCATAAATTGTTATATATTACTGATGTTACATATATGACTGAATACAACATCAGTTGATGCTATGAAGCTTCATATCTATGCTATAAGATTTATTTTATTAGATAATTAAATGCAAAAAAATGCCATAGAAATTAAATTTATCACTGTACAAGAAAGATTTTTCTTTTAAAGATACTTATCACAAACGTATATTAAGTATATCTTAATTATAGAAATATTTCTATATAGTATCAGTTCTTTTTGATTAATAAAATTTAATTTTTGTTGAGTAAAATTTGTTATTGGTATATCTTGTTTTGATAATTGTATATACGTATATGTATATATTAAATAATCTTAAAATATATCTTATTATATATCCTACAATTAGATTAGGTTATTATAATATATTCATTCGAATTCTATAACAAATATTAATTGCATAATAATATAACTAATCCATTGTACCTTCCAGAAATACAAGTGCATCAACTTTGTTAACTGCAGTTTCTATGTCACGTTTTTGAACAGTCTTTTTTTTTGCTTGCATAGTGTATTTATAGGCTTCCTTCACAAGCGAGTCGATAAAAAGTTCCTGTTGAAATAATCAACAGTTAATATAATCTATTAATATAATTCATCAAAATTAATTTTCCCTAACAACATTCACCGTTGATTTTGCTATTAAGAATACAGCCTCTTGATTAACAAGGTTAACTTCCGGATCTGCTTTGATAATTGTTTTAATTCTTCCAAGAGGTAACTGTAATAATTTTTCTCGTTGTTCCTCGTCGCCATGCAAAGTATTTTCGATTTCCTCTTGCAATTCTTGTGAATTTTCTCCATTGTTGATGCAATTCTCACTTGATTCGCTTGTAATTAAATCACCATTTTCCGTATTATCCATATTAACCTATATAAGTTTATTTGCTTATATAAACAGTTCAAAAGGAAATAGCACTTATATATAAATTCACAATAATTTAGTGCGAATAAATATAGATATGTAACTGGAATAACCGCAAATAGCTGTGGCGGCAACATGCACGTGTATATTATTCGAAACTTAGTCATTGATAATATAATATTGAAGACCAACAGTGTTGTGCTAATGTTTCATTCGTCATGTGACGTTTTACCAAAGCTGTTGATTGGCTGTTGGAAATTGGCTGTTAGGAAATTTACAGAAACTTCATATGGAGGATTCACACTACGTCCGATGTCTGACGTACGACGTCCGATATCCAATAGGAGAACAGCTTTCTAATGGAGAATTGAATTCTCCATTAGAAGCTTTTGTATACCGTAAAAAAGCTGCGCAACAATAACGAAAGTGTCGTTAACTCCAATAACGAGTTACAGAATCGCACCACTGGTTTCTCTCTGGTTTTAATTTACCTAGGCTCGAATAAACCCAGTTTCTTGGGTCGAACATGCACGGGTGAGCTTTGTGATTGGCTAGTAGACGTCTTGTGATGTCATTAATCGACCCCGGGTGGTTAAAACCTATGCCACCCGAATATACCATTAGTTTTGTGTATCTTCGATAATCTTTGATCAATGATAGTATGTATGCGTGAAGCCGTTTGGTCACGAATATATTTTGAAATAGATAACACGTGAGAGCTTAACAGACATAAAAGTATTAAAACTTGGTAGATTATCGATAGTTTAGGTGTTTAAAATTCACAAGAAGAAAAAAAAGAAAAGTTTTCACGATTTGATTTTATCTCATAGCTATAATGATAACATATTGCTTTGATAAAAGTCTTCATGAGAGACTCACAGAGTACACCGATATACTCACAAGCCCAGAAAAAATATTACCTGCATCACAAGTTATGTTGGAATGGGTTTGCGACACGGAAATTGTTATAGAACCGGTTGGCTGGCAGGCTCTGTGGAATGTGCCACTTTCTGTATGTGCAGAAAACCAGGTTCATTATCCGTTGGTGGTTTTGGTAGAGGTGTTGCAAGTTGATTGTTCCATATTATCTGCCTTAGTGAAAGTTACATGGGATGAGTTGGACAGATATCTCACATTTCCCACAGAATGTAAAGCTAAATTAATTGAACTGTATCCAACTATTAAACAAACTAATACCACGTTGGATATTGTTGGTACTGCGCATTGTATAGATAAGTTACGGTTTTTTTATACTTATTTGTGGATGCCATGGGATAATGAGGAAGATGATAATGTTGATTGGGTGAGTCAACATTTGGAAAGGAGGATAAAATTTGCCTATGATATGAGACAAGGATCTATTGATAAACAAACTTGTGATCTGATCAGATCATTAGTAAGAGAAGGAAGACAAATCTGGGATAAAATCTCAAATTTAGAAGGGCAACTAACCGATGATGAAGATAAAACTCAGACAGCAGATACAACATTTGAATTGATGCATCTTCACTTTCGGCTTCAGCAAATTAAATCAGAGATGGATGTATTAGAAAATCCCACAATGAGAGAGATGGTTTTAAAACATCAAAGTTCAATAGATAAAGATACAACAAACAAAAATGAAATTACATGCTACTTTGTATGGTTGAATGGTACATTAAAAGGACTTCAGGAAACTTGTGATAAAGTTCAAGAATTGTTACCTAATGACCTATCTATTAAGTAAGTTTTTATTTGATCAAATAGTTAAAAAATAGTTAAAAAAATCAATATTGTAATATTGTGACTTCATTTCAGAATTTATGGATGTTTAGATGAAGCTTTGCATACATGTAAGACAGGTGATATGATTATACTAGGTGAAGGAAAGCACAAGATTGATGGTGCTGGTGGATTAGAAACAGGTGGTACAATTAGAGGAATATATGATGCTAGACACACTATTCTTCATCCAAAAGATTTGAACAGTGCATCAACTTTACTTGATTTCTCTGATAGTTCTACTGAGGTATTATATATTACAACAATATTTTTTATGAAATGTCAGTTGTCCAATTTTTATTTAATTTTGTAAATTTCACACATTTATATTCATTCACTCTGTGTAACAGGTCTTATTGAACAATATCTGTATAAATCTAGGAGAACTTCCAATAGGTATAATTGTTAGAAGTGGAGTTGTAAGGATAAAACATTGCATAATATCTAATCTGTCTTCCAAAGAAAAGACTGTTCAAACGGGTATAGTTGTTATGCCAGATGGAAGATTGATAATGGAGGATACACTTCTCGAGTTTTTAGGGACTGCCGTGCTTATTTGTGCACATGGCGAGGTTGTCATGAATAACTGTCAAATCCGCTCATGTTACGTGGGTGTACAGGTATAGCCACTTTGCAATTCTTAATTTTGAATATTTTTTTAGAATATTTTTATATGTTTATGTATAAACGTATGTTTTCCTTTTCAGCTTAGTGATCATTCCAGTCTTACTGCAAACAAATGCGTCTTTGATGGTTGTCGGGAATACACTATACAAATGGACACTGAGAAACATGTATCTGATGAAACAAAATATCTTCACTATAACGAGTTACCGAATAACATATCAGAAATTACATTAAATGAATGTCATTGTGTACAATCAGATTTCGAGGATATTGTTTTAAAACCAAAACGTATTGTCTCTTTGGCAGAGTGGCTAGATGTCGATCCGAAGATGTAAAAAAGTTCCACTACTTGTTATAAATTTTTCTATTTGGTACTAAATGTTCGTTTAGGAAAATAAATTTTATAAGTATTAAAATTTTTCTACAAAAATTTATTGAATCAAGATAAACGTGCATATATATAGTTTTATATTTTCTTTCATTGAATCAACTCTATTTCAATTCAGTATCATTGATGAAATATTGATAAAGATTCATCATTTTATCGGAGTTAGCGTAATATTTGGATAATTAATTGATGTGTGTGATGCAATATTAATCTTATAATCTATTATTGTTAATATTGCTATTTAATTGTCATTGATATCTGGATGTATCATTGTATCATATTACATGATAAATATTTTAAATAATCGTTAAAAGTAAATATTTTGCAACACAAGCATTATAGCCAAATATGTGCTAAATATTTGCTATAAAATGTCTAATGTTTCAGTTGTTAGAACTATTTCTAATGCTTTGAATTGGATATTGAATACTTTGGATTATTATTTAATGTTCAGTAAACAAATGAATCAAAATCTGTAAAATTAATACGCTCGCGATGTCGCAACCGAGGTAACGATAGTATCGATATCTCGATGGTCGTGAACTCGAGATTAGCAATCGTTCGACGAAGTTCGGTCTTTTCTATGGCTGATGGCTGCGCGGTAAGTCGAGTTCGTTATGCTCCGTTTTATATTTCCATAATTTCGACTTACAAAGAAATCCTTGCGTATAAATCAGCATCGTAGAGAATATCGAAGTTAAGCTTTGCGGATTTGTTATGATGAAATATTGTTAAACGGTCATTGGAAGTGGATATTTCATTCAACAGTCCGTCGAAAATATCTAGTAACATGTCGCGACATAATGGCGGCTCGAGGTTCGAATCGTCGGATACACGTATCTTGCGCTTTCGATCTCGCGAAAGAGAGCGTGTAAATTATCAGAAATATCAGGAGTAATATTATTCGTTTGTCACGTTCTAAAACAGTTCGGAGGTTAAATTGCTATATTCTATGCTCTCGATTGGTTTGAGAAAGTCAAGCATGTACAGACATAGATATGAAAAATTCGAGATAATAGATTCAATATTTACAGACTGCAACAGATCACAATCAAAATAACCGTCAATTATTTCCTTTTTATTATCACAAAAAATGTCGATTTTAATATGTCGGTTTATTCAAGTGTATTAATTCTACATTCTCGTTAAAGATGGCACCATTATTACAATCCGTCGGTTTGGGCTGTGTTCCAAAATTCGCTGCTAGTACTGAAAATACATAGTTTGTGTCACGTATATTATAGATTTTCAGTACTGGCAGTGAATATTGGAACGCAGCCTTGGTGTTCAGAAGCGGTTAACGGTACGCTGCAAGGCAAGTCGAGCTCATAAAACTGTAGCATATTTTCATAATTTCGACTCGCCGAGGCCGATTCTTGCCTTCGTGTGATTTATCGTTGTCGAGAGTATCGAAAATAAGTTTCACGCGTGCTTCGACGAAATATCGTTAAATATCGAGTTATCTCGTGAATATTGTCGAGAATGTTGAGTGAAAAATCGCGCGTTCTCCGCATAAGGGCGGCTTCAAGTTCAAATCACCGGATTGATGTTTTCTCGAGCATTTTCGAAGCATTTCGAAAGAGACTCGCGTGTGAATTGTCATCGGGAATATCGAGAGGTGTGCCATTCGTTTGTAGCGTTATAGCGATTCAAAAACTAAGTGGCTAAAATCAGCTAATCGGTGAGTGTTAATAAAGTTAAGGTTATAACAGTTCTCTTCGATATTCTTAAACAGATTATATGTATTAGTTTAATGTTTAAGAATTTCTAATTTTGATAATCCTGCGATGACTGCGTTTAAGTAATTGTCTATTATTTGTCTTACATTGAAGAAAACACCAACAACACATTGAGCTGCTGAAGCGCGGTAATTATCAGTTCTTGTTACAGATGGCGCAAGCATGACAATTTATCGACCTAGTGCTTGAGTGATATTTTAACAGTGCGTGGTGCGATGAAATATATCGGTTAGTGTATTCGATATGACAATTTCGAGGTCGTCAACTTTGATAAGAGTAAATTTAGTCCTACGTAATTCTTATAAACTACGTAATACGTCCGCACTGACGCGTTTGTGTGGCTTTGTTCGGACTGGTTACTCCACGATAGTCGGTATATGTGCCAAATTATTTCCTAACCTCATCTACAAATTGTTGAGCCGGCCAATTGTTTGCCTTCGCATCGACGAACGTACGTAATGCTCGTCGCAAGTTTTCAAAATGTAAGAAATGGTAGATCGAACGAATATCGTATGGCTTTTTCGGAGTTGCGAACATTGTAACCTAACCTAACCTAACCTCGTCAGACGTGGAGCAGTCTGCGAGCTTCGTTCACGTCATATCGTGACATACGGAAAAAGTATGGTAGATTAAAGTCGTAGGCGTAAGGCGCACAAGGCGAGTGACAACGCATGACAAAAACGTCATAATATCGCACTAATTTTTCAATTTCGGCCAAATTGTATTTACATATCGCAACTGCTCCCGGGCATTCTTGTCACTCTCCTGTCTTAGCTGTGTGTTAGCCTTACTGCTGTTGGCCATGTGGTTGCGCGTCGGCACGTGCACTCGCACGCAATGAATGAAACGTCAACGCGTTGCCCGACGAGCTTGTTCTCGCGAGCTTATTGTCGCGATTTCGTCGTCGCGAGTTCATCCTCATCGATCGACTGCCGCTTGTACCGCGGCCGTTGTTTGTCCCCGCCGAAATGATTAATCGCGCGTTTTCCGTCGTCGAGCCAGATAAAACCGCGCGTCTCGAGACCCGCTTTGATATTGAGGTATAATGATTAATCGCGGGGGCGGCGGCGACGGCGGCGGCGACGGTGAATCAGAAGGAAGAGAAGGGGACGAGGAGGCGATCTGCCGTTGGCAGTGCGCTAAACGCGCCGTATGAGCCGTGATATATCGCGCGGTACGCTGATATGATGCATATTCATGATGTAAAGGCATTTCGTGGACGGTAAAACAAAAAGCAACGAGAATCCCGCGGATTTCGCATCCTGCTGGAACGGGTTTAAATGACGCATCTATTATGTTTGTAAACGCAACCATGTTTTTATTTTATCTCATTTGAATTTAAAATCTGCTTTTTCCTTCTCTTTTTCTTTCTCATTTTTTGTTTGTTTGTTTGTTCGACACGTCAAATGTCACATGCGGATTGACGATAATCTACGAGAGAATAAATATAGCATACAAAATATATTTTTAGCTGGATACAGCGTACACTCGAAACTACGAAGAATCGAAACTGTTTCGTAAACACATTTATTATCTCGTTTAACCACTTCTCTGTTGCTTCGTGCATCTCCCTGCATCAGTCGGTTGTATTGCACATATACACATACACGAAGTACAAAAACTGAGTGCGCGTTTTTGCGATGTCTCCTGCCTTTTTTGGGCTGGCGTTAAAAACGAGAACGTTGCCGTACCATGCATGCAAAGTGCTTTGCCCAATGTACCGCAAATGAAATGAAACATTTTCCGCTGCAGAACGCTCCGTCGCGTTTTCCGACGTGGTGGCTCCTTTTCTGCGTAAAACTGTGCTCCAAAAAGGACGGGATGTGCGAGTTATTGTTTTCATCCGCTGTACATCGCCTCGTGTATGTCGCGTAGCGCTGTTTGACATTCAGAATGTCAACGACTAGGATAACACTTTGGAAAGTCCACACAAAAACGAGCGTTGCTACTAAAATTTCCACGTTTACTTTTCCACAGTTTTCCACAATCACGCGTGCGGATCTCAAGGGCGGGCCGGACAACTCGCGATTAACACGTACGTTCATTTGGAGACCATTCAAGTCAAGTGTATGCGTACGTCATCATCGTCATTGTCGTCGTCGTCGTCATTGTTTACGGACGTCAGCATGGTGGAGATGATGATCGCACCAACGCAGACCGTCGATAAGCAAACGCAGTTTGGCAACGCGCGCCGTCTCGACTCGTCGGACTGCATTTTCGTCTTTAGGGACATCCTGTCGGATTACGAGGAGCCGCCGTCGGACGAAGAGGTGAGTCCTATGGTTACAGTTTGGATTGAGTTCGCTTTTCATTGTGCCTCCGGTAAGCGGTAGTTTAACTGAGTGGCAAAGTGTTTTCAGTCGCGAAATTAGGGCGCCGATGTGCGTGTATCCTGGATATTCGTAGAACATATCGCGGTCGTATCGTGAAAGGAAACTTCACGACTATGCCGCTCAAATGATACTTTCGTGAATGGAAATCATGTTTGATTCCCTTGAATTATAACGTGTGACGTAACGTATTTAGTAAATATAATAGCCGGCGCATGTGTATGTGTATCTACATATGTGTGAGCAATTGTCGTGGGACCGAAGGAGCCTTCGACGGGCTTTAGATCGCTGTTACAAAACGAGGAACGATAAAAGTACGAAGGACAATTTTAAAGCGCGACTTTACGGTCGATCACATGGCGGCGAATTAAATTATTCCGCTCCACATTTTTCTTTCAGTCGCAAGGGGCTCGTGCGCGCGCTCTCTCTCTCTCTCTCTCTCTCTCTCTCTTCCTTCTTCTGTATATACGTATACATATCTTTTTTAATGTGACGAAGTTCGCAAACCCGTTTTAATACCTGATTGTATTCTGTTTCACGTGCAAGTCGTCTCTTTGCACCGAGAGTTCTAATAAAATACGCTATTTAAAATCACAATAACTCACTTATGAATATATATCTCTGGCTCAACATTGCGGTCGAATTATCACCGCAATAAATGGGTTGCTCTCTCGCGCGGTATACAAACGATTAAATCGTAATATAATATCGTAACTATCGCTTGCGCGAAATAGAGTTAGAGATAGAACACAGGGTAGAATTCGCATTACGCATTAATCAAATTTCGTGGTGCAAATTCTATACATCGGACATTAAATCCGCAGCAGCGTGCGCCGCCGGGGAACGCGGTGGTTAGTGAAACATTACCGGTCGTTATTATGCAAATTTCTTTTTTTGAGGCTATCAACCGCGCGCGCTTAACAATAAGATTCTGCGAATCGCCGCGTTGTCGCGTCCCGATCGCATGCGAATCGTGCGTAACGCGTGTTTTCCGCCGGCTCGCAATCGCGTTCTCACTATATTTGCGGATATATTTGTAGCGGTACTTGTTACATATCGCGTGTCGCTCGTTTGCGAGCTCCGTCGGCCCTGCAGCGGCGGCGGCCGATAGCGCCAAGATAAAACGTTGCAAACGGGACAATGCGTACAATGCGTCGCGCGGCGGTACTTCCGAAAATATCCCGCTCGAGTTGCGAGTTGCGAGGCAAAAGGTAAAAATAGCTATCCGAGATAGCGGTCTACGGCGCGCGTGGGAAGCGGGTGCAAGCCGATAAGAATAGTTGGACTGCATTGTGCAGTCGCGAGCGGTGTAACTGTTCAAGCATATGGGAAAATTACACACACGTATGCGCGCGTGTAAGCAGAGGTCGGTCGCAGCGGCGGCGAGTTGGCCTTGTTCGTTGGCGAACTTTGATTAAAGATTTTCTTTCTTTAGCAGTTCATACAGTTGGAACTCTCACGGCGGTCGTTCCCTGCGAAGAGCGTAAATGCCGTGGTATAGTGCGCTTCAACAGGCCGGTGATAGAAAGCAGAAGATAATTAGCATGAGAGAGAGAGAGAGAGAGAGAGAGAGAGAGAGAGAGGGAGGGAGGGGGAGAGAGAGAGAGAGAGAGAGAGAGAGAGAGAGAGAGAGAGAGAGAGAGAGAGAGAGAGAGAGAGAGAGAAAGAGAGGTAGGGGCAAAGAAACAGAGGCCAGGGTGTCGGATTATATCGTGAAAGCGTCGAGAAACGAGATAGGAATATAGCGCGCGTGGTCGAGAGGGCGAAACGGAGAAACGAACAGGGAGAACCAAGTGGAAGACGGAGGGAGATGTATAGCGGGGAGAACGATCAATCATTCGGGAGGACCAGAACGGTCTCGCCTAGCGGCTGCAAATAACACGCCGTGTATTGCTGTATGTGTGTGTCGGTCAAAAGCATCGGCGGGAGGTATTACGGGGAGTTACCGTTCCCGGGCTGCTTCCGCGCTCCGCCGAACCTGAAACGCCCTGTTCCTCTTTTTCTGGTCGCTCAGCTGGCATGAGGAGCGAAATCGTGTTTGTTACCTCTTTCTCTCTTCTCTTCTTCATCTTTTTTTAATCTCTATTGGTAGGCACTCCAAATTGGCGTTACTCATTAACGCACCGCGTGAGTGTCGATTTCTTTACAGTCGCGCCTCGGGACGACAGACGAAAGCTAGCTTTTAACCCCTCGTAGTACCGTGTTTGCATCGGAGTGTACACACAGAACAATAGGTACTGCATTCAAGTAAATGCTACTCGCTTCAAGTATTTCATAAGTTTGTTCGCGAAAATCTCTATTACATAAGTCACAAGTTCTCTTACTGAGCATCTGCTGCTTTTCGAACTGCGCCCAAAGAAAAATGTCGAGGACCGTTTTGAAAGCCAATGCTTCCACGTCGTCAATTTCCGATTCGCGTCGCGTTGGTTCGCGGGTGCTCGTAATTCTGCCGTCCTAACAACGCGTGGAGATTTTCCAAACGGTCCAATTCAAACGGTATGGCGGGACGCAAGTTTTGACGCTGCCAAAACTTATAATGGCTTATCCTGCTTCGCGGAGGAGAATCGAGGTGAGCGAGGGATAAGGGAAGAGGAGAGAGACGCTCATTTGGTTTACGAGCTCGGCGAATCGTTTATTCCTCGCAGTTTATTCTTCGCCGTTAATGCCGCGGCTATTCAAGCTACCGCTGCTGGTGTTATATCACCTGTTCGCGCGCTAGAGATGCGCGCTCGCGTCGCACTAAATATATGTCCCTGTTGTTCGAGTCGCCGTGTCGGTCGGCGACGACACGTGTCCGTTCGTATTTTGATAAGCGCGAATGTGGTTAGATGAATACTATCTGTCCGCCGACGGTCGAAAGTTCCAAATTAACGACCATGGGCACGCGAACGACACGACACGTTTCGATGATATAAAATAATCTGCCGGCGGCGGAGCGACGTGTCGCGCCGCGGTTTTCGGGTTTCCGGCAATTAAAACGCGCGTTTCGCTTATCGGGCTTTAATTGGTTTTGATATTGGTTTTGATATTTCAATGCGATTCGGTTCGCGCCACGGTCATTGACTAATAATCGACGCTTATCGATCGATTCCTAATCGGCCAGAAGAATCGCCGTCGTGATACGAATCGCCAGGCGATAACGCGGTGTGAACATTTTGACGCGTCGCGGCAGATATCCGGCACAGTTCGACGATCCCCGCAAAGTTCCGAAATGATTTCCTTAAAAATAGTTAAAGTGGATCGGGTAATTAATGTCGAAGAGTTTGACGCGCGCGGACAGCTGGCTGTTTCGTTGCTAGAGTGAATAGCTACGACGCACCGTGTATCGTCTCCTCTATCAATCAGCGCGACGATAGACGTCGTCCGTGTGTGTGTGTGTGTGTGTGTGTGTGTATGCGAGCGGGCGCGCGCGTCGTGCATTTAACTCGCTTTTAAAATTAAATTAACTTGTCTCACGGAACCGAGAATCGCTTGGCTGTGAATTACCTCTCGCCTCGAGTCGCGTCGCCGCCTAACTATCGGGTCGTAAATCAAAGTGTATTTCTACGTACCTTCGATAATCTATGGCGAAATAAGCGCACGCCAACGTTGCGTTAACTCCGTTGTTATATGCTATATGCGCTCCCGGCATGTAACATTGGCGATTTAATTTTTATGCTCTAGCCCAAGTTTCGCGACCGAGGGAGAAATCGACCCGAAAAATTCGTCGCGAAAGGTCATCGCAAGATTCGGTTTCGACACGTTGACCGTCAAAGAGGGGAAAGGTAAAGGGGAGACGAAGCAGGAGGGAGAAAGAGAGAGAAAGGTAGAGACAGAGAATGTCCATCATGTTCCGTGTATGCACGCGGCGATGATTAAATAATATGAGTTGCGGAAGATTAACGTTGTGGACGTCTACGGCGCATAAATACGTTATCGGCTGGCGGCGATGACGACCCGTTCCCGACGTTCCCGTGAGACATTTTTCAAATAGCTTCGCGGTCGCGCGAAATGGCGAAATTGGCGGACGATAGATCGATATAAAAGCGGTTGTTAGCGACGAGTGAGAAAGGGACCTCTCTAGGCAGCTCCAGCTGCGGTTTATTTCTGGTTTTAGGTCCGCGGGGATGCGCACGATGCGCGTACGTACGGTGTGTCTCTAGACGGCACACACTGGCGCGCTCACAGGCTCCCGCGGTTGGAGCGGCCGGTATAAAAGCGCGCGCGAGAGAGAAATAGATTATTTAGTGGCCAGTTATAGCGCAGTAAAGACCGGCGTTATACAAGCCATTGATATAATGACGTCGCGCGACAACTGTAAACAGTCCGTGAGTTTATTGCGGCAACGACACTCCGAAATGGCATACCTATCTGACTAAGCCGTCTGCTGTATGCGTGTAATTAAAGTTGAAGCGCGTAATTGCTCGCGCGCATGGCGATCCGCCGGCCGCTCGATCGCGCTCGACCGCGCGCGATTCATTCGGACGCGCACGAGTTCGATCGCGATCGCGAATAATCGGACGAGCGAGCGAGCGAGCGAGCGAGCGAGCCAGTTGCGAGCTACGATTAAGCTCGATAAACCGCGAACGCCGGAGCCCGCTGCATTCGCTCTGTCCCCGCAAGGCTAGAATTCGCAGTCCGTGTTTCCGAATCCACGTCGAACACGTGTATCACGACGCGCGACGATGCTTCTCGCGTGCGCGCGCGAGCAGCGTGTACACAGAGTTTATGTATACGAGGTCGGGGACGAGCGACCGCGCGGCCGCAATTGCATTGTGGAAAAGTGCAAACTGGAAATTGGTCGGCTGGCAATATCGGGGACGCTCTCGGCCGCTTTGTGTCGAGCTTTTGTGGTGCCCGCGCGCGTTTCGGAAGGCCTATTGAGTATTGACTTCTCGCGTTTTTCCGTTTTTCCCGAGTGCGCACGTTGTTTTTCTAATGCCATCAAGAGCTCTGCTATG